CCAAGATTATAAAAAAGATATCTCTTCCAGACTGCAAGTGACACAATATCTCCTAGCAATCTTACGCTCGTTCCATCAAGGTCGTCTTCGATTTATTCATCATCCCCGGAAACAAAATCTGCTCCTAGAATTTTTTCCTCTGGATTAGCCCGTATATCCTCAGGCCTCAGCTCAACTTCGTGGCAATAACAACCATCCGGCTCTGAATGGAAACAATTTATTATCTCATTTTTGATTTTTACATCGGGAGTGAAAAACAAATTACTCAGCGTGAGTTGGACAAAGAAACCTGATTTTAAATGAATGCTTCGCTCTAACTTCATGCACATCAGTAGCTCCATGGAGATAACATTAAACTGGATAGTTTCTCCGCCATCTCTCTCTGTATTCACAGGAGCTCAATAACAAGCATCTTGGAGGACAAAAGGAAATATCTTACTGGCATTATTGGAGGCAAGAGAGGCACTTGTTGGGGAGGAAGATATTATCATCGTAACAGCCCCAGGACCTGCGGCTGTAAATTGGAGACACCTGCAAATTAACAAACCATGTTTCTGACTGCTTCATTGCCAGACAATTAAATTCGGAGTTATTTCTGATCGTGTTTATCAGGGAATTCTATTTGGAAAATTGAAATATACCGATTCGCAGATTTGTGTCTACGTTTCGGCGATCTATACCGGGCCATCTTCAATATGACGTCAGATGACACTGTGGAAGATGAAACTTACATGCTAAAATACGTGGATGTATTTTGCAGAAAGCATGTAGCGTGACACGTTATTGATTAGCCATGCCATACGTGCTTCCTCGGGTTTTCATGAATGCCTTTCTCATTAATGTACGGACTACTCTAACACTGATGAAAATTACGACTCGGACGGATGTCACAACAAAGTGCGCGAGGAACTCAACCATTAAGATGATTACGCACGCATCGCTCTTGGCTAAGTGCAGACACTATTCTTATCGCCATCAAAAATTACTTCGTCTAAATTGAAATCACAAATAAGCAGAGAGTCTTCGCAACAAAAGGATAATGTGATGTTTAGACACCGCGAGGGCATTAACACGGAGTGGGTTGCATTCGAGTGACGTGACGAGATTAGCTCGTGCTGAGTTTGCATTTACTCGAACGCGCATGTCCGCACACGCGCTGTCCCAGGGGACCGTCCAGAATCACGCATGCACCCACGTGACACAAGGGAAACCTCAGCACTTGAGTAATCGAAGCACACGGGACTTTGGAGTTCAACATCCCATTATCTTCGTGGAACATCCGTATTGCAAGATCAGTGCACTGGCAAAGCTACCCGGGACTGTTTGTGTAAACACTGTCGCCTCATTCATGATCGATAACGACAGCATAATTTTGTTTCGATTTTCTTCTTTCGATAACTCTCCCTCTGTATAGTAGTTCCTAGGCCGAGATTGATTTTCCTTCGTTGGATAAATATTCGGCGGTTATAATTCGCATCTTCAAATTTTTGTCTCCGAAATTTTGGCAGTCATCAAAAAAGGAAGAGCATTTTTCGTCTGCATTTTGCGTGGGCGATGATGTAAAATACAGCCAAGGACTAACTCGGGCAGACTATCATTTCGACGCCGTTGAATCCTGAATATGTCCGTGCTTCGTGCAGCCGAACATCTCGTCCATCCACAAACCAACTAATTTCGTTTTCACGTCAACACTTTGATGATAAAACCTCAAAACAATTACAGACAAAATGAGGTTCACCTTCAGGAAATGCTGACATGTTTTACCCTTCATTAACATTCCAGTATAAATATGCCCCCCGCAAAATCCCATCTAATGATTTGCAGGCGGGGAGCTAACCATAGATGAAGTCGCTTCATCACTGAGGGGAAAACGTTAGAAATCTACTGTTACTAAGGGAACTAACTCATCATGTATGCTCGCATGTAATAACCACATGTGGTGCCGTTCTTGGAGAGAAGCCGTGTGAAACTCGCATGTTTCCTGATTTTAAATTCTGCGTCTAATTAGCGATCCTTGAGGAGAATTTCTCGTTGAGTTGTTCGCATCGATCGTTCACCTTGCAAGAGTTGCACTTGCCACCGGATTCATCACGACAAACTTCAGACTTTCTATCATTTAAAAAAAAATATTTGGTGTCGTGTTTCGTTCGAGTCATGCCAACCAAGAAGGATTATTCTTCTGTCTTGTGTTCGAAAAATACTGGTTCCAGTAAGTTGGCTCACTCGCTCCAGTCACCCGACTATCGACAGCTGTACTACCAGTTGTCGCTATCCAACAGTCTGGCAAAATCACGGGGCGGTGTCTCGCTCAAACCCATCATGCGAGGGCCTGCCTCATCATCGAAGCGCTATCCGGTGACCGGGTTGCCGTCAGTGTCCCTACCGTCTCCGCCTGCCTCTCCCCCGCCGGTCATCACGTTATCAATGCCCACCAGTCCAACCCCGGACTTGAACTTCACGCCAGCACGAGAGCCCGGCACCACGGGAAGGTCTGCCTTTCTCACCGTGCCTGGGTTCCAAGACGAGCCTTGTGTCAAGGCAAGAGTTCCGGACAGACCTCAGGAGGATGTGAGCCTCTCCAGACCATCTTCCCGCCGGAGTTGGCGGGACGAAGACCTAACCATTACTGACCACTGGAGCGATCACACTAGCACTGACCATCTTGCGGCAGTGGAAACGGCGCTTCGGCGGGCTAAGCTATCAGAGATGTTGCTGCGGCATCAGAACCACTCCGCGTCTTTGATTCGCCAGGAAAGCAGAGGCAGCTCTAGAAGTGTCCCGCCAAGTGCAAATTCTCCGAGTCGAATACGGTCGAATACCGACAGCAAAAAGTCACCGGGCCGCGGCGCACCACTCATGCCGATAAATCGCACCAAGTCACCGTTGGTCTGTGCCAAGCCGGCACGCCACAGCGGCCTTTGCACTTACATGCAGGTTGAACGTGAATTCCTTCGCCAGTCCTCAGTCGAATACATCGAGGAAGAACGGGTAACGCCCACAAAATGGCAGCGCCACGGAAGTTTCGGACTTGAAGAATCAACCGACCCGATTCATCTGTGCAATTTTCGGCTGACCCCAAAGAAAAAGAAGAAAAGGTGCGAAACCGGAAATGACGTCGTTACTACCAAGAACGAACAAACTTCGAACAAAGTGACCTCAACCGGCAGAACGAATGTCCCCGCATGGCCAAACGAAGCCAAAAGTCGGGTCCCTAAACTGCCTGCCGGTATAATTCCAAAGAAGAAGTCCAGTGGATTTCTTGAAAACGACGGCGCAAACTACATGAAACCATTGGTTTTACGACCAAGTGACGAGGTCGCTTCTGAAACATTGCCGCCACTTCGTGTTCCCTCCAGGAATAACCGTAGGAAGGGGGAAATTCCGGGTCACATCTCTCCACCAATTTTAAACGGGGACCGGAATAGTCTCGCATTTTAGTTCATTTTTGGCTTGAGTTCATGTCATAGGCCTACGTTGTTTTTAATCGGCAGTAAAAAAACGTTTTGTGTGAAAAACATTAATCTTTTAAAAATAACTGCGTTAATGAAATTTGTTGTTGCACACGATGTTAATTTCTAAATATCTGTGCAAATTCCATGGAATGGGTTTCTTAAATCGTTTCAGTTATTATTTTTTTTTCATAAGTGCAGATATTCGTTTTGAGGGGAAACAAATCCGTCTTATTTATGAAGCGAGCTATCACCATGCATGTTCGGCACTGTCCTAGGTCTATAATTGTTTGTTGGATCGAGCGTAAATTATACAGTATATTGTATTTAATTATACTGAATTATTTGTTATTTCCTTTAAAAGTTCAAAATGTGAGAATTGGATTTTTTTTTTATTTATGACTGTTTCCTTTTCAATCCTCCCATACAGTTGAACGGCTAATGTACTTTTGGTAACTTGAGTCGAGGCTATATTTTAGGAACTCCCATTTAAAATTCAACCAAACGGAATTAATGGATTATTAGTATACATGTCTTTCGTTGCCTCATTTTGTTGAGCGTTGGCACTTTTCATTGCGAGATCTTCTTGTTTGAAGAATGAATGTTAACGAATATCATCAAATGTAAACATCTTTTTGAGAATAGCTTCCTCAAAAGTACATCCCGCGAATCCCGAAGAAATAATTTATAGAAAGGAGATCTAGTATCTGGAAAACCTTGAAATGATGCTGACACGGGCTCGATTCGAACCCGGTTCACCCAGGTGGTAGGCGAAAGATCTTACCACTGGACCACATAATTCCCCTTGATGTAGGCCCATGTCATAATATTTTAAATTTTTAACTTTGCGGTTAATTTTGTGATTAAAAATTCAAATGTTAGTGTTTTATCTAACGACGTCACCTTTGAAAAAAAATGTCTTGGTTAATTAAATGTACTTGACTTGAATATTACCCCCCCCCCCAAAAAAAAGCGAAATTCTATTTTATAGAGCGTTGTACAACCGTATCTCAGGGCCTGCTTGCTTCGATCGGAAGATCACGTTCCATCTTATTCAAGACTCGTACTCGACAGTGGGTGTGGGGGGGGGGGGGGGGGGGCGTGGACCATAGGTTTTGGGATTGGGAATTGAGCGGGTATTGCAAGTGTTAATTAGGCCTATGCATCATTATGATGTCGACCAGTCATAAAAAGTAAATGAAATTAACTGAAACTTCGTGAGAGGCTTCCCAAGTTATATAAGTAATAGAGACACCCATCCCTCTAAAAAAATGAACACAAATTCATACATTTTGATTGAATATTAAAATCATTTTGAAGGGGTAGGCCTATGCCTAAATTGCTAGGCTAAACTAGTGTCAAAAGAAAAAAAATTTTAAAAAAAATCAAAAGTTGGAAGCTGAAGTCAAGAAGAAAGGACAAACATGTGCCTATTTTGGGAAATGTAGGTGACCTTGCTTAACCATGTTAACTAGCCATGAATGCCCGTGAGACTAAAAAAAAAACCAAGTTAAAAAGGTTGATTTTACAGACAAGGAAATCTATCTCTTTTATTCATTTGGTGGCTCTGAAAAGAGCCGTTTGTTTTGATGAGACGACCAAGACGTGTTTATTTCTTGGCTGTCTTCTTTCCCTTCTTGGCTGCTGCTCTCTTGGGCTTTGCTGGTGCCTTCTTAGCTGCCTTGGGTCTGGCTGCTTTCTTCCCTGGTGATTTCTTGGCTGCCTTCCTCTTGGGTTTGGCTGCTTTCTTGGGCTTGGCTGCTGTCTTGGGTTTGGCTGCTTTCTTGGCAGGTTTCTTGGCCTTCTTAGACTTAGCCTTGGCTTTCTTGGCGGCTGCTGCTGCTGCTTTCTTGGCCTTCTGAGCTGCTTTTCTTGCTCTTGCCCTCTCCCTCTTCGCTGCAGCCCGTGCCTTAGCCTTGGCTGCCCTGGCTTTGGCGGCTTCCTTGGACTTGGCGGGTTTCTTGGGCTTGGCTGTCAGCTTGAATGTACCCGAAGCACCGTTGCCCTTGACCTGCTGAAGAGAACCCTTGGACACGCCAGACCTGAGAGCTCGGCGGATGTGATGAGCCTCCTTGGCCGTGTCTACCTTGAAGTTGGCTGCGATGTACTTCTTGATGCCTTGAGCGGACGAACCACGACGATCTTTCATGGCAGAAATGGCAGCCGCCACCATCTTGCTAGCGGGAGGGTGAGCCGCACGCTTGCTCTTCCTGCTCGGGGACCTGGCTCGCTTCTTGGAAGGAGACTTGGCCCTCTTGGGAGACTTTGCCCTCTTGGGAGACTTGGCTCTCTTGGTCGGAGATTGAGACCTAGTCGGCGATTGAGATCGCTTCGGAGAAGCAGCTTTCTTCGGAGAAGCAGCCATTGTTGAAGACAGAACGATGAAACAGTTGATTGATCAAACACAATCAGAAATAACATAATTTTATTGCGCGTCATATTAATATCTGTATTGCGGACGTAGTTGAGGCGTACGTTCGGAATGCAGAATATTTGTAAAATGTCGCGTTTTGTTTTTGTTTTGTGTTTGTCTCTTCACAAATACACCTCTAAATTATGAAAATCCCCCTCGACAGTTCCATGAATTTTCTCTCAATTCCCAATTAAAGCGTTAAACGATTATTTAGAATTATATTTATTTTTCTAAATTTAAGTAATCACAATGAAAACATACTGATAACTCTTAGTACGTCAATATCCACAATTTTGTATCAAAAGTCATCGTTTTTATACAAAACAAATTGCAAACAAAGAACAAAAATCAGCATGATCCCTTTGTCTAGTATCCATTTAATAATGCTAGTCGAAAATTGCTCCCAATACCTAAACTTCTCAAGTAGAAAAATCGTTTCAAATGTGAGGCCCTTCTACACACACTTCCCTTTCTAGCAACTTGAACGTTTCAGCGTCATACAGTGCATACACGTACGTACATCGCTCGGTACTACACTACATACGCGCCATCCAGCACATGTCCTCAGATCACTGTTATGGGTTTTCTCTTGACGCATTATCTTTAGTAAGATGAGAAACTGTAAATTTGTGATTCCCTTGAGCAGTTGCAGACTCAACCCTTTTTTTTTTCGAACGAACTGTTAGTTGGCAGTAATTACTTGAAGTGCCCAAAAATGAGCCGTGTAACAAGACAGTTCACAAGTTGGCATATACCAGCCTAGATTCAAGTTACTATGCATTGTTCTCCTCTGTGCCGAAGATTTGTTTGAGCACTCCCTTTTCGACAAAAAAATAGTGACAAACCTGAGCGTGTAAAATGCCCTTTCAAAGTACTAAAACAAAAGAACTTCCAGTTCAGCAAAACAGGTATTTCTTCCGAAGTTTGCAAGAGGAACGTGTTGCTTTTGTTCCACGAAATTTACTTTCACTCGGATTGTAGGCCTATATAGTTTCGCATTTTAAACTCTTCTCACCAAATCGAATCTCCTAATGTTACATCACGACCGATAACTGGAGAAAATTTGAACTTGCGGTAACAACTGGTATTTCTTGGGTAATTGCCCTAAAAACGAGCATATTAATTTTCCATTTTTGCAGTTAACTAGAAGCATTAAATAAATATTCCAAACGCCTGGAGATCCAGAGTTGTGAGTATTTAAAAAACAAAAAACAATTGAAAGTATGTACGAGTAAATATGGGAGTCGATTTACAGGTCTGAAACCTTTACTTAGTGGTCTCCTCGCACCAACGCCTACTTTAATTTTCTTTCAATAGAGGGCGCGCCACATGAATAGTGGTCTCAATCTCCACCACCAAACCCCGTCAGTGAGGCAACTACTCAAGAATTACGAGATGTATCATATCATACTGAGTTTTGAGTTATTAAAGAAGGGTTGAATATGCAACTTAAGGCAATGGATTCTTTGTTTGACTTAACAGTTGTTTTGAGTTATCAGAGTTTGACTTGTCGAGATTTCACTGCGGTACTCGAATAGCCGTATGCGCGGATGCGTGCAAAACGTTTCTGAATGTTGGGGGAATTATCAATATTGTGCGTTCTTTTTTTTTGGGGGGGGTGGAGTTCCTCTAACATTTCACTTCCTTCCTCCTATATATACACCAATTTCAAATCTTTTACTGAGCCTAGTGGAAGGGGGCAATAAAACAGTTGATTCCTGTGCCGCTTCCCACATCGCTATCTCATCGCATGGTATTCCCTGCTCTATATTCAATGATCTTTCTCCTATTCACGTCTCATCCTCTTTGTTCCTCATTACATTAATTGGATCGCATCTTATCAGATTAAAGTACTCAAAGTCTTGCCGAATTGAAAACATCGCAAACCGATACCCAAACCCCCGCCAGACCAGGCCAATTTCGCAAAACAAGCAGGCTTTTTGTAACAATGTGGCGTCCCATAACTACAACAACTCCTTTATGATGCATTTACCACAACTTGCATTTTCTTAAGAAGCTGATGCCTCCATTGCTCTATTGAGACGGGCGTCTTAAGTTTAAGACTCATAATAGACTACCCGCTTGACCAGTTCTAGCTTCTTGCAAGTCACCCGTACAGAGACAACACTGATTTCGGGATGATCCGCTAGACAAACACAAACTCCTTTTGTGAGTCTCCTTGAGATACCGAGGAGGGTTTTACTGGGCCCTCCCTACGCATAGCTCCTCTGTAGTGACTCTTTCGCATTATTTGTTTGCTTCGGCAAAGTAGTACAGCGTTTACTAGAATATCCTGTCATGTCGTTCATACCGTTCCACGCAGTTAGAATTTCGATGTAAGAAGTCAGCGGGATGAAGTCCAACTGAGACACATATCTTATGCCGTATGTTGACATTAAGAGCGGAGACTGATACCTCATTGCAGCGACAACTTCACATTTTTGGAGATATTAACATCTTGCATCTCTTAGCATCCACGAATTAAGGGCATCTATTCCTACCGCCATGATCTGATCAACCACAGAGCAAGGACCAACCGACCAACTTGACAGGAGGAACAAGAAACATTTAACAAATGTTGTGAAGTACTATTTGTCAATATTGGAACCAAGTTGACTAGCCTCTTAATTGGATAATTTGGCGAGGCCGGTCGTAAACTGTCGCAGAGCGCCCAACTAAATAAACACAACTAAGTGAGACATCAAAAAGAAGCCAACTTCAGTTGTCACTCTTCAAACGTCCACCAGCGGGTCTTCCATGACATCTTTTGTTGAAATACTTCATCGGCTGAAGAATTCCTCAGAGCCCCTCGGGCTGGTATTTTTTTTGCTCTTTTAGGAGCTCCTTGATAAGCAACTCTTTCTTGAAGAACTTTATGTGTTTGTAAACTTTGTATAAGTCGTTGTTAGGAACAGCTTGTTTGTTGTAACAAAAAGGAGGTGACTTCATGCATGGTCAAGACGCAGGAATTAATTTTCTCTCTCTCTTCAAACAACCAGCTTCAAAAAGTCAGAAAAGTAAAACTGAAACCACCCACATTCACCAAAGGTCATTTGTGCAGACTTGTCTTGATTTACATGCATGTAAAAAGGTGTTCATTTAATCATTTTTAACTTCCGAGTGAACAATATTCAAGGAAAACTTGATATGCACACGGGCCAGAAGTAATCGACCTCGCGAGGAGTGACTTTCAGGTGGAGAAGTCGGTTACCAAGTTACGGTCACTAAACCCCAACCGGGTAACTCGAGTCAGCAATCGTTGATCAAGTCTACAAGCTCCCCGTGTATACTCCGACATTTTCTCCATCGTTTGAGAGAAAATCTTGTTTATTTGTTGGACAGGACAGAAGTTGACTTTGCTTTGTAGGCCTATACCTGACTAATCAATGACAAGGCTGTTCTCGGGAAACTTGAGAGACTTTTGTGCAGTCTGATACTCTGTTTACATGAACTCAGGCGGAAAACCATTCTCTCTCACATGGCAGATTGATAATACTCAAGAAATTAGAATTCGCAGATGAACAATCTCCTTGCAAGTTCTCGGGTTTTCCTGTATCACCACATCATCACAGCTGCAGGATTATCTGGATCCACATAAAAGATTAAACAGGCTAAATTTGAACCACATACAGGATTTTGCAGTTATATTCTGTAACTGTACAAGGATTAATCTAAACCATCTCTAACTTTGAAAAAGAAAGTTTGTATTTCTGAAGATGTCACGAGCTCGGGACCGTCGAGGTGCGCTCGTGCGCACCCCAACAACCCAGAACCTCCCCGGCTCCTTCACCTCAGGACAGGCCCAGGGCACAGCCTACCACCGCGACGTCACCTACCCAACCCTCCCGATCACCCTGGACGAGATCTACGACCGTGCGGCCAAGTACACCGACAAATTGTTAGCACGACCGGTGTTTTATGTGGACACCGAGGATGGGGAGGAAGCCGCACCGGCCGGTCTGCCATTACCACCGCCTGGGGCTGCCCGTGCCCGCGGCCGCTCACAATTGTCCGAGAAACGGATGTCTCTGGCGACCTCTCCGTTCCCCGGTGGTTCGCAGACCGAAGACAGCATCAAGAGGCCCGGGTATGACCGCCGTCGAGCAGTGGGCTTACCGGGGGCTGGTTATGACGGGGCCCGGCGGCTTTCTGGCCCGGGGTCTGAGAGGGGTTTTGTCCCGCCTGGCGGCCACGAGGGTCGTAAGAGCGGGCTCAGCATTTCAAATGTACCGCCATCGATCGCTGAAGACGAGTGAGTTGTGTTGATTTGATAATTTTAAGATGTCAATATTGATCTGGTAACTATACAATTTAAAAACTATACTTATATTATTACAAACAATAATGATTAAATCAATAATTATTCCAAAATGTTTCAATCATCATGGCTATCATCTTCATCATATTCCCTTTTCTAATCTTTATCATCATTATAATCATCATCGTTGTCATAATTTGTTTGTAACATTTAAACACTATGAGTCAAATTGTAAATACATGTATGAAGAAATTAGTGAATTGGCTGTGTGGAAAAGAGCATAACTTTTTTATAATGATTTAAATTTGATTTCTTTTCTTCGATTGTTGAGAAATGTATTCCAAAAGGTTTGCGGAAGAAAGGAATATTGAAATTGTATTTGTTTCCTTTTGATAATCAATCGATTTCATTTTTCTCAGTGTTCTTACTGACAATACGAGGCAGCAAAGTTCGTTGGTTGGACCTGCAGCGCACCTTTAATTGAACAACGCATGCGCATTATCATTTAGCCTCCCATATCTACTATCTAGTGCCCAGACGAAAACTATGTTTATTCAACTAGATTGCTGTACAGTAACCACACTAACATACTCTGTGACCTTTTGACCCCTGTTCTTGACGACGGGACACTTCGCAGTTGCTATCCTTTATCAAAACCACACATTTTAGCCAGTTTTAAAGCCTCTTTGGGGCTAAAGAATACCAAAGATATGTCTTCCAAGCTCGCTAAAGAGAAAAAGTCAACAAATAGGGTGAACTCTGCCTCAAACAAGGAGTAAGTGTGTTCCGTTTTCGCCGGTCTGTTGACACTGTTTTTAAAAAGCCAAACAAACATGGCGCCGGGACGTGCGCTGCGGACTGCATTACTTTAGACTTTAGTATTGAAGTACAAATACAATTTACAAAATCAATGATAAATTGCATGTGTTGTTTTTTTTTACTTTAATCAAATAATGTAGCTTCTGAAGTTCTGTTGCTTGTCAAAAGTTTGCCCCTAAAGTCCTAATTCAATTGCAGTCAAGTGCACAATTTCTTTGTCATGTTTGTTGCCAGACTGGGACCGTGAGTGCATAAAAACGTGCAAAATTACTACTGACGTTTTTTTACTCACCATCAGGCTAATTAATGCCCAGACAACACATACATCAAAATGATATAGTTGCAAGCATGTCACATGCGAAATTTGAGACCTTAAATCCAATTTTAAGGCAAGTTTTTGGCAGTTCAAAAACCATCCACGTCAATCTCCATGCTCTGGAAATGGGTGTGTGATTCCCAATGTATTCTGGGTAGGTGTAGGAAAAGCCTTGCAGCTTACTTGTTTTTTAATCGATGGCCAAATGAACATAGCGCCCTCTGTTAAAAAATGAAACATTTTGCATTTACTCAGATCAACAAGAGGGCGCTGTTTTATCTACACGATGAAAATGTTATAGCTGAGGAGTCTTTTTGCACAATGCATTGCAGTACACATCAACATGATGTCTCACGTTTGGATTTCGATAACTCTCTGTAAAATTAGATTTAAAAGCTGAATTTTTGGTGATGCAATGCTCACAACAGCAACTTTACGAGGCAAAAGTTTCAGGGATTATTGAAAAAACTGTAGTGAGTAAGAAGCTTGCAAATTTGATTCACACTGGTTTTATTATGCAGCACAAACTTTTGCACGATATGGATACCTTAAGTTTTGGGACTCTCATACACAGTATTGAGAGTCCCAAATTTTCGGACTAGTTTGTTGCCTACCCCCAGATCCCTCCGGCCTCCCTCCCTCAACATAAAGCCCGTTCAGTATTCCAAAAAAGTCTGGTGCACAGCAAGATTTGACAATTTTTTGGGGGGGAATAAGCACGGCAGATAAATGCACACAAGGCTAATGGGACGTGGTAACCGAATCCACATTTTGCGGTTTTGTTTTTTAGTAAAAAAGAAGATGGAAATTTTTGTTCCCACAAAAGTTGGAGCATACAAAAACCTCTTAAACCATGGTGCCGTTGAAAACAATCACCATTTTACATCTTCTTCAAAACAAGAACTTTTCTTTGATTTCGTTGGTACCCCGCTATGATTTTGCATGCTTGTGGCGAACTGTTTATCCCCGACCCTAATCGTTGTCATGTGATGTGCGCATGCACAGTTGTAACTCCAAAATGGCTTATAGTTCAACCGGCGCTTTGCTTAATGCCTTTTTCAAAAGGCTTTGCACAAAACTAAGTCACAAATAAAAAAAAAGGAAATGATGTAAAACTTGCAAAGTGCACGACACATATTATTATTTATATTCCTCTTTCCTCAGATATGTAACAATTTTTGGGGAGCTTAAATTACAAATTGTACTAATTTTAGACCTAGGTCTAGGAATATGATTTGTTCTAGAACTTTGTGTATATATTCTGCTCATTATGCTGTTGAACTATTCAGAGAAGCTAGATCATACCAGCTAGCTAATGTGCATGATACGAAGAGGCCTACCATGTTTCCAATATTGATCAGTTCTATTCTTAAAAAAAAATACTGCATGTATAAAAAAGTCATTGTTATGATTTTGTGTATGCGATCATTATGGAGGTGTCTGCGTGTAGTATAGGGTAAACGGCAGTAATTGATGGTTTTCGTTTTGTTTTGCTCATTCCCCCCCCCCCCCCCCCAAAAAAAATCAGGGTAAAGGCTGTCAGTATAGGGTAGGTAGGGTAACCGGAAGCAGAAGTATTTTTTTTTGTGGCCTTATTCTGTTACTTTTGGCAGTAGTTTCTAGAAAACAAAATGATAACAGACGAACTTTTGAAAACCCAAAAGCACCTACAAGCAACTTATGAAAGTGGTCCACTCTCAAAGTACGATGTCTTTTTTTATTTGCCCATCCTACCCACTCTGCCAGGTCCATTCTTATGTGATCCTTCACAAATCCATACTCACATGGCTAAGAAATTGAAGAATACTGAACTGCCGTTTGATGATAAATATTTAATGAGTTAGGCGTGTACCCATTGTCAAGACCCAGGAACAACCTGTCATGATCAGTACTTAATCACTTTAAGGGATTAGCCCGACACCCAAAGACAATCCAAGAGATTCTTTTGACAGCAGATTAAAATTCAAACAACTGACGTCAATGGGTTGAAGAAACTTAAAATGCAATTTGTTAAAAGCCTCCTTCGCTTTTGTGTGAGTGTGATGGATATTGATCAGGATCTTATGGATGGTGTTTTATACCGTTGTCGCGTGCTTTGAGTCTGTTCGTCTGAGCAGACTATGTGAAAGTTCTTCACTAGGTGTGGATGTTTATGATAACCCGTGGGATAGTGGAATATCTGTTTTGGGATGCCAGGTTTGCTGAAAAGGTAGTGTGCACTTTTCAAGTTAGGAAAGTCTGTATTTCAATTTCAAGTTTGTATTCAGACTTAGGTGGGCTCGGGTGACGAACTTAGCCCACATGTCACTCTGAAGAGTAGAAGACCAAGGAAATCCAAAGTATTCGCTCTTGACCAGTGATAGATGTGAACTTTTATAATGTTGCATCCTTCACTCAGAGCGTACATGAAGCAAGATTTTAAATTGTAGCAGTAGAATTTCAAAATATGTATGTATGTGACTTCAGTTTGTCAAAATTGATTACGTGTAAAATGTTCGCCCAAAGTTTGATGGTACTTCATAGATTTACTCCATAAACTGTTAGGCAAAAAAAAATGTCAGGTTTCTGGTATGTGCGCCCGTCACCGTAGCCATGCGCGTCAGCAAAATTAACAAGATTATTTTCAATGAAAGATGATGTCTCAAAACTGCCAAACTCACTGGTTTGACTGTAATCCTGCTGCTGCACAATTTTAACGTTTGTTTAGATGGGGTTACGATCAAGAATAAGCATTATGTGGCCTCTCTGGACTCCCATATATTTGCACTAAGTTTAGTCGGGCACCATGTGCAGTCATCAGCCGACATTTGAAGGAAAAAAAACAGTAAAAAAAACCCCAAAAGCCGTGTCGCCACACCACTTTTTGGGCAAGCTCCATATCAGAAACCGGAGACTTGTTTTTTGGCCTTAGTTCTAAGTCCCCCCCCCCCCAGAATTGCCTTGTACAGATTCACTTAAAAATTGTTTCAACAATCAACATGTACAGTTTCTTGCTGCTATTAATAGGCCCCTAGAGTTTTATTTTCGCCAAGTCTTGTCTTGCAGTCATAAATTACAAATTGCACAAAAGAACAGATAAAATGTTTGACCTCTGCAGAGAATCTTTGTTTTTTTGTTGGTATCTGAAAATTTCAGCAAAACCGTTTGCCCAAGTAGGCAAATTTTATGGCCATTTTTGGTCCTGAAAGAGGCACTGAATCCACAGTTTCTGGAGTTGTTCCAAGCCATGGGGTCAGCCGATAATCACCACTTAACTCTCCGTAAATGTACAAATCTCTCTAAATATGCCGATTAGGGCCGAGGTTAGTGATCATTAAAGCAGGGTACATGATGCTTCACACCTAAGCAAGTACTTGACATTCATCACGCCTATTCATGATTTATCTTAATAGGGGATCTAATCTGTTTGGATTTTTGGAGTTTGTAACATGCGAGTGTTGGTCGCTATTTTCATATTCAAATTTGGTAAAAGTCACATGGACTTCAAGCCGTACTGCTGATCAGGCTCTGATGAACTGGGTTTCGAAAAAAATATTTAACATTGTTTTTGTACAAACTTTGATCACTCGAAACTTGTTAAACTATGTTTTCAAAAAATCCGTCTTCGTTCCGTGAAAGACGTGAGAAAGCTAAGATTCGAGAGTGGATTTTGACTCGGTAAGTCATTCAGCATTTTTTTGCGACGGATACGAGACAATTTTGTATTTTACAACTAAAATCGTAGGATTTGTATTTTTGAGGACTTCAGTGACTTGTTTACATTGAGAAAAAAAAATGTGTTACTGGAAAAATATGTGTACTCCATTTGCCATTTATTTAAATTAAATGTACATGTACATTCCTGCTTTGAACATAAGTAGGGAGTTTTAGTCAGAACTGTACATGAATAAGAACACTGATACAACGTCCTGCTTAGAATGTTAGTCCCCAAGTCTTTGTTCTCTTTGGTTTCCTTTGTTTTCCATTACTGATAACACAAGGTACCTGTTATTAAAGGTAATTTGTAGAGTCCTACTTGGACCTAAAACCTTGTTATAAAGTTGGTCGACTGTCATAGCTTCGCAACTTATACAGTATATTAATAGGAAGCAAAGTCTTTTTTGCATGTTCGGAACGACTTTTATTTCAAGATGACGATTTTGTTCCAAGATGGAATATTTGCACAAGAGGAGCCCACCTGAGCCTAATGTATAAGAATCATACTACACTGAAGAGCCTTGTATTTGTTTGCAGTTTCGTTGTATATCTTTGCAGGTGGTGAAGGCATACATGCAGATAAACCCATACAAATGTATAGGATGGTTAGGATGGTTGTTTGATTTCTTCTCGATATGTCAATAAAAACAACAGATTCATAGCCTCAGGGTTTGAAAACCTTTCCCCCGGACTTCCGTCCAATCGGTCACCAAGACAGCAGAGATTGAAATAATCCTCATACGTGTCCAACACAAACAGAAAATTGGTTTTCTTCAGGTGTGGATTACACACACAAAGGCAACGTGTGCTCGAAGATACTTGAGTTGAGTTACAACGCAAATATTGTTTTGTTTCTGAAGTATCGTGCAAACGGTGTATTCAGTTGAAGAACCCTTCACACCTGTTTTGGGTGCAAGGAGTCTTACTACATAGCGTTGTGTTGTAGAAGCGTTGTCATTTTTGTATCAGTTGTCTTTGAAGGAGGATGCGGTGTGGAGTAATTTCTCCACTGCTCACCAGTTTTCATTATCATTTTTGTCGGGATCCTGTTGTGTGATTCACATCTAAAGCCAATGCCTTCCAGTTTGCTACTGGGTGTTTCACGCGAGAGTCGTGGGACAAAACTCATCAGGTGAACAAAAAATACAAAAGTTGACTCAAATTGCCCGGTCGTCTATAACATTTACGATGTGTATATTTCAGGTCAAGCCAGACAGCGATGAGTTTGCGGCAGTATTTTTATTTCTTGGGTAAGAGTTGGGTAAGAAGGAAATCCACTACTTTTTTGTTAGTTGTTTATAGGCACTTTATATTATTTGGTTTGTTGTGCAGAGCTGCATCCATCGCTGCCAGTGTGGTCGGCTCGCAGGAAGGCAGGAAACAAAAGCTAGTCATCTGGCCGGAATGGAACGATACAGACGTAAACGCAGAAAAATGGGTAAGCTTTTCAAAGTCGTGGAAGTCAAGTATTAGCGTGTCACCTATTTTGATAGCAATCATTTTCACAGTTCAGTACTTTATTTACAAAATGTATTTTTTCTTGTGTATAATATGAAACAGTTGGGACTTGCTTTAGTGATTACAGGAATTGATACGTTCTGATCAGTAAAACGGAAGAATAATGAATTCAGTAATCTTTGCTGTTCTAGATGGCGTGTCATGTTAATATTCATCCCAGCTACTTGAGCTAAGATTTGAAGGTCTGTTATTATCCCACAGGATGCACCACACAAAGGCAAAGAGAAGGAGAAAGGGAAGAGCCCAAGCAGCATGGTGAGTTAGTTGTTCAGTCACAACACTGGCAGATCGAAGAAATGTCTTTCTCAAATTTTGGAACCTTACTCCCCTAGGTCTTTTGGCAGGACCTTTCCAGAGTCCGCAAAATTAAACCACTGGCACACTCTTTGTACTCCAACTTTCAAGCGCATTGTAGTGTTACAGTGGACCGGCCCTACCTTTTTCAATCATGCAATAATCTTCGAAAATCTTATGTTGAATTTGAAAGAATATGAGGTTAGGATTACTAGTTTAAACTGTTGATGGGTTACTTATGCTTAGAGTACATCAACACATATCTGGAGGCTGCAAGTCTCAATCTTTGTAGGAAATTGGTTGAGTTGCTGGAGCATTTTCAGGTTGGTTGTAGGGTGTCAAACGAGCCTCAGTCACTATGCCAATCTAATTTCTACATTTTTGTCTCTTTCATCTCTCAGCAACATTTCTTTGATGACCCCGAGGGGCGTATCGAGATGCCGCCCTCCCTCAGGACGAGGATTGACCACGTTGAGCGGCCCCAGGACTTCATCACGGACAAGCTGCCGGTCATCTTTGACCCTGACAACGGCATGGACTTTGACCTTCTCAGTGCTAACTCACACATCAATGATTGTGAGGTCAGTTACTTGAGGCAAATAATAACAGAAGTAGTAATTCCACGACACAACAGACACAGGAAATAACACCCTCAAATTTTGGTTCTTGCACAAAATCATATCTTGGGGCCTGGCCATGCACAAGCTTCAGTTTTTTGTTCCCTGTTCATAACCTATTTTTATGTTTGGAAATGAATTTAAAAAATATCATCAAAATTTGAAATAATTCTGAGAAGTGTTACAAAATTGTTAATGTATTCTTATCAACTTAGTAATTTAGACTATCGAGGGCACTCTTGTTGCTCATGAATGCCATTTGAAATTGTTCCAGCGCCTTAATAGTCAAGTTCTATGAAAGAATTGACTGAGGAATTGCAAATTATTAAAGGTACTCTTAGGAACTTGAAATCTGCCTGCCAATTCTTTGAGACAGAGGGCGCTCTTATTACATCTCTTGACTTTTGCTTCCCATGCAGACGATGCGTTGGATCATCAGCCAGATCACCAACCTCTGGCGTGTCTCCGTCGCCGACCGTAACGAGCCTGAGACATCGACCACGTCGGTCATCGGGGGCGTGGCCCGCAACTGGCGCCCGTGGGACCACATCTTTGCCCTGTGTCGGGTGGGGAAGGGACCCCACCAGCCCCAGTATAACCCCCACGGCAAATACATCGTCCGACTCTATTGGATGGTGAGTATTATTTGCACATTACTCGTTACTAGTTTGGACCAAACCATAATTATATTTTTTGTTGAAATAAGATAATAATACCAGAAATTGAATAAATCTTATACGGTATTTATATCTAATACATTCAATATCCTTTAAGGTCTGGGGCCTAAATTTGTTGGACCAAAAAGTCTACTCAGCTATTTTAGTTGACATCCATGACGTTATGACGCTGATCTTATTCTTGAAAAAGAATGAAGAATCTTGAAAGGGAAGTGGATATATTTTGTTGATATGTGGTTATATTTTTTCATTGGTTCATCATCATTCGGACACAAATGGTCCTAATAGTTATTGCTGTATTAAAAATTTGCCTTGTCACCACTTTTTCTTCTTCAGGGTTGTTGGCGTAAAGTGACTATTGACGACACGGTGCCGTTTGACGACAACGGCAACATGCTGCTCCCAGCCACCACGCTGCAGCATGAGCTGTGGCCCATGCTGCTCAGTAAAGCACTCATCAAAGTCATATCACTGGAGTGAGTATCTTGGGCCAGTTTTACACACACCAGTCATCCCTGTTTGCAAGTCACATGAATGTTGGAGTGAACTGACTAAAATACAGTTTATACTTCTGGTTCTTCTAAGAAGTTAAAACCTCTGATTTCTCTCCGAGCAAAAACTTATTTTGTCCACTCATAAACATCTCCAAAGTTGCACTCAAGTTACAGTTTTTGTTTTTTGAAAATGTTTGAAAATTTTTGATTTGGTACCTCTAGTTACATGTACATCTTGATCAAACTGAGCAAGTTCTTTGATTTGTCTTTTCAGTTATGCTTCTGGTAACAGTAGCTGTGAGTTTGGTGATGTGAGCGTGATCCACGCACTGACAGGCTGGTTGCCAGAGACCATACCACTGCAGTAAGTACCCTAAGTTCCTCATTTCTAGGAGTCCTCAAAAGACTTTAGCCTAATCTTTAAAAAAAATATTTATTCAAATTGAGAAATATAGTAGGTCAATCTTTAAACAGCTTCATTGAACTTAAAAAATGTGGTGTTGAAAAAAAAAATTGAACATGGTTTTAGGGTTAAAGAAAAATCGAATTCCTCAACCCAACCTGAATAGGGTTTCTGCAAACCAAATAAAAATTACATTGCTGAAAAGTCTTTAAGCTTTTTTCTCAGAACTCTATCTAAATATCGGTTACAACGTGAAATAATTTATGTACCCGAATCAACACAAGGGCACTTTACGGACAGATGAAACACGCTCTGCCGACAAAGGCAGGAGGGTTGGAAGGAACAAACCCATGTGGAACGTTCTGTGACACAATCGGCAACAATCTGAGGCCGAAAGAATTTCCTTGGAAGAAAGAACAAGCTGGCGAAGGAGGGTAAACAAATGTTGATCAGCGGAGTTGGAATTTTTTATTCTTTGGTGTTCTGCTTTTGTGTTGGCTTGAAGTTGTTTGAAATAAAAAAAAAATCTTTCCATTTTGTTTTTTGATATTTCTATTTTCTGACTATTGTGTTTTTCAAATGTTTATGCTAATGTTTTTTTGGTACTATGTTCAAACTATGTTATATACATGTATTTTGATGGTATTTTATTGTTTGCATTCAATTCAAATATCTTTTGGAGGCTGGTAGCTTTTCAAATGATTGCACATACAATTGATTTAGCGCTGTGAAGCAAAATTCTTAACAGTTTTGTTTTAAACATCTTTCATTGAACACGTGTGAAATTGTGTGAAATTTTTGTTTTTTAAGTTTCAATAGCAGTGTTCCAATTTGCATGATTAAGTAACATTTTAACTAATTTGCAATGTAATAAAGTGTAAAAAAAAAAAAATCAAATATTTATCGGACGTAGTGATGCAAAGATAAATTTGAGATATTAAGATGCCTAATTCCTATAAATGTTTCCACATTTACCATCAGGTACGGTCATCTAGACAAAGTCTGGCATCTCTTGAAACAAATCCTGCCAGAATTCAAACTTCCGGACCTGGAGGAACAAATTAAAGACTCTGACGTAGACGGTGCTGGGAAGAAGGACAGCAAGCCAGACGAGGTCTCCTCCACGACCAAGGAATCGCGGAAAGATGAGAAGACGGGCAAAGAGGGAAAAGAAGGCAAAAGTAAGATTTTTTAAAACACTTTTGAAGGTTAGATGTTCTTTTTAGTTGCTTGTCAATACATTGGTTAGTTCCGTAATTAATTCCACTTGATTTCTTCACAAATTCACACGTTTTCTTTGAACAGGTGATAAACCGGAGAAAGGAGGCAAAGAAAGCAGTCACAAGGAGCACAAGGAGGATAAGAAAGACAAGAAGGATAAAGACAAGGATAAAGACAAACGTAAGAAACTCAAAACCGTATCAGTTTTGTTAGCTCATCTTGAAGATGTTGCTCTGTTTTTTTAACAGATAACTGCTGTACCAAACATTATGCTAAAATGAATATTGTGCTTATCTCTCAATTTGTTGCTTATAAACATACTTTTAAAGAAATTGCAGAAAATTTTTTAATAGCTTGATGATTGTTCTTCATAATTATTTGCTTCAATTTTAGCACTAATTTTTACGACCCTCATTTTATAGTCCCCTCTAAAATGACTGATTCAAAAAAATAATAGTCGACAGTAATGACATAGTTTTCATCAAATTTAAATTGTTCTCCAAGCGTTTAACCTCACCCTTGCTTTTGTAATAATTATTTTTATTTTAACCCTTCCCTTGCTCAAACCCAACTCCTTTCCTACTGATCGCAGGACCAATTGACAAGGACGGGCAGTTAGGTCTGTTAACGAAGCATGCTAAAAAAAGAGAAAGAAAATCTCAACGCCTCTTTTGCAGTGTGAAATAGACACTTAGCTTGTCTCTCTCTCAATAAATTGAGACTCTGACTCTGTTCTCTCTTATTTCTGACTTGACTTTTTTCTAATTTTCTGCTGTTCTGTCTCTTAAAGCACACAACCAATAGATTGAAGTGTAGACGCTCATTTGCATATTGTTCACATGACTGTGAGTGTGGTGACTTGTAAAATCTACACTATGGATTCGGTTGGCTGAATGTTATGTGCCATTTTTTCCATTGATTAGAGCTGCTTTAACTTTGAAACCTATAAAATCTGCTAAAAAAATTCACCGTGTTTTTTTTAAAGAAGTTACAAATTTGTATTAAACTGACATTCTAGCAAGTTGGCAGCATGCCAGCTATACTTTTGCCCCGATTTAGCACCAAGAATGCTAACTGAGAACCACAGTGGACCCCCCCCCCCCAAAAAAATGCAGTCATTAAGACAAAAATTTTTTGCACCCACTTCTAATTTTTTTCTCTCCAATTCTTACCCAGGTTTAATGGTTTACTAATTTCAATAAAACTTTTAACAACTGTGCTTGATGTCCATTTCATCTTGACCAACTTTCCAAAACTGTAATTACTAGAATAACTAGCTACTAGTCTTTAATCATACTGTTACTAATCGATTCAGAATCAATCATTCGTCATTTATTTGCAGATATCTCCTGTATTTCCGAAACTTTTGAATTTTGCATAGAGTTTTTGCATGATCATTCTGCCATTCATATACATGGACTAATTACACAAACCGCTGTTTTTTGTTGTTGTTTTTTAAGAATTCACCCACATGTTGATTTTTCCTTCATATTTTTGAAACATAGATCACATGCATGTACATAGTTTGTGCTGTCACCATTGTTTTATATAGACGTGTGATTTACATGAAGATTGCATGTTATGTGCATGTGAGTTCCATGACACCAGCATGTGACAAACATGTGATGAGCATGTGACAAGCATGTGACCAGCATGTGAAGGGCACTGTTATGATGTGTACATCAAGATGAAATGTGTGGTTTTCACAGCATTCGTCTCACTGGATTTGAAGCTGTTCATGTTTTTCCCTCATTTTTAACTTCGCAGTTTACGCAAAATACATTTGTCATGTTTAAACGTAACAAAGTAAAACTAATAACGAATGATATCAACATTAAGCACTGCATTGTCCCACATGAGTTCTAGCACTGCAGAAAAGCACAATAATATAAATGTCAACTTCATGTCAGGAATGAGTTCTCGCTTAGCCAGTATTTTGCACAGGCACCCCTTTAAAAAGTAAATGTAATTTACCACATTTTTATGCTTTGTCCTTCAAACCTAAAACCTTTAGCTCATGCGTGCATGAATTTAACGTACATGTTTTTTTAAACTCAGAAGATGGATTGTTGAGATAAGGTCTCTTTCACTTTTCATCTTTTTCTCCCCCTTCCAGATAAGGACCAGCCTTCCCCTATCATACCTGATACACCCCAGGTAGCGGTCTTTGTCAGCTACCAGCATCCACCCAAAGTGCCTATCCGAATATCTGTCCTGGGAGAAATGGTAAGTAGTATACTACAAAGCAGTAAATCTACGAAAATGTCTCAACAGATTTAAGAGAGTGTTAGTAATTTCTTCTTCTCTCTGTTTCTTAATCGTGATAGGCCGACGCATCGGAGCGTCTCAGACAAGCCGGTCTGTCCCACGTCAATCCTCACCCCTTACTCATCACCCAGACCCGATCCTGCCCCCTGGTGGCTCCCCCACCACCCCCTAAGATCCCGGCATGGAAGATGATCAGACCCAAGAAGAAGAAAGTGGCACCCACGGACGAAGCAGCCGGTGAGTTTATTTTCATCTTCCTCAAGTATCTAGCAAAGTTAGAGATCAGCGTTTGTTATCTAGCCAAGACGTAGCCGCAAATGAATGCTTTCATGGGATCCTAAACATGACTCTTCTGGCTCCCGTCGGAAAGCCAGATTTTCTGTGAGGACACGTGCCTTGAAACGTGCTTCAGAGCGGTCCCTAACGAGCAGTGATGAGGCCAGGCTGTTCTGCTGCCAGAGGGTGGTTTCATCCAGTATTTTTGTAACAATAATTGACAGATTCAAATGGTTTTGATTATAACTCTTGCTTTTAGTAGTTGTGTTCGTGAGATAGAGTGCAGACCATTCATAACTTATTTTGGTGTGTTTCTTAATTTTTATCTGCAGAGCAAGAGGTCAAGAAACCAGAACAGTTTGTCCAGCTGACCTCGCCCTACGTTAACTACAAAGTCAGCCCCATACCCATCCCAACCGATATGTGAGTACAGTCTAAACACATGATGTGAATGGTATTTGCCGTTCACAGAACCATGAGCGAAGAAATATGCCCATCCAGACATCAAAATATAGATGTTATAATTCTTGAGAATTTATTTTCCAGCAAGCGTCCAAGGTCCTCCTTATCCCGCGGCGGTTCTCGTACTGGTGGGGCCTCCTCCTCCATGCTGGAGATCCATGAGGTTGATGAGAACGCTCCGGAGAAGTCCGAAGAGGAAGAAGCAAAGGCCGAGGAGGAACGCAAGGCTGCCATGGAGCAGAAGAGACTGCAAGAGATGAGCATGAAGTCAGAGACTAGAGAAAGTCTCTTCTCTGAGGTATGATTTAGAGATGGAAACTCTTATGGGCGGGGCCGAATTGAATCAGGAGGCTGTTAGGAGACGAGCATGAAATCTGAAAATACAGAAAGTCTCTTCTCTAAGTTCTTCTTGATGGGCGGGGCAATTTAGAATTGGGGGATTGATAGAAAGTCCTCTCTGTAGAAATAGGAGGCGGAATAGAAATTCTGTTTTGATTAGCGGGGCTGAGGAGAATTTGGAGGAGGGTTTGTGAAAGTCCATCTTGATGGGTGGGGCAAAGTAAAATTTAGAAGCGGGATTGAAATTCCTTCTTGATGGGTTCTTTGAGAATTGTTATTGATTGTTTCCACTGGTTCCCATCCAGAAACCACCTGATGTTATATCACCGGTGCCCACCTCGTGTGCCTCGCCAACCAATCGCCGCAAGTCATCAGCTGTCGTCAAGCGTGCCGACAACAAGAGCCCCAAAGTTGAAAATGACAAGGACAAGGAGAAGGTATGAGTCCAAGGAACAAATTGTATCAGCCAAATTTTTTAAATTAAATTTTGGGGAATTTTAGTTTGAAAGTTGTGTTTTTTGGGTCAAATGTTTTTTGACGTAGTCAATAACTTTGATCATAACTACAGAACTGTCACAGACTATTACGTCTTGCTTGTAATTTTAGCTGTTGCAGTCGTCCCATTGTAACTTGTCCTGTGATTTCTTTCTTTGACAGAGTGCTAGCCCAACTCGCAAGAAGTCGGCCCGTAAGGTAATCAAAGGTGCCGATAAGACTCCAGCCAAGGCTGAGATGAAGGTGGTTGTCAAGGAAACCAAGGTGGAAACCAAGGAGAAAGACTCATCGGACAAATCAGGTCAGTTGGGGGAGAAAAGCCAATCAAAGAATCTATAAGCTCTGGACTGTTGCTCTATGCTGGTACTGAATTTATCCATGGGGATGTTTGCCAAAACGTGGCCATGCCTCAAGCTCTGGCTTCATTTGCAGCTCCAGAGTGACAACGGAGCCTATAACTCTTGAACTAAAAAACTCTACGTTTGCCATTGTGTTTTAAATTATTTTTTATATTGAGTAGCAGAAAATAGACGTGAGATTTAGCCTGAAACTGAACCTGGGGATGAAGTCGCTATTCAGAAAACACTTTCCTGCTCTTTAATAACTTTATACTTTTTATGATATTTTTTTGGCAGAGATCGGTTCCCTGAAGCCAGGTGATGAGATGACTGACACCCTATCAGTGGTGACTGGGGCAGGGGAGGGGCTAGGCTCAACGATGGATGGGGAGGCAGGAACGGCCGAACCACCCAAGGAGGAGGTCAAGGTTGAGAAGATGGTGCCCAAGGATATCTGGATGGACTTTGAAGACTTCTGCAAATGCTTCAAGTGAGTCTTATAATTTTGGGTCAATCAGTTGGTCAGTCTGTTTGTCTGCCTGTTGGGCAGTCTGTTTTTTACAAGTTTGGAGCATTTTACACTAACCAATATTTTTTGTAGCATTTACTTAAAGTTTGTTTGTTTTCCTTTCTACGTCTGTTTTAAACTTTCACGGTATTTTTGCTTTATACCAAACTTTATCCTCTTAAAAAAATTATGTTTGTGCCCTGTACATTTTCATTGAAATGGAACAAACGTTATTCAGAATCATCAAATCCTTTCCGTAAAACTTAAAAAAAATGTGTCTTTCGATTTACAGGACTCTGTACATCTTCCACAAGCCAGCTACCTACATGTGCAACCACAGAGTATCAGATCTCAAGGTAAGATTTCCACCCTTGTATGTGGCTAGATTCGAACCCTGAACCTCCAGTTACAAGCCAAGTGTCTCAGCCATTAAGCTAGAGTCCCAATTTTCCTCCTTTTAACAACTGTGTTTTCATGAATCTAGAAATCTGTTTCAAAAAGTAATTTTCTCCTAGACCCTGTACTTTGTATATCATCCAAAAAAATGTGGTTTTGCATTTTGATTATGCTTTTACCCTGAAAATCTTTGAAAATTTGGGGCATTTTTTGTTTGTTTGAAGTTTAATGTATACAGTTTTCCTATCCAAATTTTGCATGGTTTTGACCGGCAATATAACCATCTCTCTCTTTATATTTAATAATTTAATTTATTCGAGCTGTTAACCATTTTTTTGTTTATCTGATGCTCTGCTAATAGTCTTGATTTTCTCATTAATGCTAACTCCTGCTTAGAAACTGGAAAAATATCTCAAAAATGCCCAGGTTTGTAAAAGTCTGCAAAATTTCATCTTACTTTGTTTGTATCCGACACCCATGCAGTTTGCTTACCAGGCTAACAATTTCATCTTGCACAAAAGTGTTGGCCTAGGTTTTTCAAGTAATTGATGGCACGTTTTTAGTCCGTATCGGTAGTACATGTATGCTGTTTATATCATTCCGAAATACGTTGTGTTTTTCTGGACAGACATCTGGTATTGTTATTGTGTTCCTCTTGTATACTGAAATTTGAGTAATTGTGTTAGTACAACTTGATTTGTAAGCTGTGAAAGGATTGATAAATTGAGTCACTTGGGAATGACTCAAGTCGAGTTATCGAAAACTCACTCATTGAGTTTGACTAGAGTCGAGTCGGGAAGTTCACTCCTTCCGCCTGCTTTTAATTCACAAACTCCAAAGCTTTAGCCAGTATATTTGTCTTTCCATTGAGGCTTTTTGCAATGCATGAAATGCTCATCATCAAATCTTTTTCTATTGTTTTACTTCAAATTTGTTTTGTCATCCTTTCCTGTTCCTTGTTTTTCTGAACTCCAAAACATTCCTCTTTCCTGTGTCATTTCTGAATCTGTACCTCCCTGCCTCCCTTTGACCCCCTTTGACCCCTTTTCTCCCTTCTGACCACTCTGACCTGCTTTGACCCCCTTTGACCCTTTTTCTTTCTTCGACCCACTTCTGACCCACTTTGACCTCATTTGACCCTTTTTCTTTCTTCTGACCTACTTCTGACCTACTTTGACCCGCTTTGACCCACTTTGACCCGTTTCACACCCTTTGACCTCTATGACCCCTCTGACTCCCTTTTGACCCCCTTCCGACCCCAAATATACACCCCACAGCTTGAGGTTGCACCATTGACTAATATGCTACCCACCTATTCCAGTCGGCGGAGTGACGTATCTCAGGTTTTCAATCGTCTTTTATTCCTCAATTTTACAAAATCATGTTACGGCCCTTTCAGAATATTGTATAAAACAATACTCACTTCCATCTACAGAACTAACAAAGGTGACATGTAAAAAAATTTTTTTTTGAATTAATTACAATTTCATTTTTTGAATAGATTCGCATAATCATAGAAGACATCATGTACATTCACTGTTTCCATGGTGGTAGCATAATGACATCGTGTGTAATCAATAACAGCCAAAGTTAGCGAAGCGGTGAACATTTGCATAGATTTACATACATGTACTGATGGTGCATGCTATATTAACGTAACAAAAACTTCCAGGAAATCAGTGCAGAAATAATCTAGCTCAAGCCACTCATGTTACAATTAATTTGGAGTCTCTGCTCCACTAATGTACATGCATATGGCCATTGAAAACAATGTTGTTCATCATTCTGAAAACTTAGAAAGGAGAAAAGTAATCTTATGCTCGGAGAACTGTTTTTTTTTAATATTAAATTTATGAACAAATCATCACTTACAACTTTCTGCTATATTTGTACAGATAAGTATCCCTCCACAAAATGAATTTTTGATAGCCACACCAGATAAAGGGCTGTATTTTTCAGTGGCCAACATTTAGCCTAATAATTTCCACTATAAACCAATGCAGATGTTTCTTCTTTCTCTTCTACACTATAACAACATTCTCTTTTATTGCTAAATCTCATTGCTACTCATTCTCTAGCTGCTCCTGCAAGTTCCCAAGATTTGCCGCTCCTCATCTAGACAGGAATATTGTCATGATTACGTACGATGATACGCAAATTGTTTGTTGCTCTGTAGAGATGCATGTCTATCCTACTGGTTATTTTTTAATAGCATGGTGCACACCCTTGCCTATGTGGAATATTTCCTTGGGAAAAGTAAACTTTTTGTTTACCTCTGGTGTGAAAGAAATGTTCCCTTTTTTGCATGCATTGAAAAAATATTTGTTTTCACCTTTTAGTGGCCCTCTTCCTTGTAAAAGTCACAAAGTTTTTAATTTTCTGTATTTCTTTGTGTGTTTTGTGAAACAAGTAAATTCTCTGTCTAGCAAAAAAGTGAAAAGTACAAATTTGAAGATGTAAAATTGCATTTATTCTTAATTGACATTTTGTATATTCTGTTGACTTAAAAATAGATATATTAAATGTAAATCTCATTCATAGATTTGGGGACCCCCCCCCCCCCCCCCCCCGTGTATGTTGTTGGTTGATTAAAATTATCACACCTTATGCATATTCATGATGTAGCCCAGATCTGTGATTTGTCCATTTAGTCCAGCATCAGCACAGTTAATTTGGAAGACACAATCATCACCACTAACCCATTTGTAGAATATAATTAACTCATTTGAATTAATCCAAAGAAACCTCCATTAGGAGTGATATGTACATGTACATGACAGGCACGATATCATTTGTAGTTGTACTTGTGTTTTTTTTATGTGCGTGGTAGGTTTTATTTGGAGCACACGTTATGTTGAATTGGACATCTTGTGTCATTGTCTGGTCTTCCAATTGATGTTGCTTGAGATGTAATGATTGCACAAGTCACAATTTGGAATATGGTAGTCAACTAAAACACCTGAATTAAATCAAAATTGGATTTAAAGTTGCTTATTAATGCCATAACGTTCTTGGACTTGCACACAGACTTGGTGAGCTCAGACCCAAGATTATAATGTCTAATTAAGACCATTAAAACATTGAAAAGTCTACTTTAGTGGAGGATCAAAACTGGGCTGAAATCAGGAATCACGTTAAGTCAAACTTTGAGCCTTTTCCCTCCCAAGTTTTTAACTCACATACATGCCAAGTTTTCTTTTTCACTGGTACTGCCTTGGACTTAAAGCCAGATTCAAAACACTGAACTTGTTCGGTTACAAAAATCAATCCCGCATTCCATTTGTTTTCCAACTAATTTCATTTTTCTGTTCCGTTTCCCAACTTGTGAAGGGTGTGCAGCCCACAGGCAGCAAGAAGTCTGCGGCCCCCGGTGGACCTAACCCCAGCGCCTCCATGACGTCACAGACCCCGGCTAGGATCCCCTTCAGCCCGTCGCCACAACACCACGTAAGTCTGACCAGCACGCTACGTAAATTCACTCCTACAAAAAACTCCAATATCATTTTCAGGTTACGTGTCTTGTAATCACTTGAGTTCAATTCAAAAATAGTTTTTGTCATTTTTTTTTTCCCCTTTTTCATGCAAATGTATGTGAACACTTCAGGCACCCGGTTTTTCACTTCACTGAAAATTTGACATCCTGTTTCACAATCCTGGCTATTACCACTTAAATGTTAACTTACTTCCGAACTTGTTTTTGTTTCTTCCTTTGGATAGTGACAAAATTTTGATTGTGTAAACCTGACTTAATCCCCAATTTATTTGATTCTTCCATTTGCTGCTTTGATATTTCACATCAGGAAAAAGACAAGGTAATTGAAATGAGTTTCTGTCACAATAACGGTAGCTTTCCCAGGAAAAAAAATATCAATGTTCTGGTTCTGCTACTGTTGCTTAGCTTCACTCTGCACTGTATGAATGCACCCTGTAGACCTTAGCGAACAACGCTGCTGCACTTTTGAGCCCTTATGTAGCATTTATAAAATACACGAATAGCCACAGATAATATTAAGATACCATTTAGATACTTTCATCATTTAATATGTTTAGCTTTCCGTGTGCATGTATGTATGTATTGAGAGAGTTAAAATGATGTGTAAATATCATCTGTGCATGATTGCTTGAGCTGCACATGTCCAACAATTAGACACAACGATCTGTAAAAAATATCCAGCTTCCACAAAATTTCCATCTTAGAAACCAGTTTCCTTTCATAGTAGTATTTCATGCCATGAATAAAAGTGTTAAGAAGACACTGAAGTCCACAGTTTAGAATCTTTAGTTTTACATGAGCCATCACTTCCAACAATAACTGCCATGATTATTATTATTATTATTATTATTTATTCGGCCAACAAATGAACAAAAGTACAATGACAAAGCAAAGATATATCAAAAAGTAAACAAAATTGGAAATTGAAAAAGTATGACCAGACAAGACTGAAGGATGCGACAAAGAATGGGTCAAGGGGGGAGGGAAGGGAGGGTGGACAGTTTGACAGGGGAGAGAAGATAGAGGGACAGAAAACAAGGACAATATAACATTCCAAACCGGCCATGATAAAAACGTAACTGAAGTGTCCCAAAGTTTTTATTTGACTAGTCCAGAAATCTGTATTGATGAATTACATTAAATCAGTATACATTCCTCATTGCTAAAATTTCTTAAATTCAATATTTTTCTTTTGATTTCGCAGACTCCTTTGGATGACCGAGCCCCGCACTATTTCTGTATCCTTTCAGATTTGTTCATTCATTTAATAGTTTAAATCTCCCCAAAAGCTTTCAAGGAATTTTTCATAAAAAAAACTGAGAATTGAACCAGCCACATTACAGAAATAAGGCACTTAAAAACAGCCATTTCCAAATGCTAGCTAGTGAGACCGTTCCTTAACTCCTCACAACTTCAGTCGTGGATAACTTGGAGACCACGGAGATCATCGTGAGTTTCTCCTCGCTGTCTCGGTGGCTGGAACCCCCACTGGAGCCCCCCAAGACCTCCCACAGCTCCACCAGAGAGAAGGACAAACACAAGGATGCTGAATCAGTGGCTGGATCCAGCAGCGTAGCGGACGGAGTCGGTAAGGCCTCCGAATAAGTCAAACACAGCATTTATAAAGCACACTGTTCACTAAAGATTTCTTAATGTGCTATCTCAGTTATACTTAATGCTACCTCTGTGAGCAAGATCGTTTAAGATAAATGGTTTACATTTTATCCAGTGAAAGCTAATCAACAATGAATGTACCTTTTGTTCTCCGTACTTCCTGGAACCATCTCAGTGAATTTGTCAACGTAAATTCCACCAAAAATCTTTTGCAGTGACATTTGACCCTAGTTTGACCAGTCATCTTTGAATTTTTGATATGAACAAGCAGATTTAAGGCGCTTCACAAATCATGCACAGATGAAACCGTAAAACAGATTAACAGGTGTCGCAGGTTCGAATCCACTCAATTTCTGTGTCCAACCAAATATTTGTAAATTCTGAACAGCAACCCCTCATTTTTCCCCCATCCCTTCAGCCCTGACAAAGGAACCCCCCACCGCCCCTACCATCACCCCCAATACTCCAGGCCTCCTGGTGGCCGAGCCTTATTCCTGGAAGAGCCTGATCGTAGGCCAGCCAATCCTACGCATCCGTACCACCTCCACCAAGGCCGCGGCCCTCACCTTACCCCCCGGCCGACACGTGTTACGGTTCACCATGAGCGCCCCCTTGGGTTACCATGTGCACCTGTGCTCGACTGTACCATTCGTGTATGGGGAGGAGGAAACGGTCATGACGCACCTGGTCAAGGTACAGACAAGCTTCTGATTGGTCTGTTTCGAATTAAAATATTTAGAAATCAGTAACATACTTCTTCTGGTACTTTTCAGTAAATTTTCTAAGTTTGCCTCTAACACTGTTCAGTTGCTTTTATTTTTTTTTGTACAAGGCTTTATCTTGATTTTTTTTGTAGTGTTTTTGCAAACCCAAGAGAACGATAGAAATTAAACAGGTCCCTTTTGCAGGTATTGAGTTAACTCGGTGCAAAAGTTTTGAAATTCATAAAGTCAAAGTGTTTACACTATTCCAGCCTCCAAACTTTGCTAAATGGCAACTTTGAATTGCTTCTAAAAATGTACTGGTTGTTCCTTAATGATACATTCATCTCTTCGGACAACGGTGTTGTGAGACGATCTGTTACTCCAGACTTGAAGAAATTTCCATCATTCTCAGTCTCCTGAAGCCTCCAATCTCATTTTAATCATGTAATCACAGATGGTCCCCCCTCTCTATTCTACTCATATTTGAACCTTTTTCTACCAATCAGGAGAGTTGTCGTTTTGTAGACCATGCCAGCCAATTAATGCGAGCCATCGGTAACGTCATCCAGCAAGTGGACAACGCAGAAACCCTCAAGGAAGCCATGACGACCATGAACAACATCCACTGCCCTGTCAGGAAAAACAGGGAGCCCGTCCTACACAACTTTGATGTGAGTTAGTGTGAGATTTCCCTGGACAATTAGAAAAGCCTTTAAATTCCCTGGGATAGCAATGGAAAGCCTTCAGTTAATTTGAGACGAACACAAAATTCATTGAAAAACTTGCAAAATGAAAAAAAAATGGAAAAAAAAATTGGCCAAGAAATGCTGTAAAAAATCACAGTTTGTTTTAATCCTGCAGAATATAAAAATGAAGAAAAAGTAGCCACAAAAATCTTTTCAAAACCACATTTGTTATTTATTTGTGAGAAAATTCAAGGACAAGAAATTACTAATAAAAACTTGATGAAAAATGGTGAAAATTTGTAAGAGATGGTGGAAATCATAGAAATAATTGTTAGAGCAAAATGTCAGAAATATGTTGAAAACTATACAATGTCATAATTTTCTGGGCAACAAGAACTTGAAAATTGAACAAGGGAATAAACATTAGAAATATAGAATTTAATTTTTCCCCCAACAGGTTTTTGGGGAGTCTCTCTTCCTGACCCTTCGTAAGGCCTTCGGGGAGAACTTCACCCCCGAGATTGCCTACGCCTGGAAGGTCTTCACCTTGGACGTCACTTCCAAGACGGTGTCCGGCATCAACTACGCTGGCAGCAGACCAGGTGAGCATGGCTGGCGTGGGAAAATCTATCTGGGTTATGCATGGTTGATAGAGGGCGGTATTTCGGTTCCTCTGCTTGGCAGGTGGAGGGTACGCAGAGTTTGGTATCCTACATGGGTTGTCGGAGGTTTGCTTGTGGCTTTCAGGTCTTTCCTTAAAATGGGAAATTTGCATTAACGTTATTTGAAAGCTGCTAATTAGGGTAACAACATGCTAAAAAAAACCAAATTATCAGACCAATGTCTTTGGAGAAAATTCCAGATGTAGTACCTTAGTCCTGCTAGTTTCGTTTGTGCAGTAAATCCTGACTCTCTGTATATCGTTCCAAAGGTACCTTAAATTGGGAAATTGCACACAAACTGTACGTCGTTCGACAGCTGCTAATTAGGGTTACAACATGTAATTGTAGAATTCCTTGGTATTTTTTCAAGGAACTAGGAATGAAATATTGAAAATGGAAAGTAAAGGTGCGTTTTACACTTGTAGATAGTTTTGAGGGTGTAAAACAGTTACAGTCATGGAAAACAAAATATGAACACATTTTCAACAGCAGATGGCTTGTCAATTAAGAAATATCGTGTTGAAAAGTTGTCACGAGTGGTCGACTTAACAAAGCAGTCTATGAGTTTTAAAAAACAATTGGGATTCCTTTTTACATGGTAATTTCAGGAGGCACAGCGTTGGCTCCAGAAAGCAGGCCAGGTATTGTGTGTGCTGTGATTGGTTGATGCAGTGATGACTATTTGCATAGTGATGAATATGCATGAAGATGGATATATCATCTTTGGCCAATAGTGCTAAATTTCATTGACTTTTGCACAATATTTAATTTTTTTGAATTTTTTTGTGGACAAATACATAACTTTGCAAAGAAGATTTTTTGTAATAATTCCTGACAGAATCCATACTTTGCCCTCAAAAAAGAGACTCTTTAATAGAAACTTATTAAAATATACTTGATAATTTAGCAATGATGATTTCATTTAGCAAGGTAATAAGATTACTATTATTATTAGAAAAATGGTCCCTATGAGGTATTAAGATGCGATTGTGAAAAAGCTGGTTTTATCCCAATTTACTGAATAGTGCACTTGTAATTCAAATGTGGGCAATAGATAGAAAGTATTCAGAAAGCTATTATCTGCTTTTGCCAATAGCTAACCCATGAAGTTTCTATGAGCATGCATTGACTGAACCGTGAATGCCTACAAATATTTTGTTAACCTATTCCCAACTTAATCTCATTTACACACTGTGTATTGCACCTCCTGGCTGCACCCCTCCGTCCCCCGGCTGCACCCCCTCCCCCAGCCCCCGTTGACAAAACCCCAGTCAATAATTCCTCCTTTCAACCATTGATCACCTTCCTCCCCCTTAATTTGTATGCTCCGCCCACCATAGATGAAATTGCCGCACACGAATCTACAGGTACTAATGGTAGTATGTAGCTTGTGACTGTGATGGTGTTTTTATTTTGGAGTCTATTTCCTAAGTCCTGTAGCACATCTTTTTTTTGTGTCTCTGTATTCTCTGTCTTTTTCAGGTTTTGTGAAATAATTGGATTTATTTTGGGGTGATCTTCTTTGTTTGGAAGCTGGTGGTTGGCTTTGTGTTTTTTGATTGGCTTTTTTGTGTCTGATGGAGTGCTTCGAAAAATTATGCCTTGCGGAGACCTGGGTATACGGAACAAAATATTGTAGATGTCTCCACTTGGCAATTTCTAAAGGTGAATATAGGTCTCCACAAGGATTTCGCGAACTAGATATTTAAGGATTTTACTCAAAAAGTAGGAATAGTTGTGATGTACAGACTGTTGAAAATTTTATTCGGAAAGTTGGTGATTTATTTTGTCTTCCGCTTGTTTTACACCCTATGATCTTTCAGTGTAAGTCAATTAAAACGTAGAATTTAGTTTTTGTTTTTATTGGAAATGGAATTAACTGAAATTTACAATTGGTGTATCGTGAGATGTCTTTATAGGTGAATGTTATGTATTTTAAGAACTTTATATTTTATGTTTACATTTCTTTTTTGGAGGATTTTTTTTCTCACTATTTTGCATGAGAATTCCCTGTCACATGTTGCATGCTTGGTTTGAATTCCCTTTTGGTTTTTTTTTGGTTTTCTTTTGTTATTTTTTTTAGTCTTGTTTTTTTTTTCTTGTTTGCATGTTTTAATTAACAGTTTTGTAGTTTTGATCATCATCATTTTTGCATCTATTTCACCAGGCACATACTAAAATTTTAGGAAGCATTTCGTATCTTTTTCAATAAAAGAACAACTTAGAAAAAAATATCAAAATTAGGACCAAACAAACTTCACTGGTTCTGGTAAATAACATTTTGGAAGCCTCAACAAGTTCGTTCAAAATGCTGTAAAAAATAAACAAGAGATTACCTGAGAATATTAGATTTTTTGCACAAAACACATCATAGTCTTATCAATGTGAATGAATTTCTTTTGGGCATTAAGGAAAACATACCCTCTGATTGCACACGTCAATTTGTCAATGTGTCTTTTAAATTTCAACCGACGTAAATTTGCTTTCAGCTACGGCCGCCTCCAGAAAGTCCGCCAAACTCAAGAAACGTAAGTTGGTCCCGTTGGGTAACACGTAACACTCGTTAATAAAACACGTCCCTTGCTGAATTCCATGCTGTCGTCATTAGAGTATGTCAACACCTGCTGCTGTAAAATTCTTAGTTAGCATTTGCAACCACTGGCACCCCTTCTGAAATCTTATTTTATTTTGCTAAGTCAAATGTTTTTTTGTCGTGGTTATAAAAAGTACTTGTAGTGAGATGGGACTGGGGAGGGGTCGGAAGACCGTTTGTAACAGTGATTGTAATTTGTAGCACTGTGGACCTTGTGCATATATTAACACTCTAGTTATGAATAATGTAGTGCAGATGCTGCCGTTTTGGATGCATTTTCAAAATTGTGTAAATTGAAATCATATACAAGTAGTAATGAAAATTGTCGTCATTAACCCTAACTCCCTACTGTCTTCTACTAAGTACTGAACCAAGTCCGCCAAAATCCATCAATTACACTGCTTCCAATGCATGCTTTGCTTTAGGCCTCCAGGCCCAAGTCCATCATACTCCATCAGTATTTAGTCAAACCAGGCCTGCAGGACCAAGTCCCCCAAATCCACCAAAATGGGAGGATGGAGTTGGGGAGGTTTGGTTAATAAAAGTTGTCATCGTGAGTTGGAACTCCCCCTGGTTGACTCTCCTTAGTATGAAAAATACCACCTGCAAAGAATTCTGCGTAGAAATAATTGAAAATAACAAATATCAGTATGATTATACTTCTACAGAAATGGAATGTATGTCGTGTATATTAAGCTTAACATTAACAAAACAATTCTTTATTTGGTCTTGATTATTGAATGTGTTCTTGAAAATGTCATTGCTGTCCGCTGGCTTCTAATAAACATGTAGATTTTAGTTTTATTATATCTTTGCATTTTTTTTGTCCAAGTATTTTTTAAAACCTGGTAATAGTGAACGTAAGATTTAGTGACATTCGGGCTAGTAGCCTGACGGTTTTTAGCCTGGCAAGTTTTAAGAGAAACATCCATTTCTTCAAAGTAAGCTTGGATTAACTTCAATTTCTTCTGTAACTAATAGTAGTTTGGATATCTAACGTCATTCTCATACAGCATGAACATAAAAATGTTGATATATTCCAACATCAAAAATAACAAATTTCATATTAGAGAGAATAACATCGGTGTTAACAACAATAGCTTAACAGCCATAGAGGAGTTGTCCCAAAGTTTACAATTAACAGGCTGTGGTTAGTCTTTTTTACAATGCCTTATTTCCCACTCACCATGAGAGCTCCCTTTTTTCTCATGCTCTGCATTTTTGGCAAACCCTTTCTTGCTAACGCTTCGATGGAATACAAATGCTGTATTTTCTTCTTGCTGCCTTCCTTGCAATTCAGCTGCTTGTTATTTTATAAAATTCAATCAGTGATTTGAAAAGATTTTCCCATGCTAGTAATTGGAGGCAATTGTATTTGAAGTTTTGTTGTTTGTTTTTCGCAGGTGAAGTGCCTGACACATGGCAGAACAGGTGAGCTAATTTGCATAAAGAAATAGTTTTTACCCTAATAAACCCTGATTAACCTTCCTATACTGGTAACTATCGCAAACTCTCAAAAACCCTAACCCCTACCTCTCTCGGTAGTTTTTGTACAGGCTGGTCATCAACTACCAGAGACCCTATGGATTACACCGTATAACTGCCAAAGCCTGTTGAAGTGGTTTGATAGATAGATGTAGGTTGACCATTAATACTGGTACAGCTTGTGTTGCAGCCATTTTAACCTGTCAATTGTACCAGTATGAGGCTAATTACAGACCTGTTAAAACCTGTTACATTTATACCCCTAGGGTTACTCGCTACACATTGTCACTGAGAGAGGGAGGGTTAACATGTTGAGACAAGGTTGCAGATACACTTTTTGAAGTGAGAAAAGGAACCATTTCTTCCTAAAGAGATCAGTGGTTCTGAGAAGAACCAGAACTCTCAACTTTTATTTGTTTCCTATCACCTGTCCTCAGCTTAACTTGTCACACTATGACTTTACTTTGATTGATTGATTGATTGATTCACACAGAGAGCCTTCTGAGGACGAGATGGACGCAGTCACTACCATCTCTAAACACTGGAGGAGTTACTTCATCCGCAAGATAAGAGCTTCAAGAACACCAGGTATTAAGACACACAGCCGGACTACATTATACTCAGTTGATCCTACCTACCTGTCAATCAAACTACGCATTGACCAATTAGATCGAGACTTGTGGTCAGGTGACCATGGTTGCTTGGTCAAATTTAGTCACGAGCACTTTGAGAGGTGGTGGGCGGGGCTTATGGCCAAACCAGAATGGCTCATTTCAGCATGGCTTTGCCATTTACCAACAGAAGCACTGTATGAGCAGTGCTTTCTGAGAAGTTGTCAGAACAGAAAATCACACACTTTAATACTTGGATAGGATTCGAAGCCACAACCGTCTGTTTACTAGAGCCTTACTACTTAACCATCGAGCTTACCACAGGTTGTGGGCCAGTTCCATTCTGATTTAGCAGCAGGTACTTCAATCAATGACTTTAGGATATAATTTGCTGTAGAACATATTCCATCCAAATTCATGCTCGAATATATGAACAATTCTGCCAGATGATAATTCAGTAAAGTATTTATTCAGTAATGATCCACTGATCAATTAATCAATAATCAATAATTCATCAATTTTTCAGGATCTGAGGAGAACCTACAGGCCAAGGAACAGCTCTTGAAAGTCTGGTCAACCCTAGAGGCCAACTTTGAACAACACTCATTACATCTTTTCAGGTACGTAAAGCACTGGGAGCCTTGAGGACGCTATCACTTGGAATTTGAGCATTTACAATTTGAGAAGTTTGTTTGTCATTTTAGTTATAACAATATTACACCCGTTTCAGTGGTGTGCCTGAGTTGCCTGGAACTTGGATCGACAAAATTACATTTTGGTTTCAGTCAGGCAAACTTTATGTATTAATTTAATGTTGACGAGACGCTGGAGTCATTTTTTAAACAACTGCAACAGTCGTGTATTTTAATTATGCCATCTGTCTTTAATTTGAAAAAAAAGGTGGTTAAAAAGTTGGTTGCAGAAGTGGGATGACTTGGTTGCAGAAGTGGGATGACTTACACCATGCCTATGTATCTTATTGTCTCTCCAGGACTATGTTCAAGATAGATCCTGATATGATGCCAGATTTCCCCTTCTATCAGGATGAATGGAACCGCATCTCCTATGCGGATTTCCAGGGCACCTACCAAGAACAACCTGTCAACTCGTGGTTTGTCGTCTTCAGGTTAGTTCAAACTTTTTACAAGAGGCATTGTTTTGAACTTGACTAAAAAAGTATTACTACCTGTTTGAAATTTGAAGTATATTTGAAAATGTCTGAAATGCATAAAACACATGTCTGCTGAGTGTTATTGATGATTTTACAAATCAATGATATCAATATTTTCACAGTTTTCCTTGGTAGAAATTAAGTTGTTCAATTATTTGAACTAATATTGGCTTTCCTACATTCAGGTACATTGTGAGATTCAATCAACATGCTAAGAGTTATCGATACCAAGCACATATCAATGATAGCAATATTTTGTTCTGCTTGCCATTGTAGGGATGTGTTCTATGTACAGGAACCCATGTTGGTTGTCCCCAAGCTCTACGTGTCCATTCCAACCTGCATGCTGCGAGTAATCGATAACGATACAGGTGAAGAGATTCCAAGGGTCTTCCAGCGTGTTGCTCCATACGAATACAAACGCAATAAGGTTAGTCTGAAGTCATAGGCGGCGTCCGAGACTGGTTTTCAAAGCTACAGACTAGACAATAGCTTCAGAAAAGAGTTTTGGTCTTAGCCTAAGCCATAGATAGCCTATGACATGAAATAGACATTCATTTGGGTGAGGGTCACAATTTATTTCAGCAATATGAGCCCAATTTCTTGAAAGTGCTCACCAGAAAATATTGCTAAGCAAATATTTTTGCTAAACTTAAATTCGTAGGGAACCATTCGAAAGCAGTGTATGTTACATTTATTTTGGCTGGTAAGCTATTCTTGCTAAGCAAAATTTGTTGTGCTAAGTAAATTCGTGTACTCAACAATTAATAAAATATGCTTCCAGGCCTCAACTGCGAGTAAACATTTCTCAATATTTTCTCCCATTTCAGAGAGGCTACACGTTTGTTGCCGAGGCGCGTACCATCGACCTTCCCTTACCCAGCGGCAAGTGGAGGATGCGTCTGATTGGCTCGTCAAGCCCGCTGCCTCAGCCCAGCAGGGATCATCCTAATAGTAACTTCACCGTCCGTGAGATCAGGGATTACTACATCCCTAACAAAGAGGACATTATCATGAGGTACGAGCATTGAAAATATCCTAAAATGCTTCCTGGGTGAAAATTGAATACAGTAGAAACTTAGAAGAGAAGTTGTGAAACAAGGATTTTCTTCATGCTTGGCATTGTATTATTAATGCTGTGTGCACCGTACCCTTTGAGAGCCTGTGCAAAAAAAACCACACACTTACTTGAGCAGGTTTTGAACCTGCAACTCCTGCTTGCTGGTTTGGCAGTTCAACTAAGAATTGATAGCAAATTTTTGAGAATGGATGATTTAATCCCTATAGTCTGCTTTTGTGCACATTCAGTTGACTATCAGTCATACCCTGCACCATTGGCTCACAACAAACACTGGCAGTTTTAGAATTGCCCTTGCTGGTACCATTGTTCTCAAGGATCCTCTTACAGGAAACAATCAACACAAAATGTTTCTTGGCTCACCTCCCTTTAGTAGACACACAGATTTTAGCTGTTCTTACAAAGAGTCCATAGACAATTTGATTACATTTACCAGCACCAAAACTTGACTTAATTTGCAAACCCCACTCTCCAGGTACGTCGTCAAGCCCCAAGAGGACCACGTCGCCAGTGTCCAGTTCAGCACCTCCAAGCCGGACGTCTACGTCAATCTACAAGTCTTGGACCATGAGGAGGTGATGGCAACCACAACGGGGAAAGGACACGCCGTCATTCCTGCCTTCACCTTCCATCGGGATAAAGAGCCGGGGGAGGAGGAGAGACGGTCGGGAAGCAGAGTGTGTAAGTCTCTGGCAGGGTTTTAGTCGAGGATCACAAGTCCTCACAAGTTCTCACAGGTCCTCACAAGTCCTCACAAGTTCTCACAGGTCCTCACAAGTCCTCACAAGTCTCTCACAAATCTCCACAAGTCCTCACAAGTCCTCGCAGGTCCTCACAAGTCTTCACAAGTCTCTCACAAATCTCCACAAGTCCTCACAAGTTCTCACAGGTCCTCACAAGTCCTCACAAGTTCTCACAGGTCCTCACAAGTCCTCTCAAGTCTCTCACAAATCTCCACAAGTCCTCACAAGTCCTCACAAATCTCCACAAGTCCTCACAAGTTCTCACAGGTCCTCACAAGTCCTCACAAGTTCTCACAGGTCCTCACAAGTCCTCACAAGTCTCTCACAAACCTCCACAAGTCCTCACAAGTCCTCGCAGGTCCTCACAAGTCCTCACACGTCCTCACAAATCTTCACAAGTCCTCACACGTCCTCACAAGTCAATGACAAGTCATCCAGTCCAAAGTCAAATCACAAGCTTTTCAAATGAACCAAGATGAAGTCATTCCTTTGTTATTGTTCATCCCCTGTTACTTATGATTGAACTTGTGAATGGACTTATGATTGACCTGCATACTCATGATCCTTTACAAGTGTCTCGACTACAGCCGTCTAGCTTGTTAAGTCCCTAAAAGTTGGCCCACAGCTAGATTTGATTATTTCTTCAATGGATTAATTGTTCCCTTTTTACGTGATGGTTGTTGAATCAATAAAGACATTTGTTTTCCTTGTTTTGCAGCTGTACTGGGCCGGGGAGCCAAGCCCCACCACGGTAGTTCGTCAAGCTTGAACTCTGCCAGGAAACGCCAGCCCTCGGCCAGCAGTCACGATGGAAGAGCCTCGGTCAGTTAACTTTCCTGTCCACACAGTTCAAACAAAAGCTAAGCAAAAGGCAGAAAAAAAATAACAAAATAAAAAGACAAGACTTGAGCTGGACGTGAAAGTCGCAGTTTAGAACATTATTATATTCAGTGACACAGTCATTCAGTCAGTGACTCAGTCGGTCAGGAAAAAAAAAAAAAAGTGAAAAAAAACGCTGACAATTGTTGGAAAAATTGTTCTCAAATTTGAAAGATGATTTGTACTTTTCTTTTCAATTTCAGAGAGCTAGCAAGGGATCTACAGATAGATTTGAGGAAGGAGGCGACGACACAGAATTCAGGGTAAGTGGATATTGGAATCTTGTGGTTTTTTAAAAAGTTGAAAACTGTTTCAAATTGACTTTTAGATGTAGCTTCATGAGGACACTTAGCTTCCAAAAAAGTCACAATTTCATTCAAATACTGAACAGAATATCATACTTAAGACAAAACTTTGAATTGACATCAATTTTTGTGTAATTTGTTTTTCTTGTTCGTAGCCTCATAAGTACATCATCCAGGCTAAGGTCCTGCGTAAGAGTTGGCCTTTGTCTGAGAGCAGCTGGGCGTTTGTGCAGGTGCTGAAAGATCTGGAAAAGAACGATCTGAAAGGTAATTTGTTTATAATTTTTTTATATAAACTTAAATGTTTATGCACCTGTTGATTTGGTCAACTGTTGACTGTGGGTGTTGTGATGTTGCATTATTGTCGGAGATGTTTAATGTATGTAGCGTTGCTCGTTTTTATTTTGCAAAAACTTGAAACATTAACCTAACTTTAGATGGGCATTGCATGTGTAGATGATGTATAAACTGTTGTTAAAGAACACGAGTAACACGATTTAACAAATAAGATTTGAAACTTTGCATGGTGGTTTAACAGATTGAACAATTTGCCGGAGAACTACAAATTCATTTTATAGTCTTTCTGAGTATGTTTGCTAACTTCACAAGATAATAAAATTGTTGAGATTCATTTTAAAAAAAATCCAATAATTCAGTTTGCATGAGAAAGAATATCTTAACGCTTGCCTTAATTTGCACGTTTTCAATGCACGTATCTAACCACATGTCTTCTTTTTTGTCCCTTTGTTTTTTTTTTTTTTTTTTACAAATGAGCACATGTCGGGTTCCTAAATGGGCCTTTTTGCAACAAATTCTAATGATTGGTTTTTTTAACGTTGGACATGCGAAATATCCCAACCCCTTCTTAAACCCCCTAATGTATTAACGTCTTTCCCTGTTCGTTACCCATACCCCGGACCAGCCCACCCAACCACCTTCACTACCCCCACTGCGTTATTCAGAGAATATAGAATCGGGGAGGAGACTGATGTAGACTTCGCGTCAGAAACGATCACCGATCGACCGCAGAGGGCAAAACGAGGCAAATAACCCCAAAATAAATTTGAGAACCAACAATTTTAGCATCTTCTCTCTACCCACTCTAACTCATTTCTAAATCTCTTACAGCTCACAGATTACTAACGGCCACTGTAGTATGATCTCCAGGGTATCACTGAGTCAAGAACATGCCTGGTGGTAGCCTGGTTACCATACCATTTGGGATATGCTCGTGTTGACAGAGTAACCCTTGTATCACCAATAGTATGGTATCTAGGCTAACCCTCAGGAAGTTGGTAGATAGAAACACTCAGCAATAGCCTGGATGCCATACTACATCAACAGTAGCCACATCAGTCAAACTAGCACACTTACCGGTACTGCAAACTAACACTGCACGCATTAGTTACAGAAAACCTCACACCAAAGTATCATTTTATACTTGATGACTTGATCAGAAAATCTCACAAATTTTAACCCAAATCACTATTTTCACATTGTCTTGCACTATCATTTTTTCTCGACTGTACCTGTACAAAAGTGACAGTTTTTGTTTGTCCTGCATATCTTATGCAATTTTATTTTCAGCCGATACATTTTGAAGAAGTTTTACCCTTCAAATGTTGTTGCAGAGCTTTTCTCTGTTGTAGTACTTGTGCAAATGGCAGCTACATCCTTTAACCAACAGTTTTGATTTAAAAAGAAATCTTGTAAAAAGCTGCTTTTATACTCTTTTTTTTTAGTTTGGCCCCGTCTTGTACAAGGGTTCTCGTATATCTCCTTACAATCTGACTTGATTTAACCTTAGTATATGAATTACCCAAATTTAAATGTAATTATTTATTTATTTATTGTTTCCATTCCCGGCCCTGTTCTACCTTTCTTTTCAAAGTTTTGACACCAGCTGGCAAACTCGGTATTATCCTTTTATATTCAATTATTTGCATGCTTGTAGACAAGTTGTGCCATATTTTGGCACAGACTTGTTCCCTAGTATGTTTTTGTCAGACATGCTTGAGTGATACCATTTATGAAACTTGCATCCTCAAAGTGATTGAGTGTTCTTGTTGAAGTTTTTATACAACATACATCGCATTCAATGTGTGCATGGTCCAGTGTGGTACATCATTCATGTTCAGCTGTACAGTGCGACATGATGCATGCTTATTTCTGCATGGGATTAGTAACAAAAAGAGAAACAGAAAGACCAGAATAGTTGTGTTTCGGTGTTGTTACAATACCACAGCATCGCATGATATTATGGAATTAAACAAGATGATTTTAGATGACGTTAGTCAGCAGAGTGAAATTTACCCTGTTACAAACAAACAAATTTAGTTCAACAAGATCTTCAAAACTACTGGCAAAAAAAAATGCGATATACACTGTACTTCATTTAATTTCTAGTCATTAAGCTTTATCAGTTTTTATTTTAACGATATGCATCTTTTGAATAAAATATTAAGTACCTGTGACTGGCATTCATGTCTATGATTCTGCCTAACTCAATTGAATTTATAACTCCGTCCAATTTTGGCAGCAAATATTGACTGGGTATGCATGACACTGGCAGCTGTTCACTTACGGACTGTTTCCGTATGTGCCACGTTACTGCACAGTCAGTCTATAGACCCTCAAGTGCACACATTTACTCAGTTTTTGTCCGCTGTTAATTTTCAGTCAGCGCCCTCTCATAAAAAGAAAGCTCTTTTCTTGAGAGACTTTTCTTACAGTTTCTGCTCAGTTTTGTTAATGAAAACAGAAACGAAGACTGTTCGTGTGTCACAGTATTGCGTACACTGTCCCGAGCTTGCCCAAATTTACAAGAGTCAAATAGTTTGTTCACTGCAGACTGTGTGTTTACAAAGAATGGTTTCATTTCATCTCTTTATCTAGATACTTTATTAGAGTAGCCACAAAAGCACTGTTATGTTTTTTTGTTACATTTTTTTTAAGTATTGACTTTGGATCAAACATTTCCGAAAGGAATTTGTCAGGAAACCTGTTATGGAGTGGGGATTGCAAACCCAATTTATTCATGAGCCCATAAGCACCATATGGAATTTTTGTGACATTTTTTTGAAGTATTGACTTTGGAGCCAACATTGCCAGAAAAGAATTTATTGAGGATACCTCTGTTACGGAGTAGGGATTGCGAACCCAATTTAATCATGAGCCCTGGAATTGAACCAACAAATAAAATGAAAACACAGCTTCCTTGAGCCTTGAAAAATTACCTGCACATATCTGTCAGTAAAAGAAAGAAATATCTGAGCTGGAAAAGAATACACGAAATTGACTTAACCAACTCAAGAAATTGATTCTCCATCAACTTGGCAAATGTAAGAGTAGGCCACTGAGGCAAGATTATGAGTAATTTCTCAGAGATGATAACACATTCCGAGCTTACATCTTATTTGATGTACAGTTGTTTCAAAGACGCAAACCTGCTGAAGGATCTCAAAAACCTATTGATTTTAGAAAACAGTTGTGCCATCATGCAGTGTGTTTTTTTTTTTAGATTGATTGGCATAGGTTAAACCTGAGGGTCCGTGATGCTGAATGGTTTCCCGTTCCGTCCCTCTGTAAACTATTTTTCTTCATCTTTGGTTACTCAGCTGCTGTATTTCTCAACATTGACCCAGCCTTTGTCAAATAGCGACCAGGGGCAATTGTACAAAAAGCAAACTCCCCAATTTATACTGCTGTCTGTTATAACCAGAAAACAAATAGTTTTTCCAAAAACAAAAAAACCTCTCTGAGTCGATACTCTGTAATGTTACAATTTTCTACCAGAAATTTCTATTATCATCAAGCGTGCTTTGTGTAGTTTTAAATAACATTTGAATTAAAAGTTATCATTCCCCCAAATAAAAAAAACAGGTAGTGGGTCCAAATTATAAATTGAGGACATTTTTCAACTAGTAACCAATTTCACAACATGCATGCATTTGTAGAATCACCACTGGCACAGTTGTTGAGCCAGTCTAGTAGAGAACATATAGTGGTGTTCAGTGAGATTTATAACATTCATGTCATGGTCATACAGCAATAGGCATCTGAAATAGCGTTAGTACCTTTTGCTCAATTTTCTGATCTTGGTTAGAAATCTGTCCATGTGGAGAGTTTGTAGATACGAGATCATTGCCTGAATAGATGTAATTAGAAGTATTTAGTAAATAACATTCGCTATTAGCTCACAGTTGTCGATTTTAATGACAGCAGAAATCGATTCAGAATTATGATTGCTATTAGAAGCATGTACACCAAAAACTTGGCACCTCAAAAGATGGTTTTCCTTTTTAATTGTAATAATGGTATAAAGTATTTTCCTATTGTGCCCAATGTTTTACTACTATTAGTATTACAAAAAGTAAGTTTTTGCAATTTTTGAAGAAAACAAAATTCCCAAAGTGCCTTAATGTACCTGAGTGTTTGCTTGAATGCGATATAATTCTGAACAGTTTCTGTAGTAGTGTACTCTGAATGGTGACATTTATCATTCCATTTGTGCATTATTATGTAGATCATGAGTAACTATCATCACTGATGTCTTAAAAGGAAAAAAAAGTCCATCTCATCTTATTAATGTACAGAACATTACCACTGTAATGACAATTACTCCATTTGGTCATCGTCAATTTCAATAATGAAACATTTTATCTTTTATATTTAAACTCACTCAGCCACACATTTGCACACTCAGTTATTTCATCCACCACATGATTCCTCATGAATATTCATCACTCTGTCTCAATCTTCCAGCCAATAAGGAGCGGCCGGCCTCACCGGGCAAGGAGGGGGGCAAAGGACCCACCACCAAAGGAGAGAAGAAAGGTAAAGGAAAGGACAAAGGGAAAGACAAGGATAAAGACAAAGACAAGGATAAAGGCAACACATCTAGACCGCCGTCCCAGCAGTTTGACTTCACCAAGCCTAACTGGACGCTACGGGTTGTGCTGGATCAAACACCAACGGTAAGCTCCAAGGAATGGAATATGTAGTTTAGGTAGTGTGGTTTTTGCAGGTCTATTGGTCTAGCTTCTGGTTGTTCAAAATAATGACGTTATAGCCCATGCTAGAATTAGTGGTTTTTCCTCAAAAGGTTTTCTGATTTTGTAAAATAGTCCTCTTTTGCTGTCGGGGTGTAAAAGCTAAAATCACAGAGTTTGTGCCTACATTTACAATTCCTTGCCTATAGCTCTTGTGTAAAAATTCTGTATTTACCCTGTTGGAAGAGAACCTTAGTAACAGAATGTGTGCAAGCCAAAATTTCTGGCTTACTCAGGAAATATATTTATATTTTCACTGAATTTCAGCGCCAAGTGTAGTTGGTAGAGATGGTTCACTTCCAGTAAGTAGCGCTATGAAATTGGGTCCAGGAGATCTCTCATGTCTTACATTTGATTTCACATCCATGAAGAGGATGGACTGTAGTAGCTCAGACGTCAGTGCAATGGGTGAACCTCATCAAATGGTGTATACTTTCATTGCTCTCACATTTTTTTTTTTGGTTTCTATATCCCATCCACCAGGAGGAGGTTGAGATCAAGCGGGACACGGAGCGTCAAGACGAGATCCGTGCCATGAAGCAGGCCTGGGAGGCAGCAGAGCCAGGCAGGGCGGCCAAGGCACAGGCTGCTAGGGAGAAATTCCTCAAGGAACATCTCATCAAGGTGGAGACGGAGGAAGATGGAGAGGAGAAGACAGAACAAGAGACTGAAGGTAGGAGAGAAAATTCAACCGATACTCTTAAGATGTTTTTATAGATATTTATTCAATTAAAAAATAAGTTTGAAGCCAACTTTAACAGAATTAGAACCAAGATCATAACCGGTATCAATATTAATGATAAATAAAAAATTGATAATAATTTGATTAAACAATTTAATTCAATAAAAAACAATTAAAATGCTAAATTTGAAATTAAAAAAAACCTGGTTCAATTATATCAAATGAATTACTAAATAACAATTATTTGGTTTATTCTGTTTCTAGTCGGGCCGCCGCAGACTCCAGCCTCAGAGATCGAGCATCTACCATCAGAGGCTGTTCTATCAAACGAACCCCCTCCCCCACCCCCACCCAAAGAAATCCTGCGAACGATAGACCTCACACCTTACATTAGGTAAAGAAAAAAGCCATCTCAAGCCAGACAATTGTTTTCTGCTAAATTTGTCATTTTTTGACAACTATAATTATATTCAAACTCATTAAAAAACCTTTTAGTCCTGAGCCATAGTTTCAAATTTTGAGAGGGACAAGGTCCCCCAAACTAGTTAGTACCAAATTCACTTCAATTTGTCTGGTTTTCTGTCACTGTAGCCCTGTGATACAAGTACTATGCAAACATATCAATCAAAATTCGTAATAACCTGTCATTTTCGCCCGGCGAGTGAATTTAATCTAAATGATGCATGTTGCGGCAGATTTGATTAGCTTGCACAAACTGTGCCGTGTGCTTTAATTACCCTCGTTCCCTGCCACTGTACTTTTTTTCAAGTGTGGCACGCGCCAGCTGGAGAGGCACGGTGGAAAAATAAATGTTGTTTTTTAATTCACCCATTGCAAATGCAGGGCTTGATAGACATTGGAGTTTTCAGTGGTAAATTTGAGTTTTGAGCCTGCACCAGCCAGCTAGTGCCATTTGCACTTGTGGTTGTAACTATGTTTCTGGAGCACCTTAGGCAAAAGAAAAAAATAGTTCTGCTTCCGGTTTCCCTACCTACCTTATTTTGACAGCCCCTACCCTAATTGTTTTATTGGGAAAATGAGAAAAATTACCCAAACCATCAATTTTTACCGTTTACTCTTGACTACACGCAGACTCCTCCATATGATTGTACACACAAAAAATTGGCCAAAAAAAAAAAAAAAAATTCCCTACCTACCTACCTACCCTATTTTTGAATACCATGTAATCGGAAGCAGAACTAATTTTTTTGGGCCTTATAAGTATTTATAACATACCAACATTCTAAGTATTACAATATCTCTTTACACTTTCAAAATGAGTAAAAATAGCACAAGGGTACTTGACCCTTTCAGAGGTACCAGACCATTTCAGAATGGGAGGTTTTTCGTAAGTGCTTGTCTGAATCTCGTCGCACAGTAGTTGCATTGTCAGAAATTCAAATTTCAGTGAAACATTGTAATTAAAACTCAGGATATTGGGCAGAGGTATAATCTATACAATCACAAGTCAATCACAAGGCAATCACAATTCGATCACAAGGCAATCACAAGTCTATCACAAGTCTATCACAAGTCTATCACAAGTCAATCACAAGTCAATGACAAGTCCATCACAAGAAAATCACAAGGCAATCACAAGCTGTACATCCATTAGTCAAGTTACAAGCTATTCAAATTAGCTGTGACTGCAACTGACTTGTGATGGACATATGATTGAATTATGATTGACTTGTGATTGTCTTAAGATTAACTTGTGATTGACTTGTGATTTGGTTTGTGATTGACTCGTTTGCAACTCTGTTTCTTGTCAAGTGAAATTTGCGTCGCAAGATGGAAATTTTAAAATTGGGTTTGCCCTTCACGGAGGTCACAGTGCTTATGAAAGATATTGGTGAAGGGCAAATCAAATGTTAAGATTTACATCTCCAATTTTGTTATTCTTCTCTCCATCATAGACCAGTCAACTTCACTGGTGAGCCGCGTCTCAAGGACGAAGCAGAGATTGAGAGACAGACACAGGTCAAGCAGGAGGAGGTCAGACGCTATCGAGCCTTCCGGGAATCCGTCATGGAGGCTAGGGAAGAAGATAAACGAGAGAGGAACTTGACCAAGGAACGACAGCTACAGAAATGCACCGAATTACAGGTAATCGGACGAGTATTGATCATATTGAATCAGTAGCTTGTTCAGGGAGTTTTCCGACACAGTAACTACTGAGTTAAACTCTTTCGGAAGCTGGAAGACGAGACCAATGATCATGTGACAATCGAAATCTTTATTTCTCCTCACCTGAACAGACATCCTTGGACGAGCGCAGACTGCAGGTGAACGAGCCACGGGAGGCTTTCCGTCAGAAGTTCCTGGAGGCTGAGAGGAAACGTCTTGAGGAGATTGCCGCGGCCGAGGCGGCGCTGAAAGCCGAGCAGGAGAGGAAGAGGTCGCCGTCGCCCAAGGGACGGAAGAGCCCTAAAGGGAAGAAGAGTCCCAATAAGAAGGGAGGGAAAAGTGCTAAAGGAAAGAAGAAATAAACTTAGTGAAGTTTTTGAGAAGCTGGAAAGATCAAGATTGATGCACACTGGCTGTTTTCCTGGTCAACCTCTGGATCTTTTTTTCTTCAAAGCATTAACTTTTTCCGTTCTTTATAATGTACTTTTAAGATTCATGGTTTTGTAAGCAATCTTTTGAAATTCAAATGAATTGATATGAATTTTATATTTGAAATGTTGTTGGGGATTTCATTGGTATTCCAAAATAATTTGTTACGAGAAAGTGTGTGAATCCATTCCGTCCACTAATTTGGTTTCTCCAAATACACATTGAGATTCTTGTCAAAAACACATTGAGATTCTTGTCAAAACACATTGAGATTCTTGTGTTAGAAAGTCCATTAAGTCTGAAATCGCAAAGTTGATTGTCACAAAAGGCAGAAGTTATGTAAAAGGTGTTCACTTTATGCTAAAAACCCCCACTCCTATGGACGTGGTAGAGTCTATCTGACTATGGTTCCCCCTCTAGGATAATGTGGATTGGTCCACAAAGTCACTGGTACTACACTGTTCAAGTTTCACTTAATTCTCATTCAAATGAGCTCCACCTAGTTCCCTTAATCCCTAGTTTGTGCCAGATATGTGGGATTTGTGTAATCCCTTCATAAAGAATATAGGTTCTGGACTCGGCTAATTCAAAACCTTCAGAGGTTTGGAATTTTATGTTGATTTCTCGGTGGGTTTGGCCATAGTTGACATGCATTTGAAGGGAGTGGTTCTGCAAATGGAAATTTTGGTCATCCGTTTGTTGCGCAGAGTTACAAGTCAGTACAGTTACCAAAAGTAAGTAAGATTTTTCTTTGCCGACCTCTTGGAATAAAGAGGAAATAGTTCATGAAATTCAGGTCGTGGATTTTAATTGTAATATACCATCCAAGACATTGTACAAAGTGTTTATGAGATTTTGTATATATTCCGTCCATGTTGTGTATTTCTATTTTCAAGGCAATATGTTAACATTTTCATCAAATTTCAGAAGGGTAAATTTTGATTCTTGTTTTCTATAAGCCTTAAGATTTCTATTTTATGTTGTTGGGTTTCTGACTTAAGCATTAATTTATGTCACTATAAATTTTAGCACCGTTGAAGTGCAAGTTCAACTGTATAGTGGGGTTTTAAAACAAAACCTGTACATTTTACACCTGGTTTGTGTGAATAAAATACAATTGAATATCGGAAATAGTAATCTCCCTTTCATCAAAAATGTTCGGTCATCAGCAATTTTATCATAATTTGGATAAATGAAATATGTTTGACAGATGTAATTTAGAGTCCAAACTTTTGAATGTTTGCTTTTGCTAAGTATAAAAAAACAATTGGTTAAAATCCCCAAGCAAAATATTGCTGTCTTCGACCTATTGGGCACATTTTTTTTCTGAAATTTTATGAGAGTTTCAAGCACTTGTAAGGCAGACATTTTGTAGATGTATCGCTCTGATGACTGAAGAGGTTCAGCCAGTTTGTTGACATTCCATTCCAAAAAAATGCTTTGCAACATCTAATGAACTCCCTGAAAATAACCTAACAGGTGCGATTTCAATTACTAAACAATCACAGATGCTCCAAAATTTAATAAAAGTCCGGAGATCATTCGTCAGTGTGTTCCCAGAAAGAATGAGTTTGTCAACCGAATGGTTCGTTTCGAAACACTCAAGTGAAAAATCGTGCAAACGATCGCAGTCTGGCGTTGAAGCACATTTTCGTCTCTCTCTAAGGAGATGTTGTCTCGCCTTTGTTTGAAATTTGTTGCATTTTTTTAAATGTTATTTTGCGGGGCTTGTGTTTGCTTCTTTATTTTTTGTATGGTCGATCGAATTTATGAGAACCTCAGTTCGGAAATGCCCCCACAGCTGTCCAGTAAACAGTCGGTTTTGTTGTTCAGCTAAAATTACAAAAAAAAGTTCAGATATAATTATGTCCTACCCACCTCAGTTCCAACTTTCCCGTCGATCACTGATCTCCACTCCATGCATGATTGATGACGGGAAACGTTGCGCAGCCGAAACCATCACGTCTTACTTTTGGCGGTCAAACACAAATCGGCGGTTGTTAATTCGTAGCCATGGTAACAACCTGCAGACGGAAAATGGAAGCAAAAGCCCCATCGCGCGCTTTCTTTGTCGCGGTGCCGTTGAATTCTTTTTATTTTTTAATAGAAAAGCAAACATTTGCGATTGCGACGAGTGATGACACGCGGCAGCAGGTATCTTTGCAATGCGCGGAGCGAATTATTCTTGAAATATGCGGCACGTACAAGTACAAGACAGGACAAAAAAACCAAAAGGCACCACAAACAATATTGAAATAATCTTGACAATCTTACCTGCAGAATCTCAAAACCAAAAGGCAATAAAACTCACCACAGAAATTCCAAGTACTCTCTCCACAGCTCGGTCCAGTTGCATACCCCAGGTAGATAATGGCAATGGGCGACGGGTCTGGGGTTGTTCTATTCATAAAGGGTGTTGAGCCAAGTTCGCCAACCTTGATCAAGCCACGGGTAGCTGGCGTGATGCCCCACTCAATCCAGAACCCACGGGGTTGGGAAGGATCGAGGACGCCCGTAGTATTCACAGGCGGGATCCATGACTCGCATTGGAAACCGTCAGGCCCGCGAGTCTCACAACGTTCGACCTCGGACTTCTTATTGGGCTCAGTCCTTATCACTAGAAAATCGACGGAAAGATAATTGCTCTTTTTTATACACTCCCGATCCCACGGTAAAAAAAAGTCAGATTCTTGTTCAACAACAGTGAAACTTAAACAACAGCAGCTTTAATACTTATAGCGCCAACGAATCGAGTCCGGTAACGCTTAAAACTGTTTTGCCGCCCCCTCCCCTAAAAAAGTGTGTTTAGGATACGGCCTGTACCAACAACTACATAACTTCTCAAAATCCTCTCCTCATAATTCAATTTTTTTTTTTCGTTTACTACAAAAAAAGACAATGTTCTTCTTTGTTTTACCTATTTTGTACATGTTACTTTCACCAAGTGTCGATTCGGACAGACCAATGACTGCTTGTTTGTCCGTCTGCACAGTGAACTTCACTCGGTCTCGGCCGGCGAGGATCAAGGTGGAGGGCATGTCGAACATGAGTTGCCCGCGGCCTGACGGCAGAGTTCTATTTACGCAATCATCTGAAATGGGACACAACAAAACCCGAACTTTTTAAGACCTCTTGAGTCACATCAATGTACTGTTTAGTTAAGGGTAAACCAGTCCGGACCTACGTGCACCGTACCCCTTATAAAAAGTGAAAATAACTCCACGTCCGAAAAGTTTACTATTGTCGAGCATCCGGCCGAGAGAGCGGAGGAGAAAAAAAACCCGTCGACCATCATTCACAAGTTGACTCCAGGGGGCCTCCATAGGGCCTACATTGTGTCGTAGTATGAAAAACAGGCAGAAGGCCAACGGTAGGCTACATCATGTGATACATTTTGTCGAGATGAGCAAGGTTGTGTTGAATATAAATTAATTCTAAATATACTTTAATAAGTATCCTTTGTTCCCGCATATTAAAATAAAACCTTTAGTAAAAAAAAAAAAGTTAAGATATCGGTGTTATCGCGCGCGCACTACGGTGCGCGTTAATACCCATACGTATACATGTCTGACTGTTGTTTGCGGTCAACGTTTAGAATCACGATTCCCCATATAAAAACCATGTTTATTGAGATAATTAATTCAATTAATATAAATACGTATACCCTAATTGTCTTCAATAAGTGTTATTTTTAAGCTTTAATGGATTTTGTCCAGTACAGAAAAGGAATGAAAATGATCGATGTTGTTGATGATTTGTAACCTAAATCTTTCAGTGGATATTAAATATTGGAAGAAGTATTAGAATTATTTTGTTTATGGCCATCATGTCATTTAAATTGTACTCAACACGACTGAAGGTATTGTATTTGATTTGCATCGGACGTTTTGTGGCAAAAACGAATATTTTCCGGTTGAATAAACACAGATAATAACATTAATTTTAATTTTTGATACAACGATGTGCAATGTAATTGGTCATATCGATTACGTCCGCAATACAGCTGTAATAACGCCCGCGAAATTTGATGCGCGCATTGATGATTGAATTTTTCAGTCAACTCTTCGTGTGTGTCAGATTTTGATACGATTACATTACATGCATTAAGAGTGTTCAACAATGGCTGCTTCTCCCAAGAAAGCTGCTTCTCCGAAGCGATCTCAATCGCCGACTAGGTCTCAATCTCCGACCAAGAGAGTCAAGTCTCCCAAGAGGGCCAAGTCTCCTTCCAAGAAGCGAGCAAGGTCCCCGAGCAGGAAGAGCAAGCGTGCGGCTCACCCTCCCGCTAGCAAGATGGTGGTGGCTGCCATTTCTGCCATGAAAGATCGTCGTGGTTCGTCCGCTCAAGGCATCAAGAAGTACATCGCGGCCAACTTCAAGGTTGACACGGCCAAGGAGGCTCATCACATCCGCCGAGCTCTCAGGTCTGGCGTGTCCAAGGGTTCCCTTCAGCAGGTCAAGGGCAACGGTGCTTCGGGTACATTCAAGCTGACAGCCAAGCCCAAGAAACCCGCCAAGTCCAAGGAAGCCGCCAAAGCCAGGGCAGCCAAGGCTAAGGCACGGGCTGCAGCGAAGAGGGAGAGGGCAAGAGCAAGAAAAGCAGCTCAGAAGGCCAAGAAAGCAGCAGCAGCAGCCGCCAAGAAAGCCAAGGCTAAGTCTAAGAAAGCCAAGAAACCTGCCAAGAAAGCAGCCAAGCCCAAGACAGCAGCCAAGCCCAAGAAAGCAGCCAAACCCAAGAGGAAGGCAGCCAAGAAATCACCAGGGAAGAAAGCAACCAGACCCAAGGCAGCTAAGAAGGCAGCAGCTAAGCCCAAGAGAGCAGCAGCCAAGAAGGGAAAGAAGACAGCCAAGAAATAGACACGTCTTGGTCGTCTCATCAAAACAAACGGCTCTTTTCAGAGCCACCACATGAATAAAAGAGATTGATCTTCTTGTCTGTGTCACGACTCTGTCTCCGTTAGTTTGACTAGCCTGATCCTTCTTTTAGTTTTAAGCTTGAAAAAAACATTTGAAGCTTTCATTAAATTTTAAAATTTTTAAAGTTTTTAAATTAGGCCTAGGCCTATAGGACTAAAACTAGTATTAAGCCATAGCTTTAACAATAACAATAACATTAACATTTTCCAAGTGCTGCAACGTAAGAATTTGATAGCCTATCCATAAAATGCCTAGGCCTAGGCCTATTTATTTTATCAAAAAATATTAATCATGTTTTAAAGGCAATCAGTCATACTTTTATTTTAGGCATAAAAAAAGTTAGGCCAAGGTCCTAAAGAAAAAACCACCTTGGCCTACCCTAACGTACCTAGTATAGGTCTAGCCCTTTGGCTTTTTTTAGTATGTTTATTCCATACGACAAATGCAGGGTCCCCCCCCCCCAAAAAAAATGTGCCTATCAATCCATATGCATCCTATCCAATCAAGAAAATGTTTACCTGTTGAAGTCACTATCCCAAACTGGTGCTGACAAGTTACGGCAACCACCAACAAAACCACCGCGAATCTCGTCCTCGCCGTGCCGTGAATTGTCGCCGAACGACGGTAGGCGCTGCGGCCTCTCCGCGGTACGTTCCTCGGTAATTTGGCGAATATCTTTGAGCCTGCCATCCTTGCTTCACATTACCTCCAAGTTAGGGTCCATTGTGAAAAGAAAATGCAGTCGGTTAATCTTCCTCTTTCCAGAACAAAATATGACCGATGTATATTGCCTTGGTAAATTTTATATGAAGTTTGCTACAGTTTTCATGACGTTATAACATACGCTATTTCAAACAACTAGCTCAAGATGAACATTTTTAATTATTTTGTACGTGACTAGGGCAACTCCATTTGAACTTGGGGGTGGGGGACAGGAAGGTTGTGTGTGGGCTTTGCGCAAGTTAAGGCAGAACCAGAACTATTTATTTTTGGCCCTCCCTATCATAGAGTGGACTTTCCCACAATTAGACATGATTATGACGCATTCTGCTGCAGGCAGGAGGGAAATATTTACTGGTAAGCAATTTAAAATATTCCTCTTAAATTTGTTTACTTATATGAAGTAAACCAAAAACTGTAATTGCCAATGCATTCACATTGAACCTTTTCTTTTATTGGACGTGTTTTTCCATACAAATAGCAAACCACACACATTACATTTCAAGCGAATAACTTTGTCATAAGTGGACGGTTGAGTATTTACACAAAATGTGATAAAAGCACCAAATATTTACATAAGCTTGCTTACATCAAATCCTTAAAATATATGGAAAACATTTGGACAGAATAATTACATTTCACCTTTTCACATAAATAGCGGAATTCAATTTTACTTATGGCCACACTTTGGTTGCAATTAACATATTATGCAAATTAATTGTTTACAAACAAGCAAATCGGCTAATGATAAACAAATGGGGTAAATTATGAATATGATACAATTGTGTCAAGCCTTACCCACGCAAAAACGGACTTCCCAAACATTTCTTGAAAAGTTAACAAAATTTTTCTGAGTTTTCCCAAATTTCACCCAACCTTGGGAATCACAATCCTTGATTTCTGTCAAAAGTAAGGCCAAGCAAGTACTTTTTAATATTCAACAAATAAAATTGTTGATATAATGTACAATATTCAGAAATTATCCTCCTAAATTCCAGAAATTGTGCAACACAAAGGGTGTTTTTTGGGGAAGTGTTGTGGATATTTGACATCACAGCATTAACATCAAGCACTTTAAAGCCCACCACATGTTCTACGCACAATTAACATTCAAGATTAGGCCCAAAAAAAAAAGGTCTCCGGTTTCTGGTATGGAGCTTGCCCAAAAAGTGGTGCGGCGATGCGGCTTTTTTTTTTTTACCTGTTTTTTTTTGCTTCAAATGTCAGCTGATGACTGCAAATGGTGCCCGACTAAACTTAGTGCAAACATAATGGGAGTCCAGAGAGGCCACATAAAGCTTATTCTCGATCATAACTCCATCTAAAAACACGTTAAAACTGTGCAGCAGCAGGATTCCAGTCGAACCAGTGAGTTTGGCGGTTTTGAGGCATCATCTTTTATTGAACAAAAAACTTTTTCATTTTGCCGACACGCATGGCTACGGCGACCAGAAACCGGAGACTTTTTTTTTTGGCCTGTTTGATTTTTTGTCAACTTGTACAGTGCTATACAACCATACAAATAATTATGATCAACAGACATTCCGACTATCCTAAATCACAAGCAAAAAACTGCAATTTTTGTCCATGACCAATTTTTTACCAAATGACATATTTTTAAACTTCAACTTAAAAATACTGCACTGCATTTGTTGTTTGATGAAAGAAAATACGTAGGTACACATACCCTGATATTCCTTTGTTGAAAAGTTGCAAAAAAATCAGGTCTTAAAAAGCAAAACAGGAATTTTCTTTGGCAAATGACTTTTTTTGAAAATCAAAAATGAAAAATTGCAATACTGGAAAACATGCAATTGGAATGAATTGTGTGCACAAACAATACCTTTTGTTTTCTATACTTAATTTTTTTCTGCTCATAAAACCTTGCATAAAATCATTGATCACTCATACAAATACGGCACACATGTTTTGTCATCCTAAAATGCACAATTTTTGACCAGTTCTCCTACATGGGTGATGAAAAGTGGGTCAGTGCAAAGTACGACGCTTGATGAAAAGTCGAATATTTTCTTCAAAAACTGCAAACTAACATTGTGCTAACCAGGACCGGATCGATAGCATTGAGCGGCTTAAGCAGAAAATAATGCTTAGCGAATGGAACTGCTCAGCAAAATACTAGCAGGGAACCAGTCACAAGTGGTATACATTTCATGAGGTTTTGGCTGGTAACCAGTTTCTGCTAAGCTGATATTTCCATGCTTGGTGAATTTCTGTGCTATACATAATTTTATAATACGGAATTCTGCACCTGCTGTAACCATTCTTTGCTTACACCCCTTCAACTACGTTCCTCTAACCCAACCAGCAACCCCCCCCCCAATCCCTTTTATCAAGGAGCCTCTCCGATAGGTACCAGGTCGGACTGATGTTTCTCCACCCTCTCAAGCAGCTGTGATGCCACCGGACAGAACTCAGTCCGCCAGTAAGACCTCATGAATTCCATGGTTTCTGCGTCCCACTCAACACCTTCCGGAGCCTCCATTGCTGTATCCTCATCTGAATTACAAAAGAAATTACAGATCCAAAAATAAATAATTAATTATAAAATTTTAGACCAAATTCATGTTCTGTTTTAACCACGATACCTGCAGCTATATCAGATTTGAACCAGCCAGCCGACCCCGGCAAGCTCGGGGGTTGAGTGGTAAGCCGTCTGCACCAGTAAGCAGGAGGTGGTGGTTTCGAGTCCAACCCGAGTAAGCTTGTGAATTTTTTTTTCTCAAAAGACCTCGTACAGCACTGAGTATACATGTATAGTGCTTATGAAATCACATCAGTGATGGGCAAACAATTCAACATTAAATTTACAAGTTTTCGTACCAAGAAAATCCACAAGTTTATCGATGAGGTTTGCGGCTTCTTGTTCCCCAAAGCAGTCAACGGAGCTTGTGATGTTCTCGCTGTAGTTCCATAACGTCATGCACACCATGCCGGCAAGCTGCCAGTCCGAACGACCAAAGTCTACCATAACGTCAATTATCCTTTTAAAAAAACGCAACATTTATTTTGTGTCAAAAAGTTATAATTCTTTCATGGTAGAAACTGCTCTACAATTGTTCTGCAAAAGAATCACTTGGTTTTTTGTGTGTGAGAATATTCACAATATGAGTGAGACAGGGCTGAGCAGGGATTTGTTCTTTTGTTCTTGTGTTCTTGAGCAAGCAACTTTACCACAATTTTAATGGCCGACAGTGAGAGAAGAAGACTCCAGGCTTACTTTTTGATTCCTCCTTCCTCTTTGAGTATGTGCCTTCTGTTCTCATCTGCCATCAGGTTGATAAGCACACCACACGCTGTGTAGACCACTTCCCTGTTTCTGGCATCGAGTAACGTCACCATCATTTCATCAACTGAAAGTAAAAACACACAACCATTCATTATAATTCATAACATTAGAATAGTGGAATATGATTGGCTGAGAGAAGGTCAGCTGACCTGTAGTGAATGTCAGGATTGACTGTGATTGGTCGGTTACTGATCACCTGACACTATGCAATTCAAAAGAGCCATGAAGGTCAACAAATTTCAAGAAGGAAAACATTTTCTTTTAAATGAGCAATAACACACTGCCATTTTTTCATGACAAATAAGGAAAATTATAAAAACAATTCGTAATTGTTATTTTTAGTTTTTACCTTTTTTAGAGGTCAAGTAGTCCCTCACTTCGACAGCTCGAGACAGATTACCAAAGACCCTGGAAGCTTCAATCATTCCATCCATGTTGTCATTCATCAGCAACTTCAGAAGCACTGAAAGAAATTATGCAAAATTAGTATGACGTGGACTCCAAAACTCTTTTACGCACATGCAGTAAAACTTGATAAAAAAGCACCGCGCCATTTGCGTGGATCAGTACTACTGCTTGGCTAGCGTTGCTGTTGTATGTCGCAAAGCGCCCCCACAGGCTCTGCACAGGGCTAATATATCCCCTTCCCATAGTGCATTGGGACCACGGCATACTCACATCTTGAAATCTCCATCCTTCTCTCGACAATCTCGCTGCCGATGATGTCGTAGAACGACAGATTGTTGATGGTGATGACCGTGTTCAGAACGAGCTCTTCGCTGGTGCGTACATTCTTGTAATCTGAAAATGCAACAAACGTACAATGTCAACAGAAGGAAAAGTGCCCAACCCCGAGATAGGGCTACAATACACATGTTCTTATTTGTGGGAAAAAATAATAATTGAAATGGGAAACATCACCAAGTTTGATGAAATGTAATTATTCACTTTTAAAGTGTATTAAGGCTCAAAAAGGCAAGTGTTTTGAACAAAAATGATTGCTCTGATTACAAAAAGGACCAAATTCCATTCTTTTCTGACCTAGAATCTGCATGAGCTGGTCAATGCAGTTCTCGTTGGATGCAATCAGCGGCCCGATGTCATTATTGATAGACAGGTTGGCAATGACTCGGATGATCTTGATCAAGACGTCTTCTGTCAGGTTGGTAGAGTTGGTGGACTCCCCGTCGCCATTTTGAGATTTGGCAGGCTCCTCCTCTGGCAATTTTGACTTCTGTTAATAAATTCAGGAAAAAAAATTAAAATGTGAGTAACTCTGTTGAAAAGCTAGGAAATGCTTCAATAAAAACAAAAAGGTCTTTTAAATTCAAGACTAAGTTAGAAGAAGAAAATCATGAAATTATCACCAAAGTATAATTTGGTTCTGCAAGAAGAACGTCACTAGCACATTCAATTATGTTTCTGATTGATGTCCCAAAACAGTTAAACATGTCAGTTTATAACAAAACTATTGTTATTAGTTTAAAAGAATATTTTCTCTTTTGGCCATTTCTTCCACAATTTCTGACATACAAATCTGTACTGAACATTCAAGAATTTTTTGGGCCATACATCTCAAATGTTGTTGCAAACTTCCACCTCAAAAGGAAATGTCATGAAAGTTAATATTGAGCTCCAATAAAGAAAAATTATAAGCTTGAAAATATTCTCAACATCTACGGCTCAAAGAAACCCCTTGAACACTTACTTGTAAACTTTTGACAAAATGATGTCGCAGCACGTTGAGCAGCGTTTCCATGGCGTTCTCGGCGTTGAAGAGACAGTACCTGAAATCGTCATTCTTCGCTGTCATGTTACCCAGGGCAAAGCAGAGCCTGACCGCCATGTCTCGCTGGTCCTGGTAGCGGCCGAGTAAGGCTAGGATGGACTGGAAGGCCGATGGGTATTCACCAAGGACCGTGGAACACTCGGGGATCACTGTCAGCTTACTGAAACATTAAAGAGAATCACCCAAAATATTACAATTTAAACCAAAAAGTGCACATCGGTGCTTGAGAGAAATGCACCTTACTATGAGCGTACGTTGATCCCTCAATTACAGTTTTGCTTTGAATGGTTAAGGGCTGAATTTAAAAAAAAAATTATAAAGAGTTTTATGTTAAATAACTAAAATAACAATTCTGGTTGTGAGAATCATAGGATGCGTTTGAGTAGCTCGACCGGATCGCTAGGGTAAAGGCAGACGAGTTACCCATGAGAGCCGGGCTAATTGCAGTCAAACACTCGACCGTGGGCCATCATGATCCTCACACGATGTCTGTAGCCGCCGTCATAGGAATATTTTGCACTTTCACCACTTGAGGTGATCGTGTGTATGAAGGATGTAAAAGCATTTACAAAAATTGTGTGTTCCTCAGAAGAACACAAAACTATAAAAGACTGGAAAATTTAAGATTGGAAAACCAACAGACCTGAATATTCTGGCAATATGCATCATGGTGTCCGCATCGCTGGGGTACAGTTCCATGGAGCGGCAAATCTCTGGAATGGCGTGATGTGCCATGAAGAGCGTCTGATGATCTTTGTGATTCAGGAAGTTACGCATCGTGGAGATCAGCTGCAGCATGACGCCAGCCGAACCTTTAGCAAGCTTGCCGCTTTCGGAATTCTGTCGACAAAGAAAAATAACATGATATAAGTTTGAACTGTAAGTACAAGTGAGAAGTGTTGTGTAGTTGAGTCCATCACAAGTATTAAATCACAAGTCCTTTGACAAGTCTTCCACGCTGCTGTCCAAAAACCCTGAAACGATTTACCTTACAGTATCTGCCACTCTAGCTCACTAGCAGCTTTCAAAAAATCTAAAAAAAATTGATGAGTTAATGCTTATTCTATTTATAGTCCTCTTGTTTTTGCTCATGTTTTATTTGGTGAAAAGCGCTGTGTTACTTCTCTGCTTTTAGTTAGAGCGCTATAAAAATGCTCTGTATTATTATTATTTTTAAGTCCAGTCAGAAGAAACAGGGAATGACTAACAAAGGAAAGCCTTTGTTTCAGTTCATGTGAATAGCTTGTGACAGGACCAGGGACTGGAGGACTTGTGATAGACTCAACACTGCAAGTAAGAAGGGAAGGGCCCAAATGTCGGGAAGACATAGAGAAATTTGTAGAAAAATATGTAAAAATGGCAAACATATTTTACCCTTGCATTCATCAAAATCCTTCCCAAGTTTTTTCAGTATTTTGATGGGATCAGGACTTCATGGAGACGACATATTGTTTCTTAATTTGTCCATAAAAAAACAACACTAATCCCTGAACAAATAAAATAAATTTCCTTTTTTGACTTACTGTTTCGTTGACAGATGCCATGATCCTGACGACGTGCCCGACGGTTCCCAGCTTGACAAACCTGTCCAGTAGCTCCTTGTGGCTCTGGGTCAGGAAGCGGATCGATCCGGTCAGGTACACCAACAACTCATGGGAGTGGGTCCGGAAGTCAATCTCCTTGAGCAAATCCACGATGAAATCTGAATGGGAACAGAGACTTGAAAACTGAAGTAACGCTTTGTGATTCCAAACACTGTAGAGAGACCTTATGCATTCAGACGGCATATTTGAGGATTTTTTTGTTATTTGAAATCAGCAACAAAAGCACAAATGTCAAAGATAGCTTCAGTGTCAAGGATCTACTCGCACTGTTCACCGGGTGTGCCTGCCAGAGCTAAATGGGTTCAAAGTTGATGAAATTGACAAATAATTTTGCTCGGCAATAAAGGTAACCAGCCAAAATACCATGTGATGAATACTACTTACTAGGGCCACAACTTTATTATTTTTTTCGATCGATTAATTGTGCCCTTTTCGATAATACGGTTTTGATTAACCGAACGACCTTTTTTTTTGGTCTCCCAGGAAAATGCGGGTTGAGGAAAAAGGCGATGATTTAACTACAATATATGTATCGCAATTGTTTTTTAGGTGATTTTGATTTTTTTAGAGAAGCATCACACTCATGACGATATTATATCGCCATACCATCCATTGCAGAATGTTTGAAATTTTGGGTTTAAGACGTTTTCGGCCGTTCTCTTATGCCTTCTGAAAGGAAGTTATTGTTCTCAGTCTGTTTTTTTGCTCAAGACATAAATTTGTTTTAGTTAAGTTTTCTTGAGTGGATTTCTCCTTACCGATGATGTTATCTTCCATGAAGAGTGCATCGTTGCTGTTGTCTTTGCTGACTTTTAAGATCAACTTGCTGAGCATGTTCAAGTTGTTTCCACTTACACCGAGCTACACAAATAATAAATCCGTTATTCTTGCATCGAAAAACAAATCTCAAAGGACAAAAGTATGTCTGGATAAGAAGTTTATGGAAAAAGCTTACAAAATGAAAATAGAGACACAAAAACAGGCTTGGCAACATAGAAAAATAGACATATCATCAGAGGCACTGCAACAACAAGACTAGTCTATCTGGGTGCCATGGCAACTGAACGAGTCATAAGTTTGTGGCTGAAGAGAATGGTCTTGTAACTTTCCTAAAAATTTAGAAATGTGAAATCCTCTTGACTTGTGACTTGTAAATACTCACGGCCATCATGAGCCTAGCTGCCTGCAGTTGCACCCTGGGATTGCTGACGTCCGTCAGTTTGAATATCGTCCGCAGCGCCGTCCGCCGTCGCTTGCAGGCTTTGCCAAACATTGCCCCCTCGTCAAGGACATTATAGAGGGCGCTACAGGATGCGCATAACCTCTTTTCTTCTGATTCCTTGACGGTTCCTAAAAACAATTTGTTGAGAGGTTTATAGTTAACAAATTAAAATATTTGATTAAAATATTTTTTGCCTCTTGAAAACTATGATACAATACCATTTAGTAATAACACAACAAATATTCTGCCACCTACCTGTATGTTGAGGTACGAGTCTTTCCAGTACAGGGCTGACCTTCGTATTCCAATAGAGGGCCTCCTCCGCCGTTTCCTCCTCACGGCTACTCCCTCCTGACCGACTGCCGCTGGACGCGCGGTCACTGACGTAGCCGCTCTCGGCTCTCGTTGAACCGCTGCTTTTAATACGTTCTCTGGAGAAAAAAAATTGAATGAAACAAATCAAACAAAACAAATACAACTCTAGAATTATCTTAAGAAAGCAGTGACAAACGTTTTTGTGCTGTGGCCTTGTGGTCTGGAGCATGGAACTCAGTCTGCAGGTAATTCTGCAGGTTGTGGGTTCGAGTCCAGCCTGGGTTTATGGTGCGTGTTTCCTTGGGCAAGGCACTTTGTCACTCATTGCTTCTCCCCACCCAGGAGTAAATGGGTACATGTGAGGGCAGAGATGGTTATTGTGATTGATTTTAGCTGCTTCGCACAAAAATGGCAGCATCATGCTGTATACTCCCCAGGGAGCTGAGACTGTCTTTGGTATGTTTCATTGGCAGTTGATCAGGGGAAATAATAATGTAAAGTGCTTTGATCTAAGTTAAAAGCGCTATATAATAATTATTAATGATTACTATGAATAACTGTGTCTACCTTTCTTGCCTGTGAACCGGTACACTATCGGCCGATTTGACGCGTGGTATGCCTTCCTCTAACTGTGGTCTGGTCCTTTCCTTGGGCCCGCTATGCACCCTTCGCTGGAGCTGATCATCCCCGGGTGGCGTCGGGGACGGTAGAGGGTTGGACAATCTTCTCTCCAGGGGCTGGGGTAAGATTTGGACTAGGAGGAAAAACAAAAGATGGATAAACAGTTAATGACACATCAATCTGGTCAGTCACATAACTTTTTTACCGACTAACCATGCCTAATGGCTATTCTTACAATAGGTGACGAGCTAATGTCAAGCATAGTCGAAGTCAAATCTGGATTATTCAATTTTTGAGATTATGAAATCAAAATCTGATTTTTCATTCAGGCTTGCTCTACTCACCAGAATTTCCATCTTGACTGAGGGCGCTCTTCAACTTGTGCGTCCGTCGCTTGCCGGATGCTGGGCGGGACGGGTCTAGTGGAGGGGGTTTTGGGGGCTTGGCTAGTTGAGGGAGGCTCTCCCCACTGGATGATGGAGATACCGGGCTCAGGGACTGGCTGGGACTCTGTGGATGATATTTTTTTGTTCAAGTAGAAAGTAGTTGTCCTTGAATCTCCAAACTTCAAGAAATTCAAATGTCTCAAGAAGAATTAAGCCAGGTGAGATTAAATTCATATTACACGCATCAGATTACAAGGCTAAGAATTATATATTTCAAATTTTAAGAGAACTAAAAACACCTTTTTCCCCACTCTTCATACATCTTAATGACCTCAGATTTTGAACTTACATGATCAAGGGGAGTAAGCCTGGTATTTGACTTTGGTCTGACGTCACTGCCATCAAAATGCCGGGCACCCAGACTGCAAAAAATTCAAACAATTATTGAAATTACTGCTGGTTTTGTATAAATTTGAAGATGACTGCATACAGGAATTCTATGTAACTAAGCTTTTATTTCATTAAAAAAAAATAAAAATATCAATGATCTCAATTTTAGATCGGAAAGAATTCCATACACGGCCCCACTCAGACCTCCTGCACAAAGTCTTATGGGCCATGACAGAAAACAGATTTACAACTTTTGGTACTTTTCAGGTCATATTAAGGAATATGAGTGGAGGCCGTGTATGGAATTCTTTCCGTGCCTGATTCCATGGATTTTTACAGCATATTAATTTGTCCAGCATGATCTTGAGGAAATCAATTTCATCCAAAATAACATTTTTTCTCCTTCATTTGAAAAAGGTCATTACCTATATGCAGAAGGTGGTCTATCACTGGGACTCCTAGCTGCGCTGCCACCAAACAGCGTCCGTTTATCCTCCAAGGGTGTGAACGGTCTATTTGTCCGCACGGTGCGCAGCGATGACCTGGCCTCCTTGATGATATCCGAGCTGGTCTCCGCATCGGACGGCTTCTCATAGAAGGGCTTTAACTCCTTTGGTCGTCTTCGGCTCGGAGGAGGCTTGTTAACTTGGGCCATGGTGGGACCTCTTCTGACTGAAATGATAAAGTTGATATTGTTTCCTTTCTTGGGTAAAGACTAAAGTGATTTTGTTGCAATTTGCAGTAAATGATTGATATTATTAATACATTCTCATGTAGGCCTACATATACGCACGTTTATATACTCTGAAAAGTGTGGAAGCATACCGTGCAGTTTTTTTTTTCTTCACTAGACTAGGCCAACACACATTTAATCTTAGTGATAAGCAAGTTCAAATATGTTGAAATATTAACTTAAAGTTAAGAGTGTGAAGCGAGAAACGTTTAAAAGTTTGTTTTACAAACTTCCAAAAATAACGAGTTTAACACAGGCTGACACTGTGATATGCATTGTCAGTACAGGCAAACACTTTTTACCAAACACACACCTTAGAAAAAAATTAAACTTGACAATACAATTTTACTAGTATCGGACCGAGTCTTTTTACACAGATTTGAATTAGGACCGACATGACCGAGTTTACATTGCATTAATCACCCGGCTGTCATTAACAATAACACTTTAACAGTTACACCGACAAATGAACTCATTAACATTATCGTCTTGCGCCGCTGTTCATTTACAATAAACTAATGGTAATTGAAGACTTGTTTGGCATCCAGCTAAACGAAATCGGACATTGAGAAAGGTGTATTTTACATGATTTATTTGATCACTTACCTCCAACAACCTGCAATAAAAATCATAAGCGTTCATAGCTACGGCATAGCGCCCTCATCGGCAGAATATTTGATTGATCTGATGGCGGCTGTTACTTTACCAGCAGGTAGCTCTGAAATGTTGAACCATGGTTGAACTGCACTTTATTTATTTTGTATTTTAAAAAAAAAGCTCATTATTGAAAAAAAAAGATAATAACTTTAAAAAAAAAAACATTCAATACCTATGTCAATTAAATTTTCTGCCCCCCCCCCTCTTTTGTTTTTTTAAATGAGCAAGTCGTCCTTTCCTTGCGGAAAATAAAGGGCGCCATCTACATATCGAGAGAATAAGCATGGCGGTCTTTCTACGGGGTTTACGTGCACCGAGTTTAGCCCAAGGAATCGTCAAACTAAACTGGTCACAAACGCAAGACCTTCCCTTCTGTTGACAACCAGAGATCCTTAAAAGATTCAAGCATCCGTTCACAAATAGTAATCGTCAGGTAATTCTGGAAATGTTCCAATAAAGGGGTATCCAATGTTGGCCAAAATTGGCTAGCCCTGGCCTTGATCTTGTTGGCACACGTCTGGTCTTCGCCGCCTCACCCTATGGAAAAGTGCACTTCTTCATCGGCACCAGTCTATGAATTCTGTTCTGTCAATGTTAAATTTAATGATTTTTAAATTAAATTAGGAAAAATAGTATAAAACATCTTGTGTTGTTATTGTAAAAACTAGAAATAAGTGGCCAGCAACTAGCATGACTAGAATTTAGATAAAGTTAAAGTGGCCAAGAGATTGTGCTAAAAACTGCTATTTTAAAAATTTGAATTTTGATTTTTTTTTTTTATCATTTTCCTAATTTTATTTTAAAGTATAAAAATAAATCAGAGCAATGTTGGAGATGTTGTTTACCATGTTTACACATCAATAGAGGTTGTAAATTGTTTTTATTTTTTGTTTAATCATTTTGTATATTGTACATATTTTTTTGCAAGGTTATGTTCATGGAGTTCATTTTTATAGGAGTTGTAGACAACCTGAGAACCGAGTTCTGTGTATATATTGTTTCATTTAATTTGACATGTATTTGCTTCCCACTCGCCTATCCAGACAGGTACATTACTGACCTCTGACTTCCAGGTCAGGTCAGTGAAGGGTCAAGTAGTTAAAGGTCATTGAGTGGTCTGCTGTGACCTCCATTGGTATCGGGTAACAATGTGGCCCGCCCATGGGGGCCAGTGGGGGGCTCAGGCCCAGCAACATTACTTGGCCAACGAAGGTGAGTTGCACTTTTAGGGGTTCACAATTAAAAAACTTTTTGGCATAAGATTTGTCTTTTGAAAATGCTTTTTTTTAAGTGAATCAAAAGTCAATGAGTGAAATTATGTATATATTGGAAAGAATCTTGCATTCTGGCGCCATTTTTTTTCACCATATATTATCTCAATGAAGGTCAGTTGTTACAAAAATGTGGGAAAAAAACATGAATCTGAGATTGAGACACATTTCCAATTTTGTTGGAAAATACACAAAAAATGCATGCAACTCTCCATAGACGTTATACACACAACCAAAGAAGTGGTGTCTGGATACTACATTCTTTCCCTTGTATTTTTAGTAATAATTTGGGAATTAAGTTTCCGATTCCATTGTAATATTGTAAACTTGATTGTTGGATTTTGGAGACTTTTGGATAGTCTGATTAAATTCTGAAAATTGTCTTATGAATATTGACCTGCATGCAGGGAATGTACATATTATGGATTTTAAAAATTATCCTTGTAAATTTTTTAGCATTTTAGTGAAGGAATTATAATGTAAAAATCTAAATTTACGAAAGTGGTCTCTAAGCTAAACAGAAATCCAAAATAAACTGGTGAAGAACATTTAGACATTTTTTGTAACTACGATGAACACATCCGTCTAACTCGACCATTTTCTTTCTCAAATTTTTGCAGGCACTGATTGGGCCGCCCTTGCCCAAGAGTGGATCCGCCAGCGTCTGGCCGTGGATGCCTTAGCCCAGGAAGCCCGGGAACAAGAACAGCATCATCATCATCATCATCCCCCTCCTCCTCTTCCTCAGGATGTCCCGCCTCCGTTACCTGACCAGCCCCCGCCTCCGTTGCCTGGCAACCATCAGGAGATGCCACACCCTCCACACAAAGACAACAGAGGTATGGTAATTTTTCACCATTTTTTTTCACTATCATAATTTTTCAGTTACTTGATTTGTTTTCAATTGATAATTTTTGTTTGTTTTGCAGACCCCCATGGTGTAAAGCAATGGCACCAAGATGACTTGCCTATGCCCCCTCAGCATGGAGGATTCTTCAACCCCAATGTTTGGGAGCCCATCAACACCAACATGCCACCCCCTGGCCATCCCCACCACCCAGACACCCAGCTCATGCATGCCCCTCCACCCATGCAGGTGCGACCCCACCTACCCCCACCTCCTCACCCCTTACCACCCCATCCCCCGCCTCCTCTGCACCCATCGATGCCCCCTCAGCATAAGCCACCCCCTCAGCTTCAGCCACCCCCGCTTGACGACAAGCCCCAAGTCCAGACCTTCGACTACGATCACGGTAACCAAGGCAACCAGGGTAGTCATGGCAATGGTCAGGTGGCTCCGCAGACCTTCGAGCACAACCACGGGCTGGGAGTGCACGGCATCAAGTCCGAGCTAAGTCACTCCGACTCGCCGCATCGTCACTACGAGTTTGACGAGTTTGACAACCAGCATCCTCCGAGAGAGAAGATGAAGGATGAACATGAGCAGGATGAGCAGCGTTACCATGACTACCATCCTCCTCCAACAATGCAGCATCATGAAGGAATGTACCCACAAGATGAGGTCAGTAGTCAAACTCCTCACGTTTAACCCTTACTCTCTGAGGGTAGTTTACTGCATGTCAGTTGGTTATGCCAATGCCCTCCAGCTGCAGTTTATTGGAGGATACTTTGATGTAGCAGTGAAGGCTCCAATTGGCAGGAGTTGGAGGCCCTGGAGGGTGCCTGATACTGACCAGCTGGGGGCACTTGATTGTTATCAGAGGACTCTCATTGTTCTCTGTGGCATGTATTGGAGTGCCTGTCCAGTTACCCTTGAAATGACATGGCAGATATTGGAGGGCCATGCAAAAAACATAGGAGATTTTCTTGAGGCACATATTGGCATGCGTTGGAGGGTCTAGTAGGGTAAGGGTTAATTTACCTTGAAAATTGTTGTTTATTCATCATTAAGTTGTTTCACCGCATCTTCCATTTCATGTTCCGTTTTCCAGCACGCCTTCGCACCAAACCAAGACTTCTACTACCAGCAGCAGCCTCCATCAGACTGGTCCCACCAAGGGCTCCACCCAGACCCCCATCAGCCACGCCCAGACATGGGGGTGGGGGTCCCGCCTCATGTTGATCAGATGCTGAGGATGGATCGTCATGGCAACATCATCCAGGACAGACACTCTCACAGGAGTTTCCACAGACACGCGGCTGAGGAGCCCGAGGCCTTGGCAGGAACAGCTGAACTTGGTAAGGAAAACATGTTTTTCAGATAAGTATTAGGGGAGATTATGTAAAAGTTGCACCTTAGAAACACAAGCTATAATGGTCAGCTAGTTCCCACTTTCATTGCGTCACGAAACAGTCGGGCAACATTATGTTGCATGACAATTTGTTTATTCCATTCTTAGCCTCTTCTACAGATGTTCCCATAATAGTCAGCCGAAGTCAAGTAATTTAAATGCACCCTTGGAATCTTTGCCACAACCCTCTTCTCAGCATCTGAGATATTTTGTCTAAGGTACTAGAAACGTAGCTTCATCGCAAAATTATTGGGTTTTTCTTTTTTGGTGTCCTTTAATCAGATGCTATCAAGCGCAAGTTGCTGCCGGCCTGGATCCGGGAAGGCTTGGACTCCATGGAGAGAGAGAAGCAGAAGAAAATAGAGAAGGAACGACAGGAGAAAGAGAAGAAGGAACGGCTGGCGGCGAGGAGGAAAGCAGAGCAAGAGGTGGAGAACGAAATCAGGCTGGCTCAGGGGCTGCCGCCGAAGTCTAAATACGATGTGAGTCATTGCATTCTGGACGTACAAAGTAAAAGTAAAGTCTGTCATGAATCAATTTGGCCCATCAGGCCGCTGTTCATCTCCGATTACAGTGGCATGACAAACAACTGAAAATATTTCTATTCCCCTGGAAAATAATTTCAAAAAGTCTACATTTGCACTATCGGTTTCAGTATATCTTAAATGCAGAAGATTCCTCGAACTGTATAGTTGAATTTTTGGGGGGTGTGTAATAATTGTTTCCTTCTTAACAACTTCTAGGACAGCGATGAGGAGTCGGAACATTCTTCCAAGAAATCTGAGGAGTCTGATGATGAAGCGAAGCCAAAGGAAGGATCTTCATCCCAGACTGGGGAAGACGAGGAAGAGGGGGAGGCGGAGCCTGAACCTCCTAAGACGGAGGAGGAAAAAAGGGCCGAAATGGTAAAGACATTTCACATCCCCAAAAGTCTTGTGTTGTACATGTCACAATTCGATCACAAGTTGTGCCGTCTCAAACCAACTCACACACTATTCATATGAAGTCCGACAACATTTTTTTTGTGTCGTTCATCCCGTATTATTTTTTATGTAATTATATGTTATTCTTTTTTGTTGACTTTTTTTTTGTATAGATGATAAAGGTGAAACAACTGATGGTTGAAACTCTCCTGAGCGTGACGAATGAAGAGATGAGGTCGGTCGCAGAGGAGGTTTACAAGAGAGCCAAGTTCAAGGCTAAACAAGGTAGGTATAGGCCTATGGCTGTGCAATATGAAGACAATCATCCATCTGAAATATCTTGGGCTGTGCAGCATGCAACGTTTAGTTTATTGTTCAACATTTTTTTTCTTTTGGGGAATAGTGACTGTTCAATATGTCACATACTCAATTACTTTCTTTTTCAAATTTACCCAGATTTACTCTGTTAGTTAAATTTGTCACAAAATTGTTGGAAATGGGTGTCCCAATAAGAATTAGAATTGTTTCCAGTTGGAGACTTTATTCATTTCCATTAAAGAATTAAAGTGCTTTGATCATGGCTTGAAAACCTAATATTTGTTTACATTAAGACCGTTCTAAAATTGTAAAAGTCCTGTAAATATACGATAGATATTTTTTGAATTAAAATGTGTGCATGTCAACATCGATTCTGGAAATAGTCTTTGGCTTTCATTTGTCAAGAAAAAAAGACAAGATGTGCAAGACCCAGTTTTTGTTTTTCTAACATTGATTCTGTTCTGTTTGAAGCGAGGAATAAAGTAAAAAAATGAGTCACAAATCTTGTAAACCCTTTCTTGGCATAATCTCTTTAGAATTTTAGAGGTTTCTGAAGAAAAAAAACCGCAATCAATTAAAGTTCTGTCTTTCCTATTCTGTATTTCTTATCAAAACTCCTCATAGAAATCGTATGAAAAATTCAGGAAGCGCAACAGACAGAATTGAAGTACTTTACAATGTTACCATTTTGCAGATCCACTTTAAATGGATTTTCAAATGACTAACCAGCTTTTACAGGTTTTTAAACTCTTTGACGCCTCCTCCACTGGTCTGCTCAAGTATGTATGCACTGTATTGATGACGCTGCCGACTTTTTGTAGCCTTTTTGAGACCGTTTTCGAGACCATTTCTCTAACCGCTGTTACCGTACATTGTCATGTGACACACTAAAGCCCAGAGCAAGATCTTGTCAGTGTCCAGCTCGTCCGCACTGGCTTCCATCTCCAAGCTCGGTGAGTACCGGTTATTTTTTGGATTGCGTGTGACCCGTTCTGTAAAGCGCCCTCTCTGCTGAGAGTATGGCAGGCAAGATGCAGCATCATCCAGAATTGACTAAAAATATACCAGCAGTGGCAATTAGCATGTTTTGGAAGTTGCACAGATGAAGTCTTTGCTTTCTCGCCTGCCAAAGTCTTGTGTGGAGTTGACAGAGGGCGCTTTGGAAATAAAGGGTTACATGCTTAGTGAAGCTTCTTCCTAGCGATTCGAAAATGTCTCTAAAAATCATTTGTATGTGGCATATTTGGCTGTTTGAAAAATTAACGTATAAAGCTTGTTTTTTTAAAATAACATTCATATTTGTCACCTTTTTTTTTTCTTCAAGAAGACAGATTTATATGTAAGCCTGGCCAATCATGCTCTTCAGATGCTGGAAGACCATTGAAAAAATAATGGAATGTCAAACATAACTTTAAATATATGACCAATACCTTATGAAACTGTGAATCACAATAAAGATTAAAATCAAATTTCAAATAAAATGCGCAAGGTTAACGCAACATAGACCTCACAGCAAACAAAAAGGCCTTTTGTTCCAAGACGTCATGAAAACAGCTGCTCTGCAGTATTGACGAGAGAAAACCATTCTTGTTCTTAAAGCAATATGTGTTTTTTCTTCCCTATCAGGAGGACTGACGTCTTACGGCACGGACAGCGATGACAGCGGATCGGAAGAAGAGGAGGATAAGGAGGAGGTAGACAGTGACGAGGAGCTACATATATGCATCAGAGAGAAGACCCGAGCCTGGTCTATGCGTAAACGAGAAGGTGAGGCCAAGACTGTCACAAGACAATCACAAGCTTATCATGAGTCAATCACAAGTCTATCGTGAGTCCATCACCAGTCCATCACAAAAAAACTCATCTGTCAAATCCCCCCCAAAACCAAGTCAATCACAAGTCCATCACAAATCAATCACAAGTCAAATCACAAGTCCATCACAAGCAATCACAAGTTCATCACAAGTCAATCACAAGTCAAATCACAAGTCCACCACAAGGCAATCACCAGTCCATCACAAGTCAGTCACAAGTCAAATCACAAGTCCATCATAATTCAAATCACAAGTAAATCGCAAGTTGAATCACAAGTCAATCATAATCAAAATCATCAGTCAAATCTTAAGTCTACGCAAGTCAAATTGTAGTTAATGGAAAGAACAATTACAAAAAAAATGCCTTTGTCATAATTTAATTGAAATGTTTCTCTTTGCAGAGGAGGAAAAATCTGAAGAAGAGGAAGGTGATGAAGAAGATAAGAAGAGTGATGTCAAACAAGAGGTGGCTTCTCCGGTACGAGAGGATGCCAAACAAGGAAAGGAGAGCAAGTTAAGTCCGGCCGCAGACTCCAAGCCTTCTGTTACTGCCAAGACCAGCGATACGGTGAAAGAGAAGAAGCGAAAGCGCAGAAGAAGCAGCAGCAGCAGCGGCAGCGATTCAGGCAGCAGCAGCAGCAGCTCAGATAGTAGCAGCTACAGCAGCAGCACAAGCAGCACGTCCCGCAGTCGCAGCAGGTCGCGTAGCAAAGAGCGGCATAGACACAGGAACCGATCGCGCAGCAGATCTAAAAGCAGAGAACGAAAACGTTCTAGGTCCCGAGAGCGGCAGCGTAAAGAACGCTCGCCGACCCCAGAAAGAAAAAGGCATAGAAGCCGAGAACGGGAGCGGCGGAGAAGTCGTGATCGCGACAGAAGTAGATCTCGTTCTTCTGGTCGAGAGAAATCGCGCCGCCGCTCTGAGCACTATGAAAGTGAGAGTAAGCGACGAGAGTCGCACCGAAGTTCTCACAGAAGCCCCACCCCTAAATCCAGTAAGAAACACAAAAGCAGCAGCAGCCGCAGAAAGCGCGAGGACTCGGAGGACGATATGCGCGATCGCGACAGCTCCTCAAGTCAAAGCACGTCCAAATCTAGTTCCAAGCGTAAAAAGCGAAGCAAAACAAGCGGGCAGGACAAGATCAAGAGGGAGAAAAGCGATCACAGCAGGTTGCACGAGAACAGCAAGTCCAGGGACTCGGAGAAGCGAAGCCGGGACAAGAAGGAACGACGGAAGCGATCCAGGTCGCGATCGCCTGAGCACAAATCCTCGAGAAGTCGCAGGGAGAAATCTCGATCCAGGAGCTCCGAGAGGAAATCAGATCGTCGTAAACGGAAGAGGGAGAGGTCAGAGAGGTCAGAGTCCAGGGAGGGGTCACTCGAAAGGTCACATAAGAGCAGCTCCGGTAAGAGGTCTGGTCGAGAACACAGGAATAGCACCAGATAAAGGTGGATATGGTTTGGTCTCTTTTACCTGTTTGTCTGTCCGTTCAACACCCATCATCAGAGCTATCAGGTTTTTAGGCTTTTGACCAAACATTTTAGACATAGATTGGAGCTTGTGATCGATCTGCTTGTATTCTAGCTGAATCCTTTGCTAATTTTATCCAAAAGTGAGATCAACCATTTCTTGCAAGAACAAAATGTGGCTGCCACTTTTTTTTCAAATCCTGGAAATCTCTGGCTCAATCTTTGATGTACATGAGACACGACTCGATGTACAAGTCTTCATTTGTTTCCAGATCTAATTATTCTCTTTATCCTGGTGTTTGATTTCAGATTATCCAACTCTGGCTGGATTGTCTTTGTAAGAAGATTTCCAACTGCCTAGGTAAATATTTAACAAGCAAAGTGGCAGGTCTAGGAAAAAAGAAAAGAGAATTCGCTACTTGTTTCAACAAATTGCAATAATTATTTTTAGAATCTGCTTGGTCCCTTAACTGATTTTTCCTTTTTTTTTCACTTAACAAAAACTGTTGTTGCTTAATAGAAAAGGGTCAGTCTGCCAACTACACAAAATCTGTTTTCCGCTGGAAATTTGTGGCTTAGAGAAAACATGTTTTCAGCCAAAGTTTATGAGATGTGTATTGCTTAAGACAAGTGTCTCATTGGTCTTTGTTGCTCAGCGCAAAGACTTCCACTAAGCAGCCAAAGTCAATTTGCTGAACTCAAAATTTGGATTTGAATTATTTGCCTTCCTCTTTGCTGCAATTCTAGATCTGCCACTGAGTTATTGGTTAGCGATTGTTCCTTGTACAAACTACTTACCAGAGGAGTGTTTTGGAGAATAAATTGGAACATTTTTGTTTTGTTTTGGGCATTGTTTTCAGATTTCCGGTTCAAATTAATGAGTATCCACCACAATGTATTTATGTATGCCTTGGAAAGATCTTACATTTTATCAAGTTGGTTATTAATGTGAAAACAATTAGAATTAAGTTATCACGTTTTTATATAGCCTGCATCTTCACTGGAAATAATATGAGCATTTGGAATTTTATGGAATGTAGAATGTTAATGCATAATTATCCTAAACAATTTTTTCCATAAAGTAAAAAAATTCTTAGTGTCATTGCATGCTTTGTACAATAATGTAATAAGGGCATTACAGTGGACTCTCGGGTTCCTCAGGACTACCCTGCTCAATCCAACAAAATCCAACGGTTACTTCCTGCTCAATCCAACAGAATCCAACAGGAGCAAATTTTAAGTTGTCTGCGTGTCGTGATCCAACAGAGTCCAACTTGGCGTTATTTATCAGTACCCAACAGAATCCGACTCTGAATATGTACATTTGTACGAGGGGTTTACTGCTCAATCCAACAGGTTCCAACGGGTTTATGATAAAGTTGGATCCTGTTGGATTCAGCAGGGGTACTGTTGGACATTCGTAACCTCTAGGGGGTGGTGCGATATACGTAGGTCTTCATTATAAAATCAAACAGGGTCCAACGGTTACTTTCTGCTCAATCCAACAGAATCCAACTGTACCTAATTTTAAGTTGTCTGCGTGTCGGGATCCAACAGAGTCCAACTTTGCGTTATTTATCGGTACCCAACAGAATCCGACTCTGAATATGTACATGTACATTTGTACAAGGGGTTTACTGTCAATCCAACAGGCTCCAACGGGTTGATGATATAGTTGGATCCTGTTGGATTCAGCAGGGTTAGGGTTACAAATTCAGCCAGACCTAGCAAAAAGGTTTGTTATATCCGAATGTTGCATTAAGAGGAGTGCCAGTCCCATTCACTGTGCACATAAAGCACCGTCGGGACCAAGGCTTTATGTTTGCTATAACCAGAATTGTATTAACAGTTTTTGTATTGACGAGAGTCGACTGTAGTTCCTTTTGTTTTGAACTCGCCTAAACAGCTGGCAAAATGCTGCCCTAATGTTTTCAGAATTAACTTGACAGTCGGCAGTGATACCATGTTGACTATCGGCAGGATTCATTTTATATGCATGCATGTTATTAATTTATAAGGGAATTTGTATACAAAACACACAACTTGAAAATAGAAGATGGCGACAATGCCACAGAACGTAGAAGAAACAGTTGGGACTTTCTTTGTCAAAAAAACACATTTTCTTTGTTACAAATAGGCATGAAGATGGACTTTTGTCATTGTAATTTCTATGATGTTGAAGAAAGCTTGGCATGTTTGCGCTCCGAACAACTCTGAAGTTGGTTACGATTATACATCATTGCTTTCTTAAATGAATTTGACTAAAGGGTTAAAGAGGAATAACATCTGCATGCAAGAAATGTGGCGCCAAAAATCAACTTAATTATGGGAGAATGTTCTGCCACACATTGTTAATTGATAGTGTCATGGTTTTTTTCTGTGTTGGGTTAATTTTTATTGGGAAAACAGTGGCAAAATATTCGAACTTTTCATTATTTGTACATTAGTTTTTGTACAGTCTAGCAAAATGTTGTTGAAAGGAACAGCCTGAGAGTGATGTCAATGCATTCATGTAATAAAGTTTTTTTTTAATTCGAAATTGAAACTTTTTGTTCATTGTGTTTATCTTTTATGATTGCGACCCTGGTTATAATACTTTACTGATTTTGGGTGTTAAAGGTTATGAATCCATAATTTATCTTTTGGGGCCAAGGTTCTCAGACATGCAACTTTTACCCGGATCAGCTGATTTCCTCTTTTTTGACCTCGCATGGGTGTCATTGAAAATAAAAAAACACTGTACAAAGTCTTGGAAATATTTGAATTTCCTCTTTTTGTGTGACTTCCCAGTTGCATGCCTATTTTCTGTAGCAGAGATGAACTACACTAGAATTCCTCATTCTGGATTTTGTCCGAATTTTTTTTTGGGGGGGGGGTGGGGGTGGGTAAGCAATCCTACGCCCTGCCCATATGCCCAACATGCATCTTTTAAAAAGCCTTTTTAAATGGTTGAATGCCTCAAATGCCACTTAATGAAAAAGACTGTCAGAAACACCCAGGTTTGCTCCCATACACCTTCCCAATTTCTGAACCAAGGAAACAGGAATTTCTATACAATGTAAATTCACAAATTCAATATTAAATTTACCTCGCGCCAACGAAAAAGTTAATCACTTGGTGCTTGTTTGGGAACTTATTTGGCCATTGCTCTCACAAGCTTAGTCTTTTTCAAAAATTGGCTTCAGATGTCAGATCAATATTTTTAATAACTGAAGTCGGCATTTTCGGCACAATCTTTGGCGATTGCGTAATATTGATGTTTACCTACGGTTGAAAGAGGGCGCCCTATTGATTTTTCCGCGAGTTGGCTGTTTACATTGATCTCCATATACACAGTCTGTGTATATGGAGATCAATGGCTGTTTACATTTTGTATTTTTTCATCGACCGCGCGCTTTCTATGTAAGCTGGCTGGTACCTAGTGTCCCTCCATGATGTATGTGTGAAAAATGCAGATGGGCGACTGACTTTATTGATCGTTTGACAAAAACTTGAGGCTCGCTGCGAGTGCGACGACAAATTTTACGTGATGAATGCTCAAAAAAGTATCCAGCATTTAACCGTTTCAGGCAAAAATATTGAGGTTTTACATTGACAGCCAACTGCCCATGAAAAGGTAAGTTATATTCGCTCTCTTTTTTCTCTAAATTTCAAATTAGCATGATTAGGCCTAGGCCTACCTGTTGTTTTTAATGCTTTTGTTTCATTTTGTTTTGGCAGTGGATATTTAGCCGGACATGCCGGAGACGGCAAACCTTAAGTAAACGCTGGCTTGCCGGATATATGCACTGAACATGCGCAGTTACTGTTTTTTTGTACTTTGCCAGCGGGGATCGAACCCAGATCTTCCCGCTCATGAGATCCGTTGCTAGGCCACAGGTGCTACACAACCGTTGGTGGTAATTTAATATATCTTAATAATTCAGCCCTATCTTAGAGAGTACAGCGCCCTCTGTTGATAGGGATTGCCGCCGGCAATATATCCACTATCTTTTGTTTTGTACACAATTTCGTTTGTCATGTTTGTCAAATTTTTGTGAGTTTGCATAAATTGTATAAATTCGTTTCTGGAACAAATGGAAGAATGGGAAAGATTCCCTTATCTGGCCATCACTAATTGTTCCCTTTAGTGACCTACTGTATCAGCCATCAGACAATGATGATATGCCCTAAAATAAAACAAGTCAAATTTAGCAGGGAAGAAAACACTTACTTACAAATGTTCAGATATCAGTTCCATTACTTTGCACAGGATGACAAGTGATGGCCAGATGAGATATGGGAATCTTTCCGAAGAATTCAGTGTCCGCTCGTACAATATCCTCAAAAGAACAAATTATGTTTAAAATATCCAATAATATGATTTTCTATGTACTAGGTAGGAGTAGGACCAAGTATCTTAGCAAAAAAAAAACATACTAAAAAAAAAAAACCACCTTTAAACAGCTTATGCTCTTTATAAACAGAGTACCAAAAAATTTACAATGAAAATTTGTTGAGATAATAATAGTGGATACAAATGTATTTGGCTTTCTTTTAGTCAACAAAATTTAGCTAGCAGATCGTACAGCGCCCTCTTTGACGCGTATGGCCTATATTATAACCATGATAACGTATTATATTACCACCATCGTCAAGGAGCATGTGTGGCCAAGTGGATAGCATAACTGACTCGTCAGTGACAGATCCCACGCTTGAGTGGCTGTCGATGCCGTGCCCAATCAACATTTTTAAAAAAAAATTCATCCCAAAAAATAAGAATGTTCTATCATTTTATATTGACTCCCACTTTTAATTGCAGAGTATTTTCTTTCCTGACTCATGGCTCTGGAGTTTTATTTTAAAGCGAAATATTATACGAAAATGTTAACATGTACGGTCTGATTCTCGTCAGTCACAACCAATGTTGGCGCGGAACCAGACTAATTTGTCACGGTAAAAATTTCTATGTCCCAATAAAACAGTCAAGTGCTGCGCATGTTCAGTGCTGTGCCGGCTTTAAAATATTGTTAGAATTCTTCCCGAACTACATGTAAGTATATTGAGCACTGTGTGGACAGTGTATATTTTAATTCCTCCATCATTGAAAGTCCTCACACTTACAAGTTGACTTCTTGGGAATTCCGTCCATATTTTGGGCACAAAAACAAAGCAACATGCTTCGAATTTCTGCCCCGTGGCTGTGTTAACAAGTGTAAGCTTACTGTACTAGGCTGCAAGATGGCACATGTTACACTGTGACATTGGACGCGGGTCAGATGAGAATGGGGAACCTTCATACAACTTACAAGTCAACTGTATTCATATGATATGAATACCCGGGTCAGTTCTTGCCTTAAGGGACGTAGCCTAGCCTCAGTCGAAGGGTATCATGAATGCATTCATGCTACATGTACATGTAGGTCCCTGAATAAAGTTCCGGCCATTTTTAGAAATAGGCCTCTAGAATACAAATTATTAATTTTGAGAAAAACGAACACTTCAGCCTGCTCTTGTGAGTTTGTGTGTTTAAAATTTCTCATCTACAGTTCAATTACACCAATTGGAAAAAAAAAAGCTTCTCGTCTATTTTTTTTTTAAATGAAGGAGGCGGGCATTCCCCCTCCCCCCACAAGATGGTAAACTTTCCGAGATGGCAGATTGAGTTTTCCATTCTCGACTCTTTTCTGTCACAAAATTATGTCAAAAAAGGCGTAACCCTATATCTACATACTGGTACATTTCTGCCGGAAACAAATAAGACCATACAGGTATTTGCAAATGTATTGCCAATTTGTGAATAAAAAAAAAAAAAGTGGCGGGCGGGAAAAAGAAAATGGGTGGGGACGAGAAACTGATTAATTTTTTTACTTGGCCTTACTTGAAGCATATACAAGAACTAACTTAACTTTACCTATCAACGTCAGAAAAAAAAGAAAGAAAAAACCTGCCATGATAAGTTATGTGAATGTGATAGACTTGATCTTGGGTAAACATATTAACTTTGAATGATGAAGTCATCGTATCATTCTTTTGTAGACAATTATGGAGAGTGTAGCTGATCATAATTGTGAAGATATATCCATTATAAAGGTCAATCCTTTCTATTTCATTTGGTAAATATTTCTGGAAAAAAACTGTGACTGCTTGTCATATTGGAATGATAAAAAAGTATTCTACGTAACATAAATTTGAGATAAGGTTTCACATTCCTGTGAAACTTTATCCAAAATATATTATGTAATTTATCATGTAAAATAATGTTTTGAGAGACAGAATCCCCCATTACCTTTTTTTTTAAAATCTAAGATTCAATTTAGAGGTTTGGTTAAATTGATACTACATTTGGCACCAGTTATTTTAAGCAAATTGTGATGAAAAATCAAATTAAAACGCCGGCACAGAAAACCTCTCTGAGGTGAATTGACTTTAATATGGATTGGATTTCACCATGTGATACTTCGAGTGTAAACATAGACGATGATGGATCACTCTGAAAATTGACTATTCCCGGCAATTCCCGAAGGTTCGCTGCCTTCCATTGTAAATTCATGACTTGCTTATTGGACTAGCCCAGATATCTAGGCACCCTGTTTTTTTATTCATTGTATTACAGCTAGGGGCTTCATCACAAGGGCTGACTTTATTTTGCAAAACTCATTTTTACCTGGTAAACATGTTTGTTCTAAAAATTCTGCCCATTTTAGCTTAATAAAGCAGTTCATTTTGCCACCGTTTAGACAAAGGAACTTAAAATGTAATTTTCAGTTCTGCAAGTTCAGAATGTTTTAGTCATTTTTAAAAGGCATCTAATATTATCACAGTGATAGTAAGAACTATGGAAGCGCAGTCTTAGAAACATTTGTAATTAAAGTAGCCACACAAGCCAAGGTTTTTACATTTAATCTAAAAGTTTTGAGAAAGTCTGTGTGTTGTATAAACAGCAATGCTGCCCTCTGGAAGTAATGTTGTTAAGGGTCGTCAACCCTCCCAACGATCGATAAAAATCACTCTGTCAAACCTGAGGCAGAAGTCTCCAAAATTTTAAGAAAAAAAAAGAAGCCAATTTAAGTGGTGTTCTGGACAGAGCTTGCCTCAGACATTTCAGTGATGCGACAAATCAAGCAAACAGCTTTGGCAAACTGAGGAGCTGCATAGTGTGTATATAAATCTCCTCCTCGACTCGCTTCAAATGCGACCCCTGGATGAGATTGAATTCATTTCACCGAGCGGTTTCCCCAGGCAACCGGCATTTCCAGGGGGCCACTGTTTGTAATTTTATATCCGAATTCCCTAAAAAGGACTGGAATAACCAATTCTGTGGCCGTGCCTCGTGAAATCAAATGATTTGTTACTCTCACCCGACGGGTAAAATTTTGTAAGAAAAACACTCTTGAATTTGGCGATCCTAATTTCAGTATATTTTGTCGATAGAATTTCAGGAGTTTGTTTTCAATACTTGCGAAATCAATGCACCAACTGTATTGTGTTAAAGAAACCTTGCGATCTCCAGAAAAATGAAGTTTTTTAAGTACTGCAGTGTCCAAAATGCAATCATTTTATCATTTATTTGGATCGTTTCTTTTTACTGCACCTACATTGCAATATTGTCACTAGCATGGCATGAGCATTCACTGTCTCTTTTTGATTGATCGAAAGAAGGCCTTTTGCGTATCTGTCTTTCAACAGTTTATAACTATGAAGATTGCTGAATCGCACTTAGAAATCAGCACTGCACAGGTTTGATTTGAATATCAGGAAGCCAAGAAACAAAACGTTGAGATATCCAGGGCTATAAATGCACGGTCTGCGATCATCTGCTTATAAATAGAGCTAAGGTTCTATGAAGCAAGGCTAAAAAACATTGATACACCTGGATTTTCAACACAGTGCAGTTCCATCCGAGCAAGTCAAGCTGTTGTTTTTCAGAAGTGTCCATTGGCATTGTTGTCACCTGTCTCCGGGAGAGACAAATGGCACAAACAACAAATCTTTTGTTTTATCAACAGGTGGCTGTTCTCTTTGTGTGAACTGAAAGCAGGTTAATTATGCTCATGTGTAATAGTTTTTTTTCAAGTGAGGTAATGAAGTATATTTTCGTTTTTTGTTGAAAGCAGAAACGTCAAAGATTGTGGATGGATGACACATTGGTGATTTGAGCCAAGTTTCAAGACTTTTGACGCTTGATGTTTGATTCGGCTCGGCTGTGATGACCAACACTTGAGAAATGCCTACAAAGACTATTTGATCAGTGGCAAATGATGAAAGACTGATGCTCCTGTGACTTGTCGCCGAAGCATGGCTGACGACAAAACCCGCCTCAGGAAAGCTAACCCTGACAGCACGGCCACGGGAGACTCCGTCCCGTCTCCCAAACCATACTCCCTCAAGGACATGGAGACAAACAGCCAGGAGGGGGCTCAGGAGGATGCCCCGCCCAGGGAGAGGAACAGACCCCGCCTCAAGCGACGCTACACCTCCAAGGAGGAGTCGTCGACTGACTCCGCCTACAATTCTTCTGACGATGAGGAGCCGGACATCACGGCTGAGGACGGCACCACTCTGCGATGGTTCTTTGCCTGGGCGACGTTTCTGGTCGGAGTGTCGGTGGCCGGTCTGCTAGGGTATGCGTTTGCCATGTACCTGATCACACTGCATGAGAATCGACTGTGGTTCAGTAGCATCATGGTAAGTACTTGACTTTTTTCCCCTCGCCAAAAAGTTAAAAGTAAAGACTCAACCCTGGTAATATAGTATAATAACCCAGGTCCTGTAAAATACACCCAACTGACCATACCAATTCAAACTATTGGGGTAGCTCCTATTTGTCAGTGGGGGTGGGAGAGGCGGGTGGGGGGGGGGGTTAAAGCAGACACCCTGATTAAAGCAGTACACACTGGAGGGTACTCACACAGTTGTCCCAACGTTGATGTGAGCAAATAATTTGATTTTTTTTAACATCATCGTGAAGTTCGAATAAATAATATTCTGCTACCAATTTTTAAAAAAGAAGTCTACAACTACAATTTCTTTTACTGTAACCCCCAAGGAGCCCACTTTTGATTTAGACACATGTACAAATGTACCACGGCGACAGCTTGCCCCAGACTGTCTGATTAAAAACATTTTAGCAGACTCCGATACTGACATGGCTACCAGGATTGGGTTTCATAAAACCTTACGTCTCTCCGAAGACGGAAATCTCCAAACATGGAAAGAGAGACATTTATTGTCTGCTATAAAGTTGTCTTCATGTTCAGTACAATTCACAGAGCAGCTAGTGAAATTGTGAAACGCATAGACAAAGCCAGCCCGGCCATAATCTGACAAAAATACATTTTGTGAAAACGAAGTTCGCTGATAAAAACTTAAATTGAATGAAGCCACATTGAAACGAGGCTTCGAGCTGTATTGTTTTGAGCAATGTGCCATCAGGTTTTCATAATTAAAAAATATTCATTTAAATACATTTTGTGAACACCAAGTTCATGCACGTATTAAATTTAGTTGCATGGAGTCATCAATGAAATTGCCACAAAGCTTTGAAAATTACCGTTTTTAATGAAGCGCCATCTCATTTTCATATTTATGACTGCGTTTTAACAAGATAAACATGTGGTCTTCATTAGCGATTCAGCCTTTTTGACACAACACCTGTTAAACCATTAAACGGTAATTTGATGTTTTCATCCGCCTCATTTCAGCCATCTGTCGTCCTTCATGGTCTGATGAATTTTTGTGGGTTCTCTTTGATCAATTCGAAAAAAAAAATACCTTAAAAAAAGTAAAAATGAAATATCCATTTTGACACACACTGTAAGCTTATGTGTAACATGAACAAAGTACTCTGTGTTTATGTTTATGGAATTCAGGGACATACCATGCAATTTTTGAACTGAATGTTAAAAATGTATTGTGTTTAGAATTTAAAAAAATTATGCATTTGAAGAATGTTATGTGTGCCATAGAGGAGGGATTTTAAAATAATCCTTTTCACTTTACCGTACTCTCTAAATTATGTTTAATTCTTAAAAGTTTCGGATGAATATAAATTTCACACAATTTCATTAGAGTGCAGTGTGTGTGTGTGCAGTTCTATTCAGCTGTTATAAACACATGCATTGTAATCCTTTGAGAGATTGTTGCCCATCCATTCCTGTATTGGAAAACAGGTGTATTTGCCTGTATTGAATGTATTGTGCACTGCCCTACATTGAATGCTGCTCACGCAGGCTAGGAGAATCAAAAGACGACCAAGATCGGATCAATAATTGGAGACCCCTTCTACCCTACTCTCTTCCTGTTCCCGTCTTCTTGTAGTTTGGGTAAGGGAATTCGAGCGTGTCTCTCGATCCGATCAAAGCGAGTGAGTGCACCTGAGCTAGGAGGCAGTTTGCATGGGTGAGCTTGTCAGCTTGATCGGCGAATCTTATCTTTGGAAGGGACGGATCGGAGAAATTGCCGGGGACGGGAAAAGCTGTGTGTGTGTAGTCAAGGGCACGGAGATTCTAAGATTAAGAAAGCCGATCGGAGCTGACAATAAGTGACACCGAGGCAAGAGGAGATTAGAACTGTGTGGAAGTGGGGCAGCGACAGCGAAGCAAATCAATAGTCTTCCCTTCTGTGAGCGGGAAATTGCTCTCTGGGTAAACAAGACCGCCGAGAGGACAGACGAGGAGATTGGCTGACATGTGTTTCCCTTCTCACTCTGCTCAGGTTGTTTTTGCACATATCTACCTTTGTTTTGTCTTTCTTCGAGTTGGGTGGGGATCTGCTGATCGGAAACTGATGAGTTATGTGAGCACTTGCACATCACTAGGCAGTGCTAGGGTGCGTGTGTGCTCTACGCAAGCCGGCCTCTTTAAAGTGCGAGGATATTAAAGAGGCAAGTTGGTCATAAGTCGGACAGGTCTGTGCCGGGGTAGGAATTAATCAGGATTGTTGCTCAGGTCATCGTCGCCAGATAGAGGAATAATAAGTTTAGTGCGACTGTGTATAGGTGTTTTTAATTTTTAGCTACATGTAGCTGCAGAAATCACATGTGACCGATTGGCTGGAGCTTGTTGTTGCTGGTTCGTTTAATAGGAACGAAAGGGAGGAGCCTGGATTCGTTATTGTGTAACCATTGAGTTCACTGTAAAGTATGTCAGACGTATCTGCCATATGGACTGGTAGTACATGTACCGATAGGTGTGCCGTCTAGACAATGCTTAGTGGATCTCGGAGCCTCCTGTTTCTATCATTGCTGAGGTTGGTGTCTCACAAAAACGCAGTGTAGTGTGCCTGGATGTTGTAAACGTTTCTTCAAACCCTTCAAATTTGAGAAATATTGGAAATTAGAATTACTGCTTGTTTATTTTGTGTACTGTAGATGTACCAACCAGTTGCTGTGTTCTTCCTGTTCTGCAGTGTTTTTTTGCACTTCTTCAAAACAACCTGTAGTGCTTTTTCAAGCTTCCATTCAGTCCATGAATTTACTTCTGATATATCTCTTCAAGAAAACTCTGCTAGATTTTCACCTGTAACAATTTTGGAAGAATCCTTTCTTGTTTGAGATCCAAATTCTGCCAGTGGGACAACCTGACACTTCAAAAAACCCAAGGAAAGGTCAGCTGTGTGGACGGAGTTTAAGTCCTACAATTCAGTCCGACAGTGGCTGTACAAACATTGCCAGCCCAGCCATTGACGTGACGCCCAAAGGTGTTTTCTCTCCGCATTGAACGTCAAACCAGCCAAAACTAAATCAGCTGGGAAAAAAATCTCATGCGAGAGCAAGGATAATCGCTCAGCAGTCCACATTACTGAATGGACCACCTAGTGCTTTCCTGACTACTTGACTACTTTTGGTGATTTCTTGAAGATGTGAGGTCTTGATGATGTACGAACACCTGTAGTTTGCAGCCTGGCAGCCTGAAGTCAGTTAACTGTCTCCTGTTTTGGGCGCAGTGTTTCTGCCACCTGTCGTCTGTGATTCCTGTCAGTTCCGTCACTACGTTGGAGTTCACACCATCGCAACTTCATGGGCCTTGTTCCAATTTCTTGTTTAGGGAGCTAGGAAAACAATTGTATCCTTTTTCTTCTGAACATTTTACCGTGGTGTAAGTTGATGTTAAGCAGGTGGGGGGGGGGGGGGGGAAGAGGGGTGTTAAATGGGGAAATTTGTCTCAGGATGCGGGTGTGATACGTGTAGGTGTGCAGACATAATATGATGCATAAACTACATTGTAGGTGTGCAGACAAAATATGAGAGCAGGCTAAGCTATGAAGGGCAAGTTTTTATAGTGCAGTTTCAAGCAACTAGGGACGTTTTTATTGCAAGGATTCTGTGAATATTGAAAACTAAGATATCTGAAAAAATACGCCCTCTCCCTACCATATTTCTAACACACATGTAGAGATGTGAATACATAGTTATAAAATGCAAACTAGAAGTCTTGAAGTATATTAATGTGACTAAGTAAAACTGCAACCAAAACCTTACAGTATGGTGCAGACATTAAAAAGAATTAGTTGGTCGTCTGCAGGTTTGCTGAATTTCTCAAGTTTACCATTCATGTACATTTGCATGCTTTGGGCAAACTTTGTTCTATCATATCTGAACCCTCAGGCATCCTGTCAGTGTACTTTACAATCAGTTCCAACTTTGCAGGAATCGTTCCAGCCCAGCCCAGCCCTTCCTTTCCTCCCCTGGGTTTCGGGCTGCAGGTCCCGTGCCGAATTATCCAGTCGACGCGCAACCGAAACGGCTCGCGCAAAAAAAGAGGCAAACAATTTGATCCTTCAATTAACTCCGTTGCTGGGAATATGGTTCGCATTACTTCCCCTTTTTGACGAGTTCCTTGACGCAATTCTGCATGACGAAAACCCTTCTGGGAATGATTTACATGGAAATTGCTGTCAGTTGATAGTCCCTATTTGTTTGTGTGAATCCCCTTGAGTTATTTTATTAACTTTTCCTCTGTGTCTGATACTGAATTTTCTTTCGGCAAGGTACGGTAACCGTGGGCAAGTAATAACTAAGAGAAATTTAAGCACCTAGTTCTACGGACAAGTTTGCTTATTTGCCCAATTTGTCCGTTTGTTTGTGTGGATCCCCGAGAGTTACTTTTGATTAGGTTTTCCTCTCTGTTTATACTGAGTTCTCCTCGCCGCAGGCTTGTCTTCGTCAAGTAACATGCCAGTAACCATGGTGACAGCCAGGAGAAATTTATACCAGTATCCAGTTCTGTGAACAAGTTTATTTGCACACTTGTTCATTCCTTGATCCTCCTTCAAGGCAAAACTTACAAAAAAATTGCATTTGTAATAATCTTGCTGCGTAGTAAACGTGTGTACATTGTACACAGCTACATGTACATAGGGTGACTTTAGACAAATTCCTGTTACAATGTATGTCCAATGTCAATCAGGTTTATCAGTTAATCTCATAAAACGTGCATTAAATTATTTTGCGTAAAATTTCTCCTTCATAACAAGCATAACTACGGTACATGTAGAGAACCTCAGTCAGAAAAAAAGTTTGAATCTTGAACATTCCAGCAGTATTCTTGAATCTTAAACCAACTGTAAATCCGATTAAAAAGTACATTTTGATTTTACACATCGAAAGCAATAGAGAACCGTTTTGAAATGATTTTGTTACGAGGCTGTGTCAGTTCACATGCAATCTGCATGAACCATCACCAAACCACCACCTTGCCATGAAAAGCACCTGTCGTTGTACAGACCTGTGGAAAATTGGTCCACACACTCCCACAGGGGGCCGGGTAGAAATTACGGCCTCAATCGATCGCAATAAAACACCGATCTCATTTCCCTGTTTGTCAGCTATCCCTTTCAATTTACTGAAGCCGCGGTGCGGTCCGAGCAGGCACAGGAAGATTCCCCAAGAACTGGGTCAATTGGGATGGGCAGTTGCCCTGGCAACGGCACATTGGGGGCAATTAATTGATTGGATGGTGCGGCGTCACCTGATCTGAACACATTTGCTGGGAAATCGTAAACTACGGTTGATTTCATTATTTGGCACAGGTTCCTCTGGGTTTTTGTTCTAGGGTTCTATTTTGCGCTTGGTTGTTTCAAAATGAAATATTCCATATGTTGGGTGTGGAGACACTCTTTTTAATATTTTAATAAGGAAGATGTATAAATTACTCAGTTTTGGTGAGACACTACCAAGACAAAGTTGGGTGTTTTTTTTTCTAACTCTATGCATTCCCTTGACTTGAAAAGCTGACTTTCCATTCTACATGTAACTAAAAATATTTACTGGAAGTTTGCCTGTTGAAAACTCAGAAAATGCAATAGACAAAACTGTTCCATTGTGTTGTGAATGTTTGTGGAACATCAAGTTATCAAGTAGGCTAATTGTCGTTGGGCTTAAGTCTTCACGTTGAATACCCAGAAATACAACCGGACATTGACCACTGAATGCATCCAGAAATGCAAATTTTCATAGGACATCAAAATGCATGGAATAAATTTTCCTGAAGATCACAGATACACAACACCCGCCGAGTTAATTTGCCACAACTGACTGCATTACTGTATCTCATTGCGGATTGACCCCATTTACTACACAGCTCAAAACCCGTGCATGCAAAACGGGTCAGAGAATTTACTACCCGCTCCCCCTTCAAGCTTTCTTCTTACTTTGGCTAAGTAGCTTGGGTACTCTCCTCAATCTTAGAGAGGGCAGTCCGGCCACCGGCCCAGCTAATGCGCTTCTTGATGAAGCGCGGCACGTCCATTTGTCATGCCGCCCCGGCAAGGGGGAATATTAAAAGACGTAAGTGGGTCACGCTGCCCATGCTCACCATGTATCTATGTCACTCCCCCGTGGGGAGGTATATTCTCGGATCAAGGGTTCTCGGAGGATCAAAGAGAGGTTCTTTCATTGGAATTTGAAAGGGGGGGGGGAACTCTAAATCGTGACGGCCTTCCCAAAAGTATTTATGGGTGATGACAGTGTTTGAGATCCCAAATCGGCTCAAAATCGGCTCAAAAGTGCAAGGGGCAATGTCATGGCTCTGCCATGCAGAAAATATCGCTTAGCGAATTGATGTGCTTAGCAGAAAAAAGTGGAGTGCCACTGCAATATCCATTGCATGGCATCTTGGCTGGTAACCTGTTTTGCTTAGCAGATATTTTCTGCGCTTAACAACTTTCCGTGCTTTAGCAGCTCCGTGAAATTTGACTGGTTACCAGTCAAATGTCATTTGATGTTCATTGGTTGTAACTGGTGCTCAGCTGACTTCTGCTCAGCACATTATGTTGTGGTTATCCTGGTTATGAGCCCCATTAACACATGTACTACATTGTATTACATTGTATTACATTGTGTTTATTCAGTGAGGAATCAATAACACCATAGTGCTGGGGCTGTTTTGGGCACTACTCTGAGTACTAATAGGCAGGGCAGATTGGGGCGACTAAAGGGTTAAATGGTGCTCACAGAGTTAGGTTCGGTTTACCTGTTTGCCATGCAAAATGGTTGTAAACTATCCGGTTCGTTAGTGTGTTGAATCTCAATTCAACCATGCCTTCTTCACACAGTGTGGCATAGCACGAATGGAACCGGAAGCTAAGGCACCTCGAGCGTTTATCCAATGGGCGCTTGTAATCAGTGGTGCACGCGCGTGTATGACGTTTTTACTAACGAACCGGATGGGCTCTGTGCGTGAGTGAAAGAGGGCACTTATTTACCACAATCGAGAACACCACGTGCCATTCTGGTTTGCGGGCCTGTAGCGTGAAGTATGCACGCCTTGTTTTATTCAGAATGTGCATAAAGCCATGCAGCATCTTTGCGTGACATCAGGCCTCGTCGGCAATGCGTTCAAATGTCACTCAAAGTGTTCTCCCCTAACTCTCCCTCCCTTACCGTTGAGGGGGTACTTGTGCCCTGAGCCCATTGAGGGCGCTAATCAATCCCCCCATCAGGAGCCAGGAAATCACACTTGTCCCACCTGCTCAGAAGAGGGCAAAATAGGAAAACTGGACCAGTAAACACGATTACACTAAGCAAATTTAGAAATGCACATCAAAACAGATTTTTTTTTTTTTTGAAGGGAGTTGGAAAACTAGAAACCGCTTTTTGGCAGGAAATTTTGTCCGAGGTAGCCAGACAGCCCGTGGGCCATTGGGGAATTTGTCTGACATTTGAGACGGGATGGAGGAAAGGCTGGTTTTTGTTTTTGAGACGGAAAACGATCAGGCCCACAGTTCCAGTACATTTACGTGTGTAATTGGCTTTTGCTGCTGTGCTGTTGAGGTATTTTGGAAAGGAAGGTCGTAAAACCATGAATGGATCGAGTAGCCTGCTCATATAGGTTGGATGTCTTTAGGATGCCCTGTTTTTAATGCTTTTTATATTAACGACAGAGCTACCTGTAACATGGATACCCAAATTTATCAAAATTTTTAGTACGTTTGATTCCCAATTTTCCTATTGAAACCTCACTCTTGTTTTATTAGAGCAAAGTCAAACTTCTGTCCGTTCTGAAGTATGAACCCACTCTAACACTTTTTGATGGAAATAGAAGCTCCAGCCTTTACCAAGTACAGTTTTTACTCTCTTTTGGAATACTTTTTTTTCAAGCAAGACGTGGCCCAAAGTCGAGAGACAGATATAAAAGGGGCCTTTGTTGCCAAGAAGAGACCCCTTAGGATACTCTGGGATAGCCAAGACAACTCGGCCACCTACCCGAACGAAATAATTCCCCCCTTGTGTCTAACCCCCACTCCCCCCAAGTAACTCTCGCAGCCCTGAGAAGAAAGATACACAGGAAACCGAATCTGACTCATATCGCCTAGAGAGAGTTTGGTCTGTGTTCTAAATCGGGAACTTGCCCCTCGCTCTCCATTCCCCCCTCCCCCCCCCCCTTTCGCTCTATAGCCCATCAAAAATTGCCAGAGCACTTAGCTGTGGCTCTGAGGGGCTTCTGGAGAGCTCGAGGTGTTGAAGGAAATCTCGGTTGGAGAGTTTTCGGGGGCCAGGAGGTGTGCAGTTCAGGAAGGGATCCATTTGAGCCCTGCCATTACGATGGTGGACGCGTGGGGTAAACTACCGATGCCGCAGAGCCTTCTAGCCAATTGTATCGACCTGATGTGTTGATTTTGCTGTCTGCTCTTGGGGATGGGAACATTTTTAATGTGTTTGGATTGAAGCATTGTGGATCTTCGGTACTTGTCGCATTGTGTCTTACCTGGAGAAATTTGTAATGGATTGTGAGTACTAATTTCTTGGTCTGCTTGTCTGTGGCAGAGTTTATCAGAACTTCTCAGTTCTTTTCTGTTTTCATCTTGCTTTGATGATTTTCTCTTTTGTTTTCGAGTATTCTAAATTGTGGATTCATTGTCCATTTCTGTACTTTTGCAATGTGTGGGAACATTGTAACATACCTTTGTCATACATTTGTGAAAACTCCAACATTATGTTATGATTACCAAATTTTTGCTCAGACATTTCTTGCTACTTAATTCTAGTTTCCGCTTGAGGTTGCCCTAGTAATCGCATGATTTAAGCCTATCAGTTGGATCCGTAACACTTACATTGTATTGTCAAAAGGTTTCATGGTTTTATTTTAATTCCCAGTCGTCAATTTCCTTACTGCGTAAGCAGGTTATCGTTGGACGTACCGATTGTCAGTTTTCTCATAATGGAACAATTTGTTCCTCTTTTGTAGCCACTGTTGCAGATTTTCTTGCGGAAAACTGTTATTTGTGAAGATTTGCATGCGCACACTTTCCTCGTTAAAAAGAAATTGTTTGGAAATTGGACTACCGTACCTGTGTTAAAATGAAAGTCGACTGGGACTTCGTATGACTGTAACTCGTTTGCCTTGAAAATGCATTACCTCGGCAATGCAAATATACAGATAGGATAAAAACCTGAATTTGTAAAAGTGCGTAGCTTATTTATTTTCAATCTGCCTGTATTTATCCTCTGAAATTGCCCCTGGTGTGTTGTAATGGAACAAACATTTGCAACTGTCAGCTGTTATTATTCGTTGATAAACAGTTATTTGACATTGATGTGTAATAGCATTTATTCTGGCTAGCTACGGTACACACGTGTACACTGTGGAATTGGTTTTGGATGGCTGTTTCTTTTGTGATACTGAAGGCATTTTTCAGACAGAGAAAATAACATTTTGTATCCTGCTTTTCTACAAGTTTCGAGTAATTTTGAAAGACTGTTTGATGGTGCCCCTTAACCTGATATAATTTAGAAGCATTTTCTTGTTACCTAAGTACTCTTGAAGTGGGTTGACATTGGACATGGCTTAAAAAATCAGTAAGTTGGCTGGTTCAGTGGTCTATTTTCCTTCCCTTCTGGTTTTTGTCAAGGGATCTGACGTCTTTTATTGAATCAATTTTCTGACTGTTTTTAAAAAAAAAATTATTTGGTCAAAAAACAGCCATCCCCCTGGAAAAGTGGGAACTTCCTCTATTGTTCTAGAACTTTGTCCCCAAGGTGCTCATAGGACTATTGTCATAATTAAGTTGACCGGTGGTTTCCTGAAAACCTGCACAGTGTTTCCTGAATGTGAATCACAAGACAAAGTCCGCTGTGAAAGATAAGTCTCGAAGAATTTTTTTTATTTTCTCAGAGTTTATAACAATGGCTTGTGGTTTTTCTCAAGTTTGCATCAATCAGCGATTTGCTATTAAGAGGTTGGTAATGTGGTTTGATTTGTGGTTTGAGGCAGGGGGTCTGCCTTTAGGGCCAGGGGTTTGTAGTCAGGGGTCTTAAAAAGCCTGAGATTTGGCACCTGTTGCAGTAATTTGATTGGAATCTCGGCGGGAAGCGGAATTTTTTAGTTTTATTTTGAGTTGTCCTGGAAGTTTTATTTACAAAAGCAAGAGGCAGGGTTTAGTACCAAAACACACTGCCAGGGCATTGATTAATGGGATTCCTCCTTGCATTTTACAGGTCAACAGATCTGCAGTGTAGGATCTTAGAAGGGCTGTGATTGGTCCAAAGTTTTATTGACCTTCATGTGTTCTGATTGGCTGGTCAGAGTGGACATTGGTGATTTGCAGCTGAATTGACCAATCACATTTGTTGGTTTATATTACAGGATGTCTGGGATCAAATAAGGTTTTTGATTGGTCTATTTTTTTCTTGAACTCCGCTGGTTGGATGAAATATTAAAATTATAAAGCAATAACCAGTTACAATTTTTTTTTCGTGGAGAAATTGTTTGGGTTTTTTGCATTAATTTGATCACTGACCAATCACATGTCTCCTTTCATTCTGTAGAAACACAGCAGGTTCTTAGAATGTCACTGATTGGGCAAAAGTTCTGTTGACCGCGATGCATTGCCCAATTGTACCGGTAGCAGCACACATAGGAAGTGTCATCTTTGCTGACAATGAACTGACCAGTAGTTTCTATAACAGTATTTATATGGCCAGCCAAATGTAACAATGACTAGCATTCTATGCAAAAGTTAACTTACAGTGGACAGGTTATTTATATTTCTATGGCCAGCCAATTGTAACAATAACTAGCGTTCAATTCAGAAAGTTAACTGCCACATTGGAGGTCATATTCATTCAACCGATTACCTTGGTCCAAAAAGAAAATAAAAGGACGTTCTGCGCGGTGCGTCGCAAGAATTTCAGGCATTTCAGTATCCTGTTAATAATATAGGGTATTCCCACCCCCCCCCCCCCATTTTCTTTTTCGTTTTTGTTGTTGAAATGGCAGTCAAAAGTAGTTCAGGGATAAAAGTTGTTCCGACTTACTACAGTTTTTTTCTTTGCATTGTGCATGTTCTCTGAGAGTGCAGGACGTTATTTCATATGAGGCGCACCATATGCTGTGGCAACTTGAGAATTTGGGTCACAGTAAATGTATGTAGCTTTTGGCTTCATTGGTGTACATTTGTTTTATAACACAAAAATAGAGTGTGGCATTCACCAGGCTAGGTATGTACCGGTCGTATAGATTTTTGAATGGGTTCCAAGTCTAATAATTGAATGATCTTGTGCTGTCACATGCTCATAAAATTTCACTGTTACCTAGGAGTCTCAAGTTGCACTTTAGCTGTCATTTTCTCGCAGATGGACTTTATTTCATGTGATCGGAAAGGTCGTGATGTTGATATTTTGTCGTGCTAATGTGGGAATTTGATAGGTGCTGTGCCATAACCCATGGTTTGGAATTATCCAAATGCCAAAGTTGGCAGAATTTGTTGATGTCACACCAGAAAATATAAAAAAAATGCAAAAATTGATTTTATTGTTGCTGAGTACAAACCTTGGAAAGGCAGTGCCCTGTACACCTGCACTTTTGTGTGTGATTTCATTGGGGGGGGGGGGGGGGGGGGGCAATATCATGGAGCTTCTAAGCAGAAAATACTGCTTAACAAATTTATTTGCTAAGCAAAAATCAGCTGGGTACCAGTCACAAGCAATGCACATCGCATGGAGTATCGGCTTGTAAGCAGTTTTTGCTAAGCAAATATTGTATGCGCTTAGCAGATTTATGTACTCAGCGGCATTATGAGATTGGCTCATTAGGTTTTAATCTCCGGCCGGACATTAAACAAAGAAAGCCAATTTGCTTTGAGGGGGAATTACTAATGAAATCACACGAAAAGGTGTGAGAACGGATGGGGCATTTCTCATTCTGCAGTTTAGACGTGTATTTGATTGCTCAACATTTGATCCAGCTTCGCTTGATTTGAAATTAAAAATCTCCTTTGACCGAGGACTAGGAAACCATTTGACTAGAGTGCAGAGTCAGTGAACCCAGCGCGGCAGCATCTTTCCATCATCACTTTCTCCCAGCTTCGGTTACAGACAATTTGTATGTTAATTTGACTCGGGGATTGGCTTAGGGACTCCAGAGGGAGCCAGGGGTTTCTCTGGTATGGTTGGTCTGCCAGGACTGAGGGTATTTTGTGGCTGATCAGTAGGCATTAGGACAGTGTTTGCTTGACAGATGGGCTCTCATAAACAGGTTTTTTTTTATTCAGGAAAATTTTTGTCTGAGGGGAGATTAGAGTTGGATAAGCTTCTCTTTTTTTTTTAGTATTAAAATGTAGTTGTTTGCAAAGTTTTTAGCATGTTTGTGACAAATAATTCACACAGCACATTGTAATGAATGACATTTTGAGTGCCTATTTTTGCTAAACTTTTGTTTTCTGTGCCCAAGGATAGTTTAGCTGATATGATACTGAAGCCTAGAATTTGTTCCCTTGAATTTGTAAAAATTGGCATCACACACCTGGGTAAAGCAACCTAGCTTACCCTAGGAGCAAATTCCGGTGCAAATGTCAATTTCACCTCCTTCAGCTCACTTCCTTAACATTTCAAGGTTGTGACCGACGGATCCCCACCGTGAGATGGAGCAGTCACGCTGACAGATTACATGTACCACAGCGCTCCCCTCCGCAGACCATGAATCAATTTCGCCAGACCTGCCGTGTAACACTCTCCTAATCACCCTCACGTCACGCCACTGACTTGGGTAAATATATCCCCCGCTCAGCTCAGCTCGGCTGCCAAAGTGACAACCGGACAACGGATTGTGCAAGTGCATTCCCCACCAAGTGTGGAAAATTGGAGGCGTGGTTTGTTTTGGGACGTTCCCCTTGGTTTGCGTGCGACTCGAGTTGAAAGCAGCCTGCTGCGCTGAGGCGGAAAGGTTTGCACCTGCGACTGGCTTTGGATCGGTGAATCAGATGAAAAGAGACTTGCTACATGCATGTAACAGCTTTGAGGACTGGAGTTGGCTGTTTGTTGCCCTAGCTTTGTAGCATTGCGACACGCTGTTCATGTCCTCAAAGAGTGTTGGTAAACATTGCGTCGACAGCGCCAGTGACATGCTTGACTGTCTTCAATAGAAGCGATCGCGTCATTGAGATCAGTCAATCGTTGTGATCGTACAAATGTATGTTGCTTTTTCCTTGAAGTTTTGAGGATGATGTCGTAGTTTTGTGAACTAGTTTTGCATTGTAATGCTTTTTTGGATTGGAATAGCCACTTCTTTCGGTCGGCAACTTAGACAAGTTTTCATCATCACCAGCAGAAATTAACATTACCTCGGTTTTCTCTGCTCTGCTGTACTGTGATTGAATAGCTGATATAAGACTACAGTTCTGATTGGACAGGTTTCAACATTGCTTCAGCAGGGATTTCAGAGTTATCTCCACTCCACTTGAAACAACAATTCTGATTGGACGACCCACAAGGTAGCGCATTTCTGATTGGACAGCACTTCAATATTCTCGGTTACATTTTATCAGAGGATTGCAAACTCAAAAAATAAAAAATAAAGATGGGTCGGAGAGATAATGGCAACGGACGAAAACGGAACTCTGCCGTTACTAACGGATATCATAAACATATCAACAACAACAACCACCATCATCATCACCATGGGAAATCCAACGGATATGAGCCACCAATCCGGAACGGAAAAACCCACTTCCCCTCCCGGACTTCCAAACAGAATGGCCATCAGTCCGCCATATGGACTAACTACATATCGCTGGTCTTTGGCTTTGCTTTGGCGGTGTATTTGGGATATCGCAACGCCTGCTATATCAACAACTTACATGAGAACCGGCTGTGGTTCTCAAACATCAAGGTAACTTGAATTATTAATTTCTTTAATTGAAATTACAATATGGAAATGAAGATATTTGTGTTATACTTCCCGCAGTTTTGTCATCTTTATTGGGCAGAAAGCTGTTTTAACCAGGTCTGAAATTTTTTTTCTGCCAGTTTGGTTTTCTAACACAGGTACCAAAAAAAAAACTGCTGGGGGGCTTAATACAAAAAGATGATTCATCATGACATAAAATTATCATTTTATTTTAGATGCTGAACAATTCCATGAAAATTTAATTTAAAAAAGTAACGTGCACAGTAATCCAGCTTAGCTCTAACCATGCTAAATTCAACCAGATTCTGTATAGAATTCAAATGAACCGTGACGGGTAGACTCAGTGGACAGTATGGAATATCTTTGAGTGTATTACAAAGGCCTGTTGAAATTTTGTTTGATTATATTTCAGTTATGCATTTAATGAAAGGAGCACAAAAGAAGAGTACACAAAAGAAGAATACATCACTTCAAAGTCTACATTCTATATTTCTGTATAAGTTAATCTTTAAGGGATAAAGAAAGAAAACAAGACATAATAGAATTTGTCGTGCGTGTCGTTCACACTTTCTCTCTGAATAAGTCAAATCCGCAGCCCTGGGGTGATACATCCACACTAATCCTTCTGATAACAAACAACTTTTCAGCGCCTTGGCTTTTGCTGCCTATACGTGCGAGAGAGCTCCATCCATCTTAAATTTTGCTCACCTCGCATCACTCGATATGAGAGCTTTTACATGTAAGACTGACAAAAAGTCCACATGTAAGACTGACAAAAAGTCCTTTGTATGATACTAGACAGAAACACATCGGTTAAAAGGAGGTAAAAATAAGATCAAAAAGGGTTAATTGCCAAAAGACAACTGATTACAATCTTACAAAATTATTTTAAGTAATGCCTGATTTTTGGTTTTTAAAATACAGGTAACATTTTGGTATCATAATTGTACGTTAAATCAAATTTCCTGCAAAAGTGTCAAAGCCCACGTACATCCTTGTTATTTTGATTATACTCATATTTTTCATAACTTTTTTAAAACTCTTAAATTTCCAGACATGGATAATTTGGAGTCCTTTTTATAGGCCACATTCATACAAGTATTCATATCAATTGAACCCATTTTGACCGGACAAACCTCCCCTAGGGCTCAATGCAAGGGGGGGGGGGAGATGATGGCCTTTGACGGCATTCAGATGACTCCTGTAAAGACGTCATAAATGATTGATGAGAAGTTTCTCCATCAACGCCTATTGGTAGGTTTCCCTCAAATGACCGGATGGTAATAAGCATCGGACTGTGTCGGAGCCTCTTGCTAAGTGTTTGAAATAAAAATATTGCCTCAAATAAATTTAATCGTTTGTGAAAGAATTCTAAAGAGAATGATGTTGGTACCTTATCTTTAATAAATGCACATCTCCTTTTTTCATATAGTTTGCGAGGTAATTATTGACGGTAGTCCAACAGTGAATAATTTTTTGTCAGTATAGGAAATGGGATATTTTTTCTTTTTTTTGTTCTGGTCAAAATTGTCTAATTATCATCATCCCTACCAACCCAATAATTTAATTAGATGGTAAACTGAAGACCTGCATGTGAAAGTCCTCCATAGCTTCTAAACCTAGCAACTCCATGTACTGGCTTTGCTTAAAGGCACGGTAGGAACACTTTCAATTACCTGGAAACGTACCTACTGTTTCGACGAGAAAATCCTTGCTCAAAGTGAAGATAGGACTGGTACCAAGTACCCTGTGAAATTATTTCCCGGAGAATGAAATGGTATCATTCGGAAGAAAACAATCATTGAAGACGGTTGAAAAAAGTGTGCCTGCATGTGTTAGCAATGAATCGAGTTACGAGACCCCAAAAATTGTGCATACATTTTCTCTGTTTGCTGAAAATGTAGAGTATCCAGTTTCTGTCCAATGAGCTGAAACTTCAACAAGTTTGTTGTTGGGCACCCTTCTGAAGATTGCCAGCAATTTTGTTGCTCAAAAGGAAACAAAAAATGCACAAAACGCAAATGATAAAATGTACCTTTAAACTACATGGCTCTCACCAACTGTGCTGAATACGCTCCAGGTACAGTACTGAGAACTGGGGGATCTGTTGGAATGTAGACCCCTAGAGATTCTCTCTGCATTCGTCAGGAAATGTCAGGGACTTGAGAGTAAAAAAAGTTATACTTGAAGAAGAAAATTGGATTTGACAGACTGAAGAGTTAAAAAAAGTACTGACATTTAAAAAACAAAAATAAATGGTGTACTGTTCATGCTCCGTGCTCTGTGACGGTACATTTTCCTTTCTTGACAATTTTGACACAGTGTGCGCACGAACGTGTAGAGAAAACCTCAGGCTGCACTTTTCTGTTAAGGGGGAAAAATACGATTTGAATTATCGTAGGGAGAGTGCACAAGTGTTTATTATCTTTGAAGGGGGAGCAGGTGCAGGTTAAGCGAGGGCATCTGAAAAAAAAACCCGGGTGATTATATGAAGGGAGTCACTATACAATACAGGACACTGACATTTTGCTCTTTTTGAATGTCTACTTTCATTATGCTGAAAATTTGAAATGAAAAAAAAAGTGTAAAGAAAAATTAAAAAACATGCATCTTCTTTTTACTTTTTACCAAACTGTATGATGAAATTAAATGATTTAAATGACCATAAGTTAGGATTAATATCCGCATCTCTTAATCCACCGCGTACATACGTGTACACGTTGATCTTAATCACTTTGGCTACAAAGTAGACATGCACATGCCTGAGAAGAAATATCCTCGTTGACCATTTTACGCTGACTCATTTTTTAAAAACTTGAATAAATAAACAAATTCAAATCTGTGAATAGATTGCGTGTAGAGTGTGGAGGGAAAAGATACCGTCAGTCTGTTCATTGATGATGAATTGGTTTGGACAATTTGATGAATCAGATTTTTCTGCTGAACAGTGCGGTGTGTACCGCCCAATTACCGGCACTTGACAATGTTTTGCAGTTGATGTCACCAGTAGCTTGAATTTTTGTTTTACTTCCCAAAATAAATATGAATTAAGAAACTTGTGTTTAATATTTCATCAAAAATTAAATGCACCCATCCCTAGACTTCACAAATTGAGGGATGGTGCCATAAGAAATTGGAGGGAGTTATCCCCACTTTGTTTAGCATTATGTCCTCCCGTACGATTTCTTGAACGGATGAGGATGTTTGTGTAGGAAGCAAAACACGCTGTAAGAGACTCTAAAGTGCTCACTCTCGCCAATTACATTAAGCTACTCCATCACTGTCAGCGACGATGCGTAACCGGGGGCAACGCTGAATGAAGAAAAAGTACAGACGGGTGCTACTTTAGTGCAGATAGTATCTTCACCTTGTTTGTCCTCTGAAGAGACTCTAAACTGTCCTCGTCTAGCATCCATTAAAAAAAAAAGACACACTTTTCTTTTTTGTCTGTCTAATGTGCGTCTGGAACGCTCTGCATCTTGTTTTACCGTGGGTCTTGACAGTGATGTATCGGAGATGAGTGTAGCAACATTTTTTTTGGGGGGGGGGGGAGGGGGAACAATCAACGGAGAAGGAAGAAGTATTGGTGAATCATGGGGAGGGAATGGCTCATGAATGGATGGGGATGGCGTGTCGTTAATCTGTCAATGTCAATTGACGATGTGTACTTCATCATGTGAACTGTGATATTGAAATGTAGGCCAGGTTCACCTCAAATGCTGGTTATTCCACTGATTGAAATTGTAATTCTCAAAATCATTGTGGGGGGAATTACAAATCACGGTTGGGGGAATTGTCTATTTTAGAAAAGACCCATATTGCAGGATTTCTCTTGGAATTCTTCTACATCATAGATTTGTATGGATCAGAAAAATAACCCACTTTTGTAATTCAGACTCAATTTTTAACATCAGCTTGTTAAAAATTATTAGTCGGAATTAAAGACCCAACAAATTATAACCTATGATTGAGACAATCAAGAACATGTTATTTTTAACTGCAAGATATCAAAGAAACAATAATTGTTCTTCAAATTGTTTATTCAAAAGCTTTTCTTTTGGTGTTTCTCATCTGTAGGAGGTCGAGCGTGAGATATCATTCCGTACCGAGGCAGGGTTCTACTACTCATTCTACAAGCAACTGGTCTTTGCGCCGTCCATCACAGAAGGTAAAATAACAGCAATTAGTCCTTACTCCCTCGAGTATGAAGAGCTGTCCATACATGTACATGTTGGTCTATACAACATGTACATGTACACATGTAGGCATGTAAAAGATGTACAAAAAAAAATTGTCTGAAAATTCATGAAAAATTTCAGCTTAAATTTTTTTCGTCTGAAACTCTGATTCACAGGCAGTCAAAAATCAATCCTTTTCCCTTGCCATGCCTTGTACACAGGCTAGTCACCAACAGTCAGATCATATTTCAAGCAAGCACTGTGACTAGTCAAATTCAGTCAACAAGACAAAAACAGGCAAGTGGTAGGCCCTGTCTTATCAATCACCTACCGGTGCAGTCAAAGCATAGCTGTATCAAGTTACATAAACAGTCACAGCCAGTCAATCCTGTTTTATGTAGGCTGGGAGCTCTTAACTGTTGAAAACAGTCACTTGATTGATTGTTGACTGAAAGGACAACTTGGCACAGAATGTATGTTTGCATATATACATGGGCTTAATTTCTTTCAGTGCCACCTGCTGTATTTAAATATGCACCTGTACTTGTTGGAAAGGTCCTAACTAAATCGTCAGGTGACCAGTTGTGGGCTGTATCAAGCTGCACGGCCATGGGGAAGGGGGGGGGGGGAAGGAACCTCTTGACCAGGTCCATCATCTGTCCACAGTCAGTCCGGATCCTTGGGTCTTCTGCAGGATGTATGCGATATAACCACTCAATTAGATTAAAGCTGATCGGTTGACTAGTAGCTAACAAAGTGTGACGGGTTACGCGCATGGTATGCGATACGTTGACTGACTGGATAGGGGTTGACACCAGATTGGTGTTAATAGTTGGGCTGTTCCATTACTGATGGGATGCCAAACTGTACAGGTATTTTGAGTCAAAAGACAATTATTTACCTTTTTTTTTTAAGACGGATGAGTTTGTGATTTTCCATAGAACTATAGGTACATGTATTGTTGTATTCCATTAGATCTTTGATAAGTAAGTATTCTTGTACAGTATCCAACAGGAATTTCAGAACATTCTTAGAACAGTGAATAATGATGGTCTGGACTTTTCATTCTAAATGTTATTGCTTTCATTTTCGGAAGTCTGACATTGTGAATTTCATTTCAGTTGCTTGGTAATCAGTGCAGGAATTTTGTGTTTACTTTTTTCAATTTTGACTGTTCTGATTTAAAACAGAAACAGAAGAAATATTGATTTAGAATCTACTCAACAACCAACAAGCGTTGTCAGTTTAACCTCGGCAGTTGCGACAGCTTTCGTCTAATCTTCCCAGCAATTCCTCTTGACACGACTGCCCTGTTCCATATCCCGATAACAGTCCCATTAATAACCCGTCCTAATCTCTGCCCACAGGCCTGCACGGCTTGACTCACGACAACGACACGGAGAATTGGCGGACCATCAACGCTTTGGAACGATTCAACATCTATCAGGAGGTGGTGCTTGCAATCATCTACAAGAGCTTGTCGTTTATCCAGGTACATGTATCGAAATAAGTAATTCAGCTTGCTCCATAGAGGTGCAGAATTTTGTTTGCAAAAAAACCTCGGAAATGCAGAAAAAATCCCTCGCACTAAAGAAAAAAACAAGAAAAAAAAAAGATATGAAAAAAAAACAGTGAAAGCAGAGAATATTTCAGAAACTGGAAAAATTGGAGAACCCGGAATAAAATGGGGAAACCTGGCAAACAAAGCAGGATAAAACGGCCAAACCAATGAAACCCCTCAAAAAACAATAATAATAATAATTATAATTTGGGAGGCTAATCATCCTTACTTGCAGCTGGTATGCTGAATTGCGACGGACGCAGCTACAACGTGGTCGGGCCACTGGCACGTATGGCTGCCGGCCACATCGACCCATATATGACCACAGAGCACAGCCTGAGATCGAAAGTCCTTCAAAATACCCTCCAAAAATATATTTATCCCTCCCTTCCGTAAACAAAACTTTAAATATATCCTTCACTTACAACACCCTTATTTAGATGGCATTAACAAGCTGATCTTTAGAAAAGCAGTTTTTCCTTCCTTGACTTAAATATCTTTCCGAGTTCCTTGCCCCTTTTTGAGTTTCTTGCCCCTTTTTGAAGCTTATCGGTAGAGATGACCCTGTATAGTCTGTCATCGGTTGAGCAGCATTTCCTGACACGAAATCCCCACTGATCCTCGTTAATTTACTGCCTCCTTTTTTCATTTATGAACTTGCCTGAATGACGGCTCTGACGGCCATCAATATCAATCAACTTTGTATGAAGGTACTTTTCTCGTTGGCTTAACCAACTCATCGGACCTGATTTTGATTGTGCGTGAGTCACTGGGATCATAATTTCGTTAGTTTGTGCTCGTTACTCCGTGGGCAATTGAGAAAATTGAATTGGTCATACTGCTGGTGGTTTATGACTACATGTATGTCATATTAATGTGAGGGACAAATGTATATACATGTAGATGCAGGGGTGTGTTACTGGGGGGATGGTGTAGGGGTGACAACCCCCTCCAAATTATTAGTTTTGTCGGTGAAATCGATGTCCCGTCAGCAAAATAACAGATCTGTCAGCCACAACGTATGGCATATAAGCCACAACGTATAGCAGCTTTGAACAGCGTCACATTAGTCAGATGGTGTCCAGCCCCCATCCCCCTCCCCATCCAAATTCAGCACAAATTTTCTGCTTACTATAAAGCAACTACATGTAAATGGAACAATCATATCACTGTCATGATTTCTACCTCGCTTATCTTTCTACAGAAGTCCTACCCACCGATCTTCTTCTACATCTATTCCGTCTTTGCCTTACATGGCCTGTACCTGGTAGCACTCTACTGCACAGCATGGATGCTGAGTGGATCCTGGTTGGCGGGGGTACTGGCGTCTGCTTTCTATGTATTCAACAAGTAAGGATGAGAGATCAATCGTTAAATGCTGAAGGATGTGATCTGTTATTTCACCTTAAATTCCTTTTTATGTGAGGAACCTTCCTTAATGCCAAAATCGTCCTCTGCGGAGGAATCTAATGTCTTATTCTTTGAAGCTTTCAAGGGAAATTTAATTCTCTCTTTAGTGGCTGGGCTGAACTTTCTTAAATCCTTAATTCTCTTCGAAAGAATGCTTTTCTCGCAGTTCACGTGAATAGCTTATGACTTGACTTGAGTCTTACAATTTCCTTGTGATTGCCTTGTGATGACTTAAGATGACTTATGATGACTTATGATGTCTTGTGATGACTTTGGTGACTTATGATGACATGGTGACTTACGATTTCCTTGTGATTGCCTTGTGATGACTTATGATGACTTACGATGACTTATGATGACTTATGATGACATGGTGACTTATGATGACTTGTGATGCCCTGACTACAAGACTGCAACTTTGCTTTCGCGATAACTTTGTGGAAGACTTTCAAGTTTTTGGTTGTTGGCATTATCCTCTTTTCACAGGGAAGATACAACCAGAGTAGATTACACCATTCCACTGAGGGAGAGTTTTGCCTTACCCATGCTGTTCACTCAGATGGCCTTCATTACCTACTACCTCCGACCAAACATCACCGTCATACGACAGGTGGGTTTGACATTCTAATTAAGTTATCTCATTTTCAAATCTGTCAAATTGAAGATAAATGCCGGCACGATGAGTCATTTTGGATCAGAACAGACTAATACTTACAAGCCCTCAAAACTTTGTCAGCACAGGCATGACAGAAACTTGTTAGAAATTAAGTGTAACCTTCAAAAATGGGACACCGGCCAAAAGTTCATATCCCCAGCCCCCACCCGAACCCCCTAACCCCTCCATTGCCCACCTATAACACTCTACTATGCCCAGCCCTTACCGCTCATGCCCCCCCCTGCCCCCCCCCCCCCCCCAAAAAAGGAGAAAACACACAGAGAAGAGAAATATCCAGGGTGTATTCTATTGTAGTGCCTGGAAAGTTCACAATTTCATTAGTGAAACAGTTTCTGTAAAACTAACTGAGTTACCTGAGTTTTTCCCCAATTTCTTTAGATTACTTATAAATTATTGATAGGAATATATTTGTTTGTTTTTGGTTGTTTTGCAGAGAGTCAGCCTGGCCTTCATCCTCCTGAGCTCATTTCTCTTTGTCCTGTTCTGGCAGTTTGCCCAGTTTGTGTTCCTGCTTCAGGCCATGGCGTTGTACGGATCAGCAAGCCTTCAAATGGTTCCAACTCACAAGGTAAGGCCACTCTGTGGTCTTTGATTTTGATTGGTCAGTGGTAAATGGTCAAGTTGCTCGTTGGTTGACCAAGTAATAACTGATTGGTTTTGCCGTCTTGGATTTTATCCTGCAAGGATCCAAAACTTAATAATAAACTTGGGGCGCTAATCATCCTAACTCGCAGCGGGAGCTGAATTGCAAAGAACGCAGTTACAACGTGGTTGAGCCGAAGGCAGTTAAGGCACCTTAGGCTTATATGACCCAACTTGGAGGGTTAATTGATCTTGTATTTATTGTAATCAGCTGATTCAGATTTGGAAGATTTCATTGATTCATTGCAGAGTGAGGAAGCTCTTGATTTACATCATCATTACATTATTAATTGATTACTTCCTTCAAATTGATTGCTCGATTCCTACTATCCCCTCTGCCCCTATGACCCAAATTAATCATTTCCTCATTACCTTCCTCAAGGTTGTCCGCTTGCTCCTCCTTCAAGCAATCTCCATCCTGGCCGTCTGCCTCCTCCAGTTCTTCAACAAGATGCTCCTGGGTTCCCTCGTCTTCAGTTTCATCGCTGCGGCTCTCTTGGATCTTCAATTACAGGTAAATCGATATCCTTAAAAACCAGGACGGATATTTGTCTCCACCGGGTATGTAATCGAGTCTATCACAAGTCCCTGCAAGTCCATCACAAGTCCTCCTGTCCCAATTCAACTCACAAGCTATTCAAATGAGCTTTGACAAAGGCATTCCTTTGTTATTGTTCATCCACTGTTATTTACGACTGGCTTTTTGATGGACTTGACTACATCCCTGCTCTGTACCAATAATTACTTATTATAATAAGAAACTGAATGTGTGTACAAATTAATTTAGAATAATTATCTTTCATTCTTTATTTGTTTACAGGGAAATCGTCCTTCTCCAGGTGGGATTCTAACCCGATTCATCAAGCTGCTGGTCCATGTGGTGCTGGTTCTATTCCTGATGGTGCTCATCAACATGTCCATAAAGGTAACAACATCATTACAAGATTCAAAACCTAATACCTTATAAATATTCAGGACTTTCATTTTTCTTTCGCCAGAATCATTCTCATTGAGTGATTTCTGGCAAACCGAAGAGAAGTCTTCGAGAAATGGAAATTGATAATGCAGATCAGCTTTATCTTAATAACATATTTTTATACATTTTGTATTTTTTTGTTATCACAGTTTGCCATTGGCCTGGAGGCTGATCAGCATATTTTCAAATTCCTGACGGCCAAGTTTGGAATTGCTAACATAAGGTATGCAAGGGTCTTATTCTCAGATATACACAAGAAATGCTGCATTTTTTTAATTGTAAAATCTAAAACAAATTTGTAGAAATACAGAAATTTATTGAAAATGAAATTTGTCAGTGAGGAATACTTGTTTGAGATGTTGGAAAATATGCAAGTTTCAAATTGAGAATTTTTTTATAAATGTTAAAAATGATTCGTTCTTAGTAATTTGTACAAAGCATTTATGCAGGTTGGTTTTAATGGTGGTCTTTTCTCCAGGGATTTTGACGCCCTCATGTACCAGTGCAATGGAGCTTTTGGCTTCCTGCCCATTGACACCATATGGCGGCTGAATTGGAGACTAGTCTTTCCCCTCTACAGCGTTGTAATAGTGGGATTGTTGGCAGCGTTAGCCACAGCAGTGTATCAAAACTGGAGGTAAGTAGTTTTATAGAAATATAAATTTCATTCAATTTTATCAGTATTTTTTTCTGTCAAATTTTGCTTGAAAATGAGTAAATGTGCAGATTTGTTTTCTCGTTTTGAAAGTTCATGGGCTGACAAAGGCAAAATAGAAACCAAAAAAAATTCATGTCTTTCAATTTATTTTATAAAAAGAATCATTTTTTTAATTAAAATTATTTTTGGTGAGCGATGGTAGTTAGATAGTAAAAGAAAATGGAAAAGTTGTCTTGAGTATCTGTAAAAATAAATAAATTGCCAAATAATTTGTGTAAATGCTTACCAGAAACTGTTGACTGTTTTTTTTTTCTCAAACCACAGCAATCAAGCTGCTCTAGCCAGGGCCAAGAAAGATGACGACGCCACTCCCCCGCCCCCAGATGCCTCAGACTCCGCCCACCTCCTCAGCGAGCGTCCTGAGCTGGCTTATCTAGCCATTCAGTCTGTCTTCTTGGCTTGTCTAGCCGTAGCCATACAGCGGCTCAAGTACCTGTGGCTGCCCCACGTCTGCGTGCTTGCTGCGTTTGGCATCTGCGATTATCGGACATGGAGGGCGCTTTTGACGCGGCTGGGATTCAAGTCCGAAACCGGGGTGAGAAATGGTTCTTAAAAATGTTGGAACCATCGATGGAAACTTTCATCTCTCGTAGGTGGACCTAAAGGGCTACCCTGTTGATTTCTGACTGTCTGAGTCACTCACTGACTGACTTACTGAGTCACTGAGTATGTCCTAAACTGAGATTTTTAGTTCCAGCTTGACGGGCCAAGCCTACACTTGGTTTTTATTAACCCTAACCTTCCCAAATGCTCCAAAATCGTTCTTGCAAAATGGAGGATTTTGCAGGATTGAGGATATAAGGCAAAAATGTGTGGCTGATTTTGCAGTGTGGCAATGTCTTGGGCCGGACCTTGTGTTGTTTATGCTCAGCCGTGCATAAATATAATCCAAGATTATACTTGAAATCCTCCGCACTGCTCCAGGATGTCACTGGCTCTGCCTCAACATATTGACAGTGATTGCCGGCGAATTTTGCTGAATTGAGGCAGTGGTCACCCCTCCTAGGACCACATTCAAGAAATAACGCAGGATTTGCAGGGTTGAGGCTATATGCAATTTTTACATGGAGGCAGTTGGAGGATTTTGCAGGATTGAGGTTGCATCCTAGCAATAATTCCTAGGGAGTTAGGGTTAATTTCTGGTATCCAAACACTTAACTTAAAATTCACTCAATTCTTTAACAGGTACAGATTGCTCGACATGTCGCCACGCTTATCGTGCTCGCTGTGTTTCTGACCATTGTGAGTATCAGTTGTACACTTTGTGGAATTTGAACGAAGAAACAAAAATCAAGACATTTTAGAAGAATACTTGATATTTAAAATGCATGATCAAATATTAAACTAAGGTGTAAATCAATATGATTACATTCCGAAGTTGAAATTGTCAAAACTGTAGCCATGAAAATGAATTAAGCTGCTGCAAACTGCTTACTGAATGGATTGACCTGTAATATACAAAATAAAAATGTTAGAGTGGCCTGATATTTCATTCTTAGCAAGACTTCTTCTTCTGCCTCTGAAGAAGTCCATTTAGATTGTTTGAGAGCTTTGTTTCTTGATTGCATACTCAGTTCTTATACCAGTTGTCTTGATTTCAATTGTGATATTTTTCTGTCTCTCATGGCAGTCCTTACCTCGAGTGTACGCTGAACTTGAGGAGCTGCGCGAGTTCTATGATCCTGACACTGTGGAGCTGATGAACTGGATCAGGTAGGCGGGATGCTAATATTTTTCGTTATTTACTCTGAGAAATTGAATTTTGTTTCATGGTCTGTAAATTAATTTCCTGGGCAGATTTTTGAGTTTGTCCCAGATCTAAAAGCTCTTAAATATGATTGAGGAAAACTGATTTGCAAAAGAGGTCCAACTACATTTTGTTTTTAAGACATTTGATATACTGGATCAGATAGGCAAAAAAGTTGTCTCTGTGACTCTGGGCAATTTTGTTAGCGATAGTTGAGTTGCCCCTAGATTTCATCAGTTGTGAAATATGATTTTAGGACAACCCACCTTCAAATTTATGAAAGAGATGAAAGTTGATTTTAGTTGACGACATTTGTTTGTCTTGGTCCGTCTCTCTTGATACTTGCAGGGAGCAGACCCCCAAGGCTGCTGTGTTCAGTGGTAGCATGCAGCTCCTCGCTGGTGTCAAGTTGTGCACGGGGCGTAAGCTGACCAACCATCCACATTACGAGGACAAGGAACTCAGAGAGAGGACGTTGCAGGTGAGATGTCGCTAGATTAGAAGGTCTTAGGGTGATCACCTTGCCTTGAAGTGCACGTACTGTGGTTCGAAACCTGTTTAGGAAGGTCAAAGCCTTCCCCAGCAAGTACATTGGTGGAAATCCTGTTTGGGAAAGGCAAAGTTGTTTAAGGAGCGACCCCCTTGCCGTCTAGTAAATTCACTGTGGTTCGAATCCTGTTTTTGAGGGTCAAGTTGGTCTGGAGATGATCCCTCTAGCTTCCCTGGCGAGCACTCTGGTTTGAATCCAGCAGTTTGGTTTGAATTAATGAGGTGGGTTCAAATCCTGTGAAGGTTAAAGTGCCCAGGATGATCCCCTTGCCTTTCTTCTAAAATACCCAAGTTCAAACCCTTTCAAGGAGGCACTTTTGAAATGCATTTTGATGTTGTGGATTTGAATCCCACTGCTGCCACCATTTTTATGAGCTTAGGTGGTATGCACATATTTACACTGTGACTATGATAAACCCAACATTTTTTGTTTTCAATGTCTGGTGTGGGGTTGATTGGGCCAGATCAGACAGATCACAAACATTTCTCATTTTTTCCTCAGCTGTATCAGTATTACGGACGGCAGCCACCCAACGAGGTCTACGACATTCACAAAGCCATGGGCACCGACTATATCATCCTAGAAGACAGTATTTGCTATGCTAGAGCTGCGGCTCCGGGATGTAGGTTACCAGACCTGATCGACATCACCAATGGGCATGTAAGTAAGAGGGCGGGGCAGTATAACAAAGGGGACGGGGGGGGGAGGTAGTAGAAAAAAAAAATCCATGGCCAATTTCACACTAACTTTTTCAGTTAACTGTAAAGCAGAAAATTGCAAAAGATTGTGTATCGGACAGTTTTCAATGAAATTTTAAGTTAAAATTAAAACATTAATTTTTTTTTCTGTCAGGTTTACAACGGCGCCAAAGCAGAGGAGTTGAAACTCTTAGTAGAAGCAAAAGTGGGAAGGTTCTGTGACATCATCAAGCGTCAAACGCCGGAGTATATGCGATATTTTCACCTCATATTCCACAACAAAACGTTCCGTGTTTACAAAGTGTTATGACAGCTCAAAATGTCTTAACCAGTTCGCGCCGGGATCATTTTGACAAGAATGAAACGAGGCGCGGGATTAATTTTCACTTGACCTTAAGCCAGGCCGGTTGAAGCCATCTACCTCGGGCAGCACACTCTTATTTCCAGCCTCGCTCGCTGCGAGTGGATTGCTGACAGATATTCCGGCCTAGCTCCCTGTGTGTTTATCCGTCATCCGTTTTGAATACCGCAAAACCTTTGCGTGTATATAATTCATCCAGCGCGAACTGGTTAAATGTCCGGGTTTTTTGTGGAGATTTTATGGGTCGTGTGTTTCTGAGTAGTGGTTCTTACATTGAGGTGCAATTTTGAGAGGATGTTTGTTCTTTAATAGTATGTGTTGATGTTTTGTAATGTTTTGCAAAGATGAGGTTCAAAGAAATTGGGAAGAGTGCTTGAAATTTGTAACTTGAAATATGCGTCAAAGTGTTGCATACATTTTATGAGAGAAATTGATCAGTGTTTATTTGTTTTTGTATCGCCTTAAAAGTTTGGTTGAAAAGGTTGCACATCTGTGTTCAATTTCCATAAACAAAAAACAAGTATTATAACATGTGTTGTTTATATTATTAAAGGTGTATATATATATTTCAGAAATTTGACGCAAGGTTGTAAACTTTTAGTCATTTTATCAAAATTTATTGGTGAATTGCGTGCCATAAATTTATTATAGTTCTTTGTACAAATGTATCAAATTTATGCTGGTTGAGATTTTTGCTAGTTCCAAGTGTTGATGACAGTAGTCAGTGTACTTAAGTTTTTTTTTTTTAAAGTCTTGAAATTATGCGGAGTTCCAATATTTGCTTTTGTGATAAAAGTGGACCAAAAAGTGTGCTGCATGGCAATTTTTTCCATTTTACACGATTTTTCTATTGGTGAAAAATGATGATTGAATTTTTAAGGGGGTTTGGTCAAATGAACTTATATTAGAAAGTTCAGTATTTAAGTTTTGTTATTGACTGATAGTTGTTTTCGTAGAAGTTCGAATAATTTAAAAATACTTCATTGCTTTTATAGAATGACATTTTAAGTGCCAATTTCCATGCAGATTTTAAACTCCTTGCTATGTTAACACAGTATCAGCTCAAGCAATTACATCGTTAAGTTTCATCTAAGTAAGGCAGGTAATTCCATACTCAAAAAAAGTTTCAAGCATTTGTTGCAAGCGTCAGTGTTGGATATTTAAGTATCAAGAAAGATTCATAGAAAAAATTGATAATTTTATTATTCCTGTTATAAAATATGCCAGATTATATTCTGTGTCTGTAGAGTTTGTGACATTTGAACAGGGTTTCAGCTATTGTATTCATCCATCTTACTGATAGGTCAATCTCGAATGGAATAAAACAGGTTTTGAACTGTTTGCTGTACACGTTTTGAAGCAAAAGTTGTTTTTGTCTCCATTTTTATTCTTTTATTTGGTTTCAGATCAGAACAACTTGAGAGTCTGCAATGATTATTGCAAGATTAATGTTGTAGACATGTTTTTATGCCATATCCATAAATCTCAAGCAATTCTAAGCCCCCCCCCCAAAAAAATGGTCAATTTCTTTTCTGGATTCTGAAAAACAAAATCTGAAATGAGGTTCAAAGAGGAATGCTTTTTTTGGCAAGAATCGTAGCTGATTTTTTTTAGACAATTTGTGGTGAATATTGGGGAATATGTTCAAGGAATCTTGAAACATATTTGGTGCAATTTTTATATTTGTAGATGTCAAGGGTTTTTTTTGTTTTATAAAATTTATATTTGCCAAATAGCCATTTTGAAATGAACTTCCAACATTTCAAATTAAGGAAAATATTAAATTTACTGGTTGACACTTTGGGGTACAAACATTGATTTAAAAAAGAGTAGGCCTACATTTTTGAAATCCCGCCAAGAACTTTAAAAAACCTTTTTAGATTAGGAGTGTACCAAATGGTGTTTGGGGGTGATTAAATGTTGATTTTTCCACTTAAAATTAAACGCGACATTAAATTTAATCCTATTGAAATAATTAAACAGGAAAAAACTTCCCTAATCTCAATGAATATTCAAGGCTGCTTTCCTTCGAAACAAAACGAGCTGTTTTCTTGCTTTTTTTACCAAAAATGTTTTAAAAGATAGAAAAAGATTCGGAGCCCATCTGCTTCTATTTTGAGTTTGAGGTATAGACCAATGAGCGAAGAGAAATACCCCAAAAATCTGCATAAAAAAGCTCCCGAAAAAAGTACATTCCAGTCGCTACATCCTATATTTACGCAGAGCGTATTGAAATATACTTCTGTTAGCATAATATTGTTTGGGGACCCGCCGTGATAATAGGCAGAGCGCCCCCTTGGAATTTCAGCCTGCCATGAAAGCGGGTCCGCACGTGTGTGTTTTCGCATTCGTTTCTTCGCGGGTTCCAAAATGGAGGAGTTTCGTCGAGGTCAAACGTTCTCATTTGTCCAAGTAAGTTGTCCTTTTTTTTTTAACTAAAACGTTACAGGTTATCTCTCAAAGATAATGTCGAAGTCTAGTGTTTGCACTGTGGGTACTTTTGAGTAAATAATAGTGGAGAAATTTGTTCGCATGTGAGAGAAAAATGGTGAACTTTTTGAGCCTGGCCGCGCCGGTGAGAAATGTCAACTCGGCCAGCTTTCTGTAGCTGAGGTGGGCGTGGTTCGGTAAAGCAAAACAAATTAGGGGTTTTAGCCGGACCTTTAATATATCGTACAAACTGACAAATATGAACCGAACGTGGTATTTTCGAACGAAAGGAAAGAATGTTGCAACCTGACGCTGCATTTTTCTTCATATGTCATGTAAATGAAGTTCAGTCACTACAAAAATGATTAAGACATAGACCCGTGAACGTGGCGTTTATTACAACGCAACACGCTCTCCTCGCATAAATACAAGCGAAATCATTATATCTTTTGATCCGCTACATATAACCACGTATAATTTTGCCAATATATAGGTAAATCACTTACTTGTTTGGCTTCCTGTGAATTTACACGAGTGTTGGATCTGTCATTGTCAAGAAATTCGAAGTAAAATATGGCATAACTTTGTCACAAGGGGGGGGGGGGAGATAAATTGTTGTATGTTCATTAAGGTGAGGTTATCTTTTTTTGCAGCTGTGAACATGCACAAGACCCCCAGATTGCTGACGGGGGGAAGGAAAGACTTTCAGATGATCATGCTGCCACCAGATGAACACCTTTCCTTTCTAATTCAAGGCTCTGGATGATTGTTTTTTAAAGGTAAGTGATTTCGAGATATCCTACAGAATCAACCGATAGCACGTACAGATTGACCACTTTCGCCAACAACGTCACCACTCTTATTTCAAAACTTTATCAATTATTTAATATAGAGCGTACAAAGAATCATTGGATTTGTTTTCCACTATTAATAGTTAAAGGGAATATACAACATTTGCAAACATCAAAAATAAAACTTCCAAGTTTTTACGAAATACCTTACTTGGATGTTGGTAAATGACAGTCTAAAAGCATCCTGTAAAATTGTGGCACCTGGTGTGAAGTCATTCTCAAGAAAATGGTACTTTTGTATACATTTCCAGCAGTGGTCGGCCAACCACTGTTGGAAAAACCTAACTATTTTTCAACTACTGCTCCAAATTTACCGGTTTTTTTTCAGTCCAAATTTTGTTTGCTATTTGTTACATGTTCATGAATGGGTGCAGGCCAGCTAGACTAGTTCCCTTACCTTACAATTTTCCGGCATCTCTAAGTTGATCCATTTCATTTTAGTGGAGTCAGGGAACCAGATTACTTGAACATTTTCATTTTTCTTGATTTTTCCAGCATTCCCGAACACAAAACTTCAAACATGTCAGTGCAACAATATTTGATCTATTAAACTAACCCCTCCAATAGTTCATTTCTGAAAATTACAGCAAAAGCCAATGATGTACACAAGTAGTGCGCAATAGTGCCTAATTTTTTTTCTCATAAATATTGAACTGTAGACCAAAACAGCTATTTCAAAGGGTGCAAGTTTACTTTGGGAAAGAAACTCATGTTTGAGAACCACTTTTTCTCTGAACAGTGTTATTGTAAACAAACAAAAAAACCCATTTCTTTTAAATAGAATACCTTCCTTCATGCACGACAAGAATGCTTGGTGCATATGGCTCTGATCATTGTTTGTAGCCGAATATGAAGATTTTTTCTTGAAAAACCTTAAAGTTATGAACTTATTCCTATTCTTGTTGTTGAAAAGAAAATCCATTGAATAACTCAAAACACTGCTTAAACTAAACAATTTGAGCCAATTTTCGTGAGGTTTGTCTTATCGAGATCCCACTGTATCAAAATTTTGCATACTTCAAAGCAAGATTATTTTTTTTATTTCGTTGGTACCTCGCTTTGATTTTGCACGTGTGTCGTGAACCGTTTATCTTCCGATACTGAATAGTTGAACCTGATCTGTGCGCGCAGTTGAAATAGCAAAAAGGCATATCGTGCCCTCTCCTAGTTGCCCAAAGTCAGTTTTGATGGCTGTTATAAAACACAATTTTAGAATACAAAAAAATGGAAAAAAAAATTTGGAAACAGCTGTTATACTATAAATGTCCTATACCTGTTCTTCTACCTTTTTTTTTTTTTTTTTTTTTAACTCCTTAGCATGATTTACTAGGAACTATACCCCCTAACCCATCCTGGCAAATTCCAACACCATAACGGAAAACTGCACACTCATATTTTGGACATTGTTTCTGGAGGTGTGCCAACCCAATGCAAAAGACTGTCAGTTTAGGGGTACTTTACCCATCCTGACAGATTCCAACAAAACATGCTGTTGGGGTTTTGATTGGTTGAGTTCTATTAGGGTTAATGGATAGAAGGCATTTGGAAATAATCCCTTCTATTTCTGTATATTAACCCTCCTATGCAAAAATACATTCTGTGCCAAGTTGTCCTTGCAGTCTAAATCAATCAAGTGACTGTTTTCAATTGTTAACAGCTCCCAGCCTACATAAAGCAGGATTGACTGGCTGGGACTGTTTAAGTTACTTGAAATCTACATTCATTTGTATGAATTAACTCCGGGTGAGAGATAAAGCAGCGTTGACCACAACTTGCCTGCTTTGTCTGTTGACCCAGTTTGACTACAGAAACACAGTGCTTGCTTGACGTATGATCTGACTGCTTTTGACTAGCCCTTGTTGGATGTATAGCAGGGGAAGTGGAAGTAAATTTTGACTGCGACTGTTTTAGCAGGAGGGTTCAATGTACAAGCTAACATTAAGCATGTCAAAAGTGGGGTCACAATTTCCTGGAGCAACTCGTGTGGCATACAAACACGCCTACTTCAGGGCATCATAAAATGGGGGTGATATTGTAAAGACTAAAAAAAATTTATAATTTTAATATTTTTATTCTTTCATCTGTCAATAAATGTATCATTTTGTTATTAATATATTGAAAATAAAGTTGAAAAAAAAAAGGTTCCCTTTCCCCTTTTTCCACCTGCCGTGGCAGACATAGCAATTTTGGACCCATATATTGCAGAGCAGAATCCAAATATATCAACAGTTTAGTCAAATGCACAACTTAAAAAAAAAGTTGACATGCCTGCTAAGATTCTGTCAGATCGAACTTCCAGTTTGTACCCCTTATCCCAAACTCACCTTCATTCCTTCAAACTCAACCATGTTTTCCTTTTGTTTTTGTTTATTTCATCAGAATGCCAAAGAAGACAGAAGCAAGCAAGCAAGCAAGCAAGTGGTCAGCGAGATGTGTTCACTAAGGTAGGACTGACCCTTTGTTTCAGCCGTTAGCGCTCAAATTGAGCCAGTGAACACCCAAGACCCAGGAACTCAAGACCCAAGTACAGTTTGCAAGTGGAGTCGTTCGTTGGATTGTACAGAGTGAGTCAGACACCTTTACTTTGTATTCTTTTAATCCAAGCAAACTTGAATCTTCCATGCTAAATTGGTCAATCTCACAGCAACAGCAGTGCGGTGTTATGGATGTTACAAATTGCGCAGCTTGAATTAAATGCAGATATCTTGTCTGCTTTCCACTATATCAGTGCTGCAATTCAAAAGTCTTGCCCAATAATCATCTTGTATCATTATATTTGTATTCTGTTCATTTGGTTGGTCAAGTTTGCTTGGTTCATGTGTTTGTGATGTGCGGGTCGGTGGTGGTAGGTGTCGTGATTGTGCAGGGTGGTGGTTTCTCCGCAGGTCATCGGCTCAAATTGAGCACGTCTCATCGGCTCAAATTGAGCAAACGTCGCAGGAAGACAGGGCTAAGGGATCTGCTATATCCTGATGTCCTCGAGGATCATCCTAATACAAGACCAGCAGGACGATGGGATCTTCTATATCCCTACGTCCATCTGGGGGCGGATCTTGGGTGGCAGTCATAGGGGGTTTTACATCAGCTCCCTGGGGAGCAAATGTGAATTTGATTGAAGTTGGGACACTTTACTCCTTGGTGGAGATAAAACAAAGTGCCATGGGTTGGCATAGACACAACTTCCTTCACAGTTTTATCTTGAAAAATCATCACTTGTCTTTAAGCCAGCTATAAAGTTTCGTCAGCGAAACCTACTCCTTGGCGGAGATAAAACAAGGTGCCATGGATTGGCATAGACACAACTTCCCTCACAGCTTGAAAAATCATCATTGGTCTTTGGGCCAGCTGTGCTGTTTTGTCAGCTCATAATAAATATAAAAAATTTTTACTCCTGAATGGAGAGGAGCAAAGAGGAAAATTTACAAGCATAAAATACTGGGTATAAGTTACGTAAGGAAACTTGCCCCTGGATCCGTCCCTGCTGCAAGGCTCTACTAAACTTCAAATTATCTTGTGCACTGCCTTTAGGGCATAAACCCATACTCCCGCCTATGAAGCACATCATTGATGTCTACCCCATCTACAAATCGCCACATGGACTCCTGGAGCTGGATAAAGACACCATCAGCTGGTTGAATTTGAATGAATACTTCCATAGGGATTTTTTAAAAATAAATATTGATCACCAATAAGTGAAATGAACAGTTTCACTTCATAAATAGGGTTTTTTCTCTTAGTTCAGGGGATCTGCTATATCCTTCTGAAAACTTATTAAGGCTATGGGATCTCCTATATCCCTATGCCGTTAGGGCTTAGGGAGGTGCGGCGGTTTCGATTGCTAATTGGGGTCTGACTGGGTGCTCCAATTGAGGTGCGGCGAAAATCCAGCACAGATTCAAGGGGCGAGTTGCGTCCGCGTGGCAGGTCCGCCTTCCACGTGGGGCGTGGGTCCTACGCAGCGGCCTGGAAACCCTAGGATGCCGTGCCATAAAGGAGCAGGTAGTGCGTCCCTCTTTATAGGGGCGTGGCCCTGTATTCACAGCCGGCAAACGCTGCTACTTCCTATCAGACCGCATGAACCCGTAAGGGGGATGGACTTAGGGGGGCGTGCATATAGGTTAGGGTGCTTTCCTGGTCCTTCGGGGCTGGGCGGGCGGACCGGACAGTCGATAACTGTGTCTGGCCCTCCGGGGCCTACCTTTTATCCAGCAATGGGCCTTACGATACTGAAAGCGCGTTGGGGCTGGTATCCTGGGACCTTCTCGTGGTAGCCCTGTTTAAACAGACCTTACCAGGATATTTGACCTGCTCAGTGAACATGAATCACAATGTTACTTTGTCTTTCTTACACATACCAATTGCTTTCACCGCCTGCTTCACCAATTTTCAGGCTTTCTTTGCAAACCTGGGCTTTTCCAACAATATGTTCCTTGAAATGCCCCCCCCCCCAAAAAAAAACACAAACAAAACAAAACCCTAGAAAATAAACTGAATAAAAAAGTTCATTAATTTGTGCAGCATTCCGAGTAATGTTCACTGAGCAGGTCTGGTTAAATAATGTTTTGTTTCTCCTTAATTGTCTTGGCTATCAGATGCATAGCCTTAAAAAAATCGCAGAATTTGGAACAGTTTATATTCAGTCAACATCCCAGAAATGTGACAGCAATATTTAAAAATAAACTGGTCTGCTGAAAGTTTGCAGAGATCACATTCTTCAAAATTGCTAATCTATTGTCCAAAACTGCACATTTGTAGGGCTTCTCTGACTTCGTAAAAAACCTTGACTTTGTAAAAAGAAAGGAAAAAAAAATCAACCATTTTAAGTTGAATAGCTTTACAATTTCAAGCTAATATATGCATCTGTAAATTTGCTTGTGGCTCAAAAAAAGTGTTTGATGATGTGATGAATGATTGATGAAGCGTAATGTTCCAACAGTTTTGTATTTTATTAAGGTTCCCCTCGGGAAACTCCTTGAAGGCTGGAAGTGAAGGCTGCAGGAATTTGAAGAAGACATAACTACCACTGCAGACATCTCAATCATCTTAGACACGGTGAGTAAATCCCAACAATTATAGCTAGCTCTACATGATCTAGAAGACGGTTCACTTATTTTACTTCTGCTGTTGCCTTGTAGGTGTTTGATCACCCAATTGTCTTTATTTGCTGTGAAATTTGAGACACAGTAGTTGTTCCCCAGTCTTTACACAGGAGGGCTTATAAATACACCCTCCCCCTCCTCCATTTACCATCAGGAAAATGTCACACGTTTTGCCAAGTTCTGCAAATTTCACAAACTTAGTGTCCACAAATTTCCTTAAACTATTCCAATTCCAAAAATAGTGCCAGATGAAGAAATATGTGGACTTAGTTGTGTATTTTATGTTTGAAATATTTTGGTCTTTATTTTCAAGTTTCTTTTTTGTTCTGTTTGGAAGGTAACTGATGCCGTCGACTGAGTTTGAAGGTCTTACCCAGGACGTCAACTGTGGAGCACACATTGGATGCTGAGAACACTGTATTACCATGGCAACGCCAAACCAGGATCCTCCAGTTGGAAAACTTGGTGTATGTGATGCACAAGACATGTATACATCCTTTTTGTGAAATTGTGCATCTTGCATTGATATTATGCATATCAAATCTTGTAACTAAACATGGCTTAGAAGTTTGAAAGTTATCAAATATTGAAAGCTTTTCCTTGGAATGATTTCACCGTGATTACAAATCCTTGTCTTGTTGGAAATCAAAAAAGTAAACCATTTTTTCGACTATTCATCACAATCATGAAAGTTTGTCTACCTAAATCCGATTCTCAGTAACAATTCCCCTTTTTTCAATACTCTGCAGTATTTGTGATTGCAGAAAACAACAAATTTTCACATTGTTCTTGGTCAGCATGCTCATCTCTAAGGTTAAAAATGATCCTCTTTGTAAAAAGTGTGTATGCATTCTAACTCCAGTTTCTAAATATTTTGCAGTTGCTTCAATGCTATGAAGTTTTTTATTAAATTATTAAATGCATTTTTACCAATTTTGTGGACGCCATATTTCCTTTGAACACCACATATGACAAAAGATATTTTCGGAATGTGTTCTTAGGGCCCTCGGGCATCTTCCTAGCAGTTTTCAAGCAATTCGATTTTTTTGCCAAAACTGACAAAAAATGCAAGGGGTTAGCCTTACTTTTTATCAAATTTGGGTCAAAAATTGACTTTTCTGGAAACAACCTAGAAACACTTTAGGAGGCATGGATAGCATATTTTCATTATTGTGAAGTGATAATTTTGAAAGTTTGGCAAATATAAGGGATTTTTGACATAATATTAAAAAAACAAATTAATTTTTACCAATTTTGTGTACGCCATGGAGTTTTTATTAAAGCTGAAATAAATGAGTTTGAACTGAAGCTGAATATATTGTGTTTCGACTGTCTTTGTAACTTGTGTCAATTTCCTTGTTTTCAGACTTGTGATTTATTATTCATAAATAACGGATATGGGGGGGGTGTCTTAAAATAATGTCTTACTTTTAAATTGAATACATTGCAGATGGTTAAATTGGCAGTATTTTAATTTACAATTATGGATACTAATACATTTATTTTAAGAGTTTAGGGGCACTCTGACGAGCAATAAGTAAAGCAATTATCAAATTTTGAGGGGTAATATATACATTCTTTGGGAACGAGTTAAACGACGGGATAAGGTTAGAACCCTGAGAACGAGGTGAAAAAGCCCTGGGGATGAGGTAAAAAAGCCCTTGGGATGAGGTGAGAGCCTTGGGAACGAGGTAAAAAAGCCCTGGGGATGAGGCTAGGACCCTGGGAACGAGGTAAAAAAGCCCTGGGGATGAGGCTAGGACCCTGGGAACGAGGTTAAAAAGCCCTGGGGATGAGGCTAGGACCCTGGAAACGAGGTTAAAAAACCCTGGGGATGAGGCTAGGACCCTGGGAACGAGGTAAAAAAGCCCTGGGGATGAGGCTAGGACCCTGGGAACGAGGTTAAAAGCCCTGGGAAAGTGGTTAAAAGCCGAACTCTGACAACGCAATTGAATTATTACCTTGCTTATTATTGTAGCCGCCATATTTCCTTTAAACACCACATCTGGCACCAGAAATTTTGAGAATGTGTTCTAAGGGCCCTCGGGCATCTTCCAAGCAATTTTCAAGCAATTTCTTTTTTTGGCCAAAATTGAAAAAAAATGTAAGGGGTTAGCCTTACTTTTTTATCAAATTTGGGTCAAAAATTGACTTTTCTGGAAACAACCTAGAAACACTTTTGGAAGCATGGTTAGCATATTTATATCATTCTAAAGTGATAATTTTGAAAAATCGGGCAAATACAAAGGATTTATGACGATAAAAAATGTGAAAGAAATTAATTTTTACCAATTTTGAGGACACCATATTTCCTTTAAACATCACATATGGCACCAACAATTTTGAGAATGTGTTCTAAGGGCCCTCAGGCATCTTCCAAGCAATTTTCAAGCAATTTCTTTTTTTGGCCAAAATTGAAAAAAAATGTAAGGGGTTAGCCTTACTTTTTTATCAAATTTGGGTCAAAAATTGACTTTTCTGGAAACAACCTAGAAACACTTTTGGAAGCATGGTTAGCATATTTATATCATTCTAAAGTGATAATTTTGAAAATTCGGGCAAATACAAGGGATTTATGACAATAAAAAATGTGAAAGAAATTAATTTTTACCAATTTTGTGGACACCATATTTCCTTTAAACACCACATATGGCACCAGAAATTTTGAGAATGTGTTCTAAGGGCCCTCAGGTATCTTCCTAGCAATTTTCAAGCAATTTCATTTTTTGGCCAAAATTGAAAAAAAAATGTAAGGGGTTAGCCTTACTTTTTAATCAAATTTTGGTCAAAAATTGACTTTTCTGGAAACAACCTAGAAACACTTTTGGAAGCATGGTTAGCATATTTATATCATTCTAAAGTGATAATTTTGAAAATTCGGGCAAATACAAGGGATTTATGACAATAAAAAATGTGAAAGAAATTAATTTTTACCAATTTTGTGGACACCATATTTCCTTTAAACACCACATATGGCACCAGAAATTTTGAGAATGTGTTCTAAGGGCCCTCAGGTATCTTCCTAGCAATTTTCAAGCAATTTCATTTTTTGGCCAAAATTGAAAAAAAAAATGTAAGGGGTTAGCCTTACTTTTTTATCAAATTTGGGTCAAAAATTGACTTTTCTGGAAACAACCTAGGAACACTTTAGGAGGCATGATAAGCATATTTCCATTGTTATAAATTGATAATTTTGAAAATTTGGCAAATATAAAAGATTTTTTGAAAAAATAAAAAAGAAATTAATTTTGACCATTTTTGCATGCCATATTTCCTTTAAACACAACATATGGCACCAGAAATTTTGGGAATGTGTTCTTAGGGCCCTCAGGCATCTTCCTAGCAATTTTTAAGCAATTTCATTTTTTGGCCAAAATTGAAAAAAAATGCAAGGGGTTAGCCTTACTTTTTAATCAAATTTTGGTCAAAAATTGACTTTTCTGGAAACATCCCAGAAACACTTTAGGAGGAATGATGAACAAACTTTCATACTCGAAATGAGATTATTGAAGAGATTTGGGCAAGTATAAAGGAATTATGGAGAAATATTAGCATTTTTTTTCATTTAATTTACAATTTTTGCATGCCATATTTCCTTTGAATGGCACACCTGGCAAGAGAAATTTTGGTAGCAATTTTCAAGCAATTTAATTTTTGGGCCAAATTTGAAAAATTGCAAGGGGTTAGCCTTTTTATTTTTAGCAAATTTGGGTCAAAAATCTACTTTTCAGGGAACAACTCAGAAACACTTTAGAAGGCATAATAAACATACTTTCATACTTGAAAAGTGATTATTGGAGAGATTCTGGCAAGTATAAAGGATTTATGGAGAAATATTAACATTTTTTTAATTCAATTTAAAAGTTTGTGCACGCCATATTTCTTTGAACGCCACATCTGGCACGAGAAATTTTGGGAATGTGTTCTTCTTAGGGCCATCAGGCATCTTCTATGCAGGTTTCAAGCAATTTAATTTTTTTCAAAAATGCGAGGGGTTAGCCTTTTTATAAAATTTCGGTCAAAAATTGACTTTTCTGGAAATGACCCAGAAATTTTTTCAAACATCTTTAGTGATTATTTTAACTTCAATAATTTGGGCAAATATCAACGACTAGCGTCTTTCATCTTCAATCAGCACTGTCTTTAATTTTCAGCAACATACACAATTGTTTAATTGGTTCAGGCAATTAATGTCATTGGTTTAAGAAATAGAAATAAAACAAAACAAATTTGAAAATTAAAGAAACATAACAAAAAACAACCAGAATATCAATACAAATTATTTGATTGAAATTTCTGAATAATTAAATTCAAACTTTCAAATGTTATTATGACATTCATCATTTCTGAAAATATTGAGGGGATTAGGACCAATCATTCTTTGCAGATAAAATTTGTTTGTAAAAGTAGTCATCAATTGTGCCAAAAGGGAAACAAAATACTTGTAAATACAAACAATATTTGCAAAATCAACCATGATATGCTTTGATTTGAAAGAGATGTTTGACACGGTTGCCATGGAAACTTGAATAAGTGTGATAATTGGACTCTATAGCTCTCCAAGGTGTTTCAAAATCCAAGGGGGGCGTTGAATACACAGGTGTAATTTTCCTGTTATTGTGAGGGGTCTTTGGATTTTGAATGATTTTTTTTATTTGGGTGGGGGGGGGGGGGGAACAGAATTAATGTTCATTTCTCTGCTCACTTTTTGGCATTCTGTCTGAAGAATGACAAGCCCTGTGTTATGGTGTCATCATCGACAGCCTTGGGCTCCGGTTCATTAGTCCTGCTCTCTGTCTGTATTTGACCACTGGATGCTGCTCCATCGTACAATCTGCCTGATGACATCGCCCCTCTATTGTCTTTGAAGGTATGATCACTCCTTCTGGTCCATGTGTTCTTGCTCGATCCATAATCTGGAGGAGGAGCAAACTCCTGCGACCGTTGGTTGCTACTGCCATAACTGGCAGACGGGGCAAATTCGTAGTTTCTCGAGGTACTAGCGTTAGCTTTGGTCGTTGATGCCTTTCCGTCGTAACAAGGAGCAAACTCTTGAGGGCGCTCTGATCTCACTTGCTTCTTGACACGTTCCCACTGACATTCTTCTGTTGATTGCCAAAAGAAGAAAAAAAGGAAAAAGAAAAAAAGACAAAATTTGAAAGTGGTTGAATAACTGAAAATAAGTCCAGTCACAAGAAACAGGAGATGAAAAATTACAGGAATCCTTTTGTCTCGATTCAATTGAATAGCTTGTGATTTGACTTGGGACTGGAGGACTTGTGATTGACTTGTGATTGACTTGTGATTGACTTGTGATTGACTTGTGATTGACTTGTGATTGACTTGTGATTGACTTGTCAGGAACTGTGATGGACTCAACGGCAAACCTGTGTCGAACTCCAAGCTTTGTTTTATAGAATGCCTACCTTTTCCAATATCCCATGGCCGGGCCGGAGCAGCTTTCACCCTCTCTGCCACGCGTTTGGCTTCCTCCTCCTTCCGTCTTAGCTCCGCCTCCTCTTCTTCATCCACCTCCGTCACCTCATCTTTCTGCTCCTCCTCCTCCTCCACCAGCTCTCCCTTGAGACGTTTCCTCTGCTTGACTTTCTCCAGTCGTGCCTGCAGCGCGGCTTTCCTCTTGGCTTTCAGCTGTTGGCTCTTGGTCCTCTGGTCCAGGGTCTCGTCTCTAAGATGCTTAAGCATCTCCATCTGCTTCTGCCTCTCCGTCTCATCCTTGGAGAAGTCAAAGTAGCCCACGCCCATTTCTCTGACCTCTGGTGAATCAGAAGATTAGGGGACGCTTTTAAAACACGAGAGATTTTTAAAGGGATGGACTTGACTATGATAAAAATAGATTCGATTTTTGTTTATCTCCAACCTTCCAGGCTGAAAACCATGGTCTTCCATAAAACATATAAGTAAGATCCCAGTCCTTAATAAGACTAGTTTGTCAGGCAGATGTAACACAATATCAAGGTGACCTCAAACCTTTCTGACCTTGCCAACCTGATTTGACCATATCTAACCCACCCTGACCTGACCCGACATTTCTGGATTCTGACTTGACCTACTTGACCGTGGTCTGGTGAAATAAAGTCAAACCTGTTAACTCAAAAACCCTTCTAACTCAAAGTAAAAACTTATATCCGTCAATTGTTGTTGAAAAGAAAATCCATTGGATAACTCAAACTCTGCTTAACTCAAAATTTGAGCCAATTGCCCTGAGGTTTGACTTATCCAGATTCCACTGTAGTCAACTACAGTAGCCCAACCATCTTACGTTTCAGTGAAGTTAGTCAAACTATGCTTAAACTTTAGTTTGCACATGTATTACTGTAACCAGATACAGCCCCAACTGAGACTGAATCCACATAAATAAACTGACAGAACGACCAACCAACGTACCATCAAACCTGACGTTCTGGTAGTGGACCTCGCCCGGTCCCCGCCTCCTCAATTCCTCCTCTTGCTCCTCCCATTTCTTGCGCATCATCTCCCGGTACATGTCGTTAGACAGGAGGTCCGGCAGTGATTCCTCGGACGCTTTCTTCTCTTCCTTGTCTCTGCAAATCACATAAAAAAGCTCAGCAAATTTATTTTCTAAGCAAAAATCAGATGTGAATCAGTGACAAGCAGTACAGAACACATGACATTTTGCCTGGTATCCGGTTTTGTTCAGTAGATATTTTCTGTGCTAAGCTAACTGTTGTGCTCGACAGCCCTTTCAGTAGGTCCTTTCTGTTAAATAGTCTACTTCATATGTCTCAGTAAAAGTATCTCTTAATATCCCAAAAACAAGGTATCAAAAAAAATACCTTTAATACCAAAAAGACAAAGAAAACAATCATGTTAGTAAAGGTTCTCAGCTTACTTGAAGGCGTGTGGGTTGAGACGTTTGTCCATGTTGATTAGCTCTGGGAGGTCTTTCCTCATGCAGCGTCTGGAGCGTCCAAGAGTGTCAACGTAGTCCACCCTACAATCCAATTACAACAGGACACAGTCATAATATTGAATAGAAGGTGTTAGCAAAGTATCAGGCTCACAATAATACTGGTTTGTACACTGGCTGGTCATCTTTATCAAAAATGTATCTATTTATAGAATGCCATGGTCCAGTGGTTACAGTGTTTGACTCATGTACGAAGGTGCATGAGTTTGAATCCTGCCAGAAACATGGTGTTTGTGCCCTTGGGCAAGACAGTTAACTACAATTGTCTCTCTCCACCCAGGAGTATAAATGGGTACCTGTGAGGGTCGAGGACCGATTGAGCGCTGATATCGGCTGCCGCGTGGTCCCATGGCCTGATGAACAGGGTAATAATTGTAAAGCGCTATGAGATCGTTGATACGATGTAAAGCGCTATATAAGCACAATTATTATTATTATCGAATTTCTACATGGGAGGAGCCTTTCAGCTCTCAGTTCCTGACCAGGGCCCAATTTCATGGCCCAGCCAATTTCATCTGTTCTTGAAAAGCAAATCTGTGTCAAAAAATGTTGGGCCAAAGAAGTCAAAAATATCTCTCTTTTTTCAATAAATGGTTGATGACGCTATAAGTGTGACAGGGCGTTATGTTTAGCTCCTAAGCAATGAGTTGACGTACCATTCCTCCTCGGGTTGGACAGGGCCAGGGATGTCTGTGGCTCCCGCCTCATACTCCGTCCCTTCATCCTCCTTATCCTCAAGACGTTTCTTCTCCTCACGAAGATCATCGATGGCCTTCTTCTCAAAGTCCACCAAGAAGTGTTCTGACACATCATCATCTGAAGACAAGATCAAGGGTTCGTTTGTTTTGATAAAAGCTCGTACAAAATGCCCCAATCAGGGTGACACTTTTTGTGACAAAGATATTGCTAAACACAGTAAATTGATGACTACTTACTGTTGGAATATTGAGTCTTTGACAAATTAAAAATGCTTCTTTTTCTTTCATAAAATGACAGTTAGCTTGCCAACTGATTCATGCGTGACTTGAAACGGTTTTGACACCCATCATAAATGGGACACCACAAAAGTGTATTAGGTTGTGAATGTAAGCAATTACTTTTCAGAAAACCTGTTATTACTTAAACTTTAGTCAACCAATGCAATTGCAATCATATAACAGACTGGTAACTTGACTTGGTCCAACTTTGACCCATAGGAAAAGCAGTACGTAAATCAGGGAACTAGACCATAATGGAGGTTATTTTTACCTGCTGACAGTATAGCTCTCTGTGACATCTGCTCATACAGCTTAGACTTGGCCTCAAGAGCTGCCCTGAAAAATATACATTAACTAACACGTTTCATATTTTAGCTTGGAAAAAAAAAGGAACTGTATAGGCCGATTGTATTTAGGAGACATCTTGGAGATTTTTTTTTGTTATCTTAATTCAGAAACGATGAATGAACAAAAGCAGAGGCCTCAAAGATGGTTGGCACGCCAAGGATCTATTCAACAATACCTATGAGAAAAAAAAACAGTAACAGGAAAGCTACACACTTTTATTTCAAATACAGTTGTTAAATGATTAAACTTTTCAATTCCAATGCACCAAAAGAGAGCATGACATTACATAAAAATTTAGGCAGAAATTACATACAATTTCGGCAGAAACATAATACATAAAAATCTGAAAAATAAAAATGCGACATATTATTGACAATATTTACCTTGATTTGTCGAGTTGGTTCTCCTCCTCAACAGACAGACTTTTGTCTTTCTCTGCTCGTGCCTGCACCCCGGCATTCTTCTTAGACCATATGGTTTGTTTCTGTGATGTTAAATATGGTCCATATTTACAAAGCAAGAGGAATGTTAAAGCCAGAGTCAAGATTTGAATGAAGAAACCTCAATGAGTCAACATCCTTCAAAATCATGTAAACGGATGTGAATTCTAAACGAATAATTTAAAGTGACCCTTATTTTTGCAGGAATGATCATGCCTCATGTAAAACAATGCCATAATTTTTTTAGGTTGAAACAGATATGTGTATGACTTAAGTTTACATACTGCTACAATTCAAAATTACATTTTTATGATCCCTAATTTTTAGATTTAAGGAAGGGTTGTAAACTGCTTCTATGAATGTAATTTTTCTGGTATTCGTACCCAGAAATATGACGTCGTTATGTCATTTGCTCAAAATACAGTAATCGTTATCTTTAGCCAATTCATATATAAGGTTAAGACTCACCAAAGCAGCTGACTGCTGTAGCCTGCAGTCAGTTTTTAACAGAACTCGTAAAAAAAGAAAGGTGTTCTAATAATAAAATACAACCTAAAAAGTTTTGCCATCAAATGCCCACTGTAGTGTAGAAAACCAAATTTGACTTCAATTCCAATGATTTCTACTCTTACCTTGGGGACAGGTTTGGACTTGACTGTGGTGGAATTCTGCTGCTGTTTTTCCCTTCGAAACGCCTCCTGCTTGCGAAAGAGCTCCGCCTTCAGATCAACAAGCTGGGGTGGGGGGGGGGGGGGACGACAGGAAAGCAAACCAACCATTATCACTATTTCTTTCGATCAACAACATGATATCTGACTACAGTACAGAACTCAATTGTAGGACTTTGAGGTTAATGTTTGGAATTAAAAGGAAAAAAATTCCTGAGTGATGTTTGCGTCCAAAATCATTTCTTTTTCATTTGTTTTTGGACTGGCACAGTACATGGTAGCCCCATAAATGTGGCCTATTTACTGGACTGCCTCCGTAAACATACATGTAGGCCAGCCGCCACACATCCACATGTACAAAAACGTGTCGCACTTTGCCAAATTTTGATTTTCACATTTAGACTTAGTTTGTAGGATTTTTTTGCTTTAGAAGCATACTCACCCCCTTTAAAAGGCTAGTCAGAAAGTGTTGTCTTTTTCAGATGTCTAATTTTTGTGAAATTTCATGTTGAAATTTTGATACGCAAACGTGTAAAAATGAATCTGGAAATTTCACGAAAAATATACATCTGAAAAAGGCAGCACTTTCTGATAAGCCTATAAAGAGGGTGAGTATGCCTCTAAAGCAAAAAAACCCTACAAACTAAGCCAAATGTGAAAATCAAAATTTGGCAAAGTGCGACACGTTTTTGTACATGTGGATGTGTGGCCTATGTTTGGGGCTAAGTGCATGGGTAATCACTCGGAAGTCATTCTTACCGACGACGAATTCACTTCTATGTTCTTCTTTGCATTCATACTTCTCACTGGTTTTCAACTGGCTGCGTACAACGAGAAAAATTCACAAAACCTATGAAATAAACGCGAACGTTTTTTAAGCAAAAAAGTCAGATCATGGAGGCCGCCATGTTTAAATGGTTACTGCGCTAGAGGGCGCCCTTCATCTTCCAAATGTTGAAGGCTAAGTCGAGTCGAAGATGAGTCACGTAAATGAAAATAATCATTAAAATTATTTGTATCAATAATGAGCCCCACTCATACGAACGAAGGGCAAATTAGTGATTCTTTGTAAGGAAGGGGGCTGCATCGCAGCAACGATCACGAAGGCTGGTATTAAGAGTCGTCTGTGTCAAGTAAGGGGAGGGGGTGGAAGAGGCCGAAATGGGGGGGGGGGGGGTATCCTTTCGGTCTGCGGTAACACCATGTGGTAATGTCGCTCAGTAGTAATAGTTCTGATAAGAACTTGTCCTGCTTATTATCAACTTTTGCTAAGACGTTTTTAGTTCTGATAAGAACGCTCCTTCTTAGTTCTGAAAGAACTTGTCTTTGGTCTCAACGTTTCGACTAGCCTACTCTAGTCATCGTCCTTGGGGGGGGGGGGGGGGGTGGTCAATTTGTTTAAGCATAAGACGAACTACATTCAATTAAATCTAATGATATTTATTACAACAACTTGTGATTTTTTTTAACACGAAAAGTGTCGATGACAAACAATCAAAGATTAACTATAAGTACGACATGCGTTAAAAAGTTTTCAACAAAATTCCACGATAACCACTAAAACCACTTTTTACACAATGTCAAATTTACATCGAACTTTTACCAGATCTGTTAACCACTCATAAAAGTTGATCTGTTTTTTAATAAAGATTGAGATTACTTCACAGCATTCATGTTGAAGATGTCAGTTCACGCCAAAAATACCAAACACTTTTATCGCGGTTAGTACGCTCGGTCAAAATGAATAAAATAGTCCAATTCCACTGCAAGTTAAGTCTGCATAAAAATTATATCGACTACCAATAAACATGCGTTAAGCGCAGAAAATACACAAAGTGAGACACTAAGCAAATTGTAAGGCGCCTAAAACACAATGAAACAGAGAATGATAATACAGAAATAAATTGAACATAAATTTAGTTAATTATTTTTACCACAAACAAATTTCCAAGTGTACAGTTGAGTTTATACACAGTTTTTTTTTCTTCTCAAAAATATGACATGGTCATACTCAATTATACCGTTATATTTATACTGTTTATTTTACATTGGTAGGCCCAGTTGTCAGAGAATTGTTCTTCTTGGGACCCTGTACTAAAACATGAGGAGACAAGAATTTTGCAGCCATGTAAGACCACAATCTGCAAATCTCTAAAACACAAAAATCCGTATGAATTTTAAATTTGTGAAATCATTATTAAGTCGCAGACGAGCTTCGGTTTGAGTTTTTGAAACTGTTAATGACGCGAGAGCTCTTTTTTGTTGTTGAAAAGTTGAAGTCATAAAAGTTGGTTTAATAGCCGATGACATCTATCATAAAGAACATACAGGGCGAGTGAAAAAAAACGAAACCTAAATGGCAGGACCAATTTTTGAATGAAGTTTTGCCTGTAGCGCTTTCGAAATCTAGGATATGAAAGCCCAGTCATTAAGCTTTCTTTTAGTACACGAATTCATTCGAAACTCATGTACTTTTCAAGTTACGGGTTTTTGAACACTAACACCGTTTTAAAGGTTTGTCCACGGATCACAAAATAGTAAGTGTTCTTTCAGCAAAACAAAAACAATTCTCATAGGGATGCATGTGAATTGTTTTCGTTTTGCTGAAAGAACACTTACCTTTTTATGTGATCCGCGGACAGAACTTTACAACGTTATTTGTGTTCAAAATTCCATAACGGGAAAAGTACATGATCGAGTGATTTGAATGATTCTTGAACTAAAAGAAAGCTCATTGACTGGGCTTTCATATCCTAGATTTTGAAAGTGCTACAGGCAAAACTTCATTAAAAATTGGTCCCGGCCATTTTGGTTTCGTTTTTTTTTTGTTTACTCACCCTGTATAATATCTAGCGTTTGCAGACAAAATTGTTTTCATTCATGCACCGCACATCATTCCATTTGCCGCTAAACTGAAATAGGTTCTCGGTGCAGTCTTCCTCTCCTACGTTATTTGGTTCCCCTGGCCACCAGCCCTCGTAGGACACGTCAGATCCATCACTCCACCGGAAATGACCCTCCTGTTCGATGTCACTGCAGCCAATCCAGTACGGAGTTGGCGTGGGGCTGGCCGACGATTTCCTGACGTACATTTTGATGAATTCATCCTCCTCTTCGCTGTGGATGGACGCAAGGTGGACCATCTTCCCCGGATGGGACAGCATCTGGCAGTAACGCTCAGCATCCATCCAGGACATTGGTTTGTCCACCCACAGGTAGCAGTGCCCCTGGAAAGCACGCCAGGGTGGCGGGCAGTAAGGTGAGCTGCAGAGAGCAGCTACACCGCCGTCAGACGACAAACTGACGGATACCAATAACAGTACCAGAAAACCGATAAACCTCATTTCTTTCTTGCTGTATAGGCTTCTGATTATCTACATCATCATCCAAATGAAAAGTCTTAAACAATGATTCTGAGAGACACAATCAATCACTTAGGATAATTTTGAGGCACTATCATTAAAAACGAAAGCCACAGCTCTCAGAAATTTCAACTGCACCTTGCACACTCTGTGACATTTTCTCCAATTTCAGAAATCGCAAATGAAAACTGTATATACCCCTATGTACAGGATGTCGCATTTGTCAAACCCCGTTGAACCCATAAAGACCATGTTTTTACAAAGCTTCGTGTTTAACAGCTCGAAAAAGATTCTCAAAAGACGGGCTTGTTCAGTTAATATATTGCGCTGTTCCAATTACCAAGGTTTATTGATAGGAATGTTGTTGCCATCGCAACGTAAGCACAGAGTGTCAAACTGCGCTGTTATGCATCCACGAAGTGTCGCTACTCGTGGCATCATGCTATTTGACCTACATTTTTTTTCTTTTCAAGGGATCCGTTTTGGAGGCTACATGTACCCCATCTAGCTACCTCAAATTTAGTGGCATCAGTTAACGAAAAATATGGAAGCAGTTAATAAAATCTATAAATTTAAACCTAATTCGGTTTCTATTGCATCATATTCTGGCCAGTTTACACCTTATTCGTGCATACTCTTTTTAACGAATTCGATTTTTTCTTCTCACAAAATTTCAATTTGTATGTTTAATTATTTTGAACGAAAATGCTCCCTTACAGTGGCGTTTGCGCAAACATAAAAAGGTATTTATTTTTGGGTTGCTTTCGCGCCTCTAGCTCACAAAAAAAAGACTCCAATAATCATTGTCGGGCGGCAAAAATTTAACCAACATTTTAACTAAACATGGGTGGAGTTTGTTCGTTTTATCTCTCATTCAAATGTCAATAATGTGCTAGAATATCACAAAGACTACAACGCTAACGGATGCGTGCACTAACGAAAGGTATAGTTTTGCGTATTAATACGTCAATACGACAGACAGACTCGAGTCGTGTATGATAGTCTGATCAGTCAGAAGAAATCTGCAGGTGGAAAACGGTGGGCGTTGTCTGACTTGGCCGAGACGCTGAGCGACAAGACGGCAGGAAGACCTGACGGAAAGCCTGTCTGTACTGCTTGTTGGTCAAGTTGTAGATGAGAGGGTTTATACTGGAGTTGACGAGGAGGAGCATGCTGGAGAACATTTGGACCTTCTGGTCCGCGTCCCAGCGAGGCTCCCCCAGGGTGTCGTGGATGTAACCACTGATTGTGGTCACACACCTAGGCGTGTTGCAGAGGAGGAAAATGAAGCTGTTGAGAGCAAGCATCCTGGTGATACGGACCCGTGATTGGTGGATCTTCCTGATCCACTCCGGTACCTGCTGGTTGGGGCGATTCATGCGATGCACAAATCGATTTCTGAGGGTTTTGACGATGCGCGCGTACAGCCAACAATTCATGGAGAGACACAAGACGAAGGGTAGGACTTTGAAGACGTCACTCAGAGATGGGGAAGGATTGAACCCGTGTGTCTTGTTGCAGCTCTCGATAAGAGGATTGTTGGGTGATGTTACGCCATACACCTCACATTTCTCTGAAGTGATGATGCGCTCCAAATACACGACAACGCAGTAAACGAGGCTACTGAGCCAAGCTGCAGCAACTAGTCTCATGCTTTGCTTTACGCTCGATGTTGCCCTGTGCTTGATCGGCTTACAGATGGCACAAAATCGACCCCAGGCGACCAGAGACACGATTGACATACTCGAATAGTACGGCGTCGTCGCAAAGACCAAAAAGACACACCCCGAGATTTTGGTTGAGAAAGGCGACGTGTCGCTCACGAGGGGAATTGCGCACACAATCAAGACGATGATGTCAGCAATAGCCAGATTGGCCAGGTAGACATTGGTGACGTTACGCATGGATTCACACCGAGCCACAACGAGTAAGAAGGCGAAATTAGCCAGCAAACCAATCGCCACAACGATCATGAGCCAGCGCCCGTGGTTAACGCGCCCTCCATCGTCCACCGTGAGTGTGCCATTGACTACAAGAGTTGAGCTGTTGGTGGACACACATTCGATCCAAGATGGATTGCTTTCTAGAGCCGCCATTTCGTACCAACCGTATACCTCTACCTATCAACTGAAAGACAGGACCTGTTTGGTATTACGTTTTAGACCAAAGTGGACTCGCAGATCTTTGTAGCAATGCTTTTTATACTATACTCTCGTTACGTAACCATGACGTATTTTTTACCCTTCTGATAAAAAGAACCCCTTTTGCGCATGATAAAAAAAAGCGAGTCGCGTTCTATATTTTCTGAAGTCTTATTTTTTTTGGTATATGACTCTCTCGGTTAGAACGGCAATAGGGCTTCTTCAGGGTTTTTTTTTAAATTGTTTTTCTACATCCCAATTAGTGGCACTATTTGGTAAATTAATGAATAGCGGGGAGGGGGGGGGGGGGCTTACTACAGCAGAACCAAATTGCTAGCATATTCCGCGACCTTAAATTAAGGTAATATACAACATCTGCAAACATCGACAAACGAAACAACCAATGATTTAGGCAATACCTTATATAATTATACTTGACGGTAAGTATAAAATAATAGTCTCAAGCATCCTGTGAAAACATGGTACCTGCATGTTGTTTTGTCATTTTCAAGAAAAGCGGAATTTTCGTATCTTTTTTTCAACGATGGTCAGCTTTTGTCAATGGTCGTTTAATAGCTAAGGTACTAAATAACAAACATAAAATGTTAATTAAAGAAATTATGAAGTATAAATTCACACTGAGCAATGGGTAACCTTTCAAGTGGTATAACATGCTCGCATTTCTAAAATGTAGTCAATAATACGGAATCTGCAGGTTGCGGTACTACATAGTTAAAAAAAAAACATGCTGTGTTTCAAACAAACACAACTATGTCAGACTTTGCATGCAGCACGCGTGTCAGACATTAATCGGGGCTGTGATTGGTCAAATATACTATTGGGCGGGGCTTGAGGATAGGCGCACTTACTTCAGCACTGAACAAATCGAGCACAACAGCTCAGCAGGAATGATTTGGAATCGACTGTAGCTCAGTGGGGCGCACGCAAGGCGGCAGACCAATTTCGTCGTTACTGATGAGTTTTGACCAATCGAAACAATTAACTCCACGCGCGCATAAGGCCACAAAAGCATCTTCATCAATTTCTCCATGGGGGCTGCCGTGCTGTGTGCCCGTGATGAGGTTTAATATAGCCTGAATGTTTACCCCTGGTGGCGCGCTTACGGACCCCCGATTAGGAAACTTATTAGCGTGTAAAAGTCGGAGTTTTAAAAATTATTTTTGGTACATGTACATTGATTTACAAAATCCCCCTCGGAAAAGGCTTTTGTAAATATTGTTACTAGCATTCCAATTTATGGAAACTGAAAAATCGCATACTAGAAACCTTTAAATTTAATTATTAACGTGGCTTCAATCGCATCTCCGGCGCAGTTGGAAAAGGTTTCATTTGAAGTTTTAATTGAGATCTCAAACTTTCCTGAGTTTCATAGGACTAGCTCATTTTTGAAACATGCGCATGCATGAAACATGTCACGTGAACGAATATATATGTCACCTCGGGCCCAATTATTTCATGGCGCTGCTAATATTAACCACAGAATTCCAAACTTTCGATCACCATTCTGTGGTAACGGCGCTAGCACTTTAACAGAAAATTCAGTCTGCGCTTACCCAGTCTAAGCACAAAATCTCTATGGGATGTCCATAACAGACACTTGAGGGCGCTCTGCAGTGGTTGAAATTGAAACCCCGACTTCTCGAAACGCAAGCGATGCTGTAAAAACAGCGTACCCGACTGATAGCACAAATTCTTCCCGTTTTGTTTTTATTTGTGTCGACATCGGAGTTCACAGACGACGAGTTCAAAACATATAATCGTTCAATACAAACGTGTTCAAAAATATTAGTCTTTAATGAATGTGATTCGCAAGGCTTTTGCGGCGAATTTTGTGCTGATCGGCTGCAATAAGGCCCCGTTCATTTCATCATTTTCAAAAGGTTGTCTGCTGTTCAAATCGGCCGGTCTTCCGTTTTCCCTGTCGTCTGCTCCTCGTCTTACTCATTCAACCGACATGTCTGCAACCACGACTAACACCGGGAAGAAGGATACTACTAATCTTAAGGGAGAGTTCGTTCGCAAAGACAGTGCCTTCCGTAATTGGATTACTGGTAAGCAAACTCAGTACCGGTAGGCCTACGGGATTTGCGGGTCGTGTGGTTTAAACACTCATTGAAGTAAAACGTACAGTACAACTAATAGGCCTATAATTATTGTTTTGCCCATCACCGATTTGTTGCATAAACACTGTACACTCAGTGTTGTCCAAGCCTCCAAGAGTCCAAGGGACTCGGGTGGGACTCGAACCAACCAATCTCCACGCAAATTACATCCCATAAATTCAGTGCAAGCAAATTGTCAATGAGTAGGGGAAAGTTTAATCATCTTCATGTCTGCTGTAATGAGGTGAATTAACGAAATGTTAATTTTAGTTAATTAATAAATCAATAATAACATTATCTATCAGGCATACAACTCTCCTACAACTGGGATCACTAAGTCACCCCCCCCAAAAAAGGAGTAAATTCCCAGCTTTACAAGACTCTGTGGTGTTTTCCATTTTTAATGGCATACGTACATGACCAGTAAAAGAAAAGGAAATCAGCTAACCCGAGGACAATTTGCATCAGTCCTGATTTATATGTAACGTGTTTTGTACTTAATTCTCATTAAGTTATGTGGAAAAGAATGCAGACAGTTTGCACTGTAGAATGCATGCACAAATAAAGTGCTGACTAAGCATGACTCAGCGTTTGGACTTTGGAGCTAAAAATGAATTAGTTTTTCTTTCCAAACCTCGCAGAGTCCAAATCAAAAGGGAACCCTCCCAATTGTTTTGCATGATATAGATTAAAAGAAAAACCCCCTATACAAAATACTGGGCCCCTTTAATGATGCTTTCACAGTGACTGATGAGATTAGATAAACGTCTATGTTTACTGGTAAACAAATTAAAGTAAAATCCCTCTATTGACACAAATTTTCATCCCACAGTGCTACAGAATAAAACGTGCTGTGTAACGGTGACTCAGCATTTTAGAGTTAAAATGATGAGCAAGTTTTTGCACCCCTCGGCATTCAATGAGCAGAATCAATGCCATGACCGTGACATTTTATAAATCGTGACTTTTCTGCTTTTGCAATTTTGAATGAATCAGCAAAATGGGCCAAATCCCTGAGCTTTATATTGAGCCCTGTAATTACGTCATAGCTCCACGGTTGCATGCCCAACAACGCCAACTCTTATAAAATAAACGGCGCAAAAATTAGATTTACTTTGACTTCAAGTAACATATGCTTGTATCGAATTAAAACAGAATTGGCATAAACTACAAAAGGATTTCACACGATGTCATCCAATGCCATACACTTTCAACAAAATATTATTTGCACAAAGAGAAAGAAAAAAATCCTGTTTCCTACCTTTGTTGATAGTTTTAAGACCACCCAAAGTTGACCAGCTCCACCTAATCTGTTGATAAAAATTGAAGATAAGAAAAAACGTTTGGCTCATGTGTTTTTTATATCATGGCTTTATGTTTGTGGTTTTTAGATTGTTTATTGACCACTATGGTATGCACACGCGTTGCGTCCCGTCCACTCCACGGGCGGGGCTCTCAAAAGAGGTTAAAACAGCGCCCTCTTGTTGGCGCACGGAGCCCACGCATACGTGTACTTCCTGGGCGCGGACAAACGTTGACACAGTCAATACATGCGCCACTGAATTGTATGTTGTAAGATGGTGGTGAAAATGATTAACAGTTAAATTAAATAAGGCGTGAGCTAGAGAATCCTGAACGCTTTACGGAAGTCGATGTTCTGGGTCGTGGACGCTTTTTACCGTTTTCCTGTGACCGAATTGTAGTCCTGCATGAGTTGCTCGCGAGTGTTGTATATACGACTCGCATGAGCTTTATTGAGACTGGAAAGAGTTGTAATGCCCGGATGCACACAATTGATCAGACGACCTAGCAGTCAACATTTGCCCGTAAAAATGGCTGGAAAGTGCCTCATTTGGGGCCTCATTTGCGGCCTCATATGCGGCCTAATTTCCTGGAGGGGAGGGGGCACTTTAAAGCTCATTTTATCCCCCTTCCCCTTTCGCCGTTATTCATGTAATAATAATAAAAAAAGCCACAGTTATATCCCAAGGTTAAACATGCCATCGTCTTCCTCATGCAGTACTTTTAACTGCTGTGATACCTCGGTAACTGGCATCTGGCGCCATATAGTTTGAGGATCAGGCATTCATGTGTGCAGAGCCACACCACGAACGCCTGATATATCATTGCATGCAAATTTTATGCGACCCCGCGTTCCAGCCAATCGGAGTCGACTGTACAAACTGATACGTCATTTCGATCAGAAATGTGGACTAAAGTGTTGATTGGTCAGTTTGTCTGCCATGTTTTTGTAATACAATAACGGGTTACGCAGGACCCGATAGAAGGCGCCCGCTGAATGGTCAGGATCAGGAGATCAAGACGCAGATATGTTTTGCATAATTGATCGCGAATATTCGCGAATATCATAGACGCTTGTCTGCAACCTTATTCCATAGACTACTGGCGCCCTTGCCCTACCAACTGTTCCCTGCAGCTTTGCTGAAAAGTGTTTGTTCACAAAACCAAAAGTTTGTTTTTCTCAATTTTAATAAAGCTTTTGATTTTTTTGTTTGATCCGTCCAATTTTAACCCCAACCACTAAAGAACCTTGTACCCAATCCATTGTGTATGCATGGGAGCGAGGTTATTTCAATTGTACACAATGTTATGCTGTACCGCGGAACGAAAATAAAACACATGCATTGTCCCATCTCATTTAACCTGCCCTGAAGAAAGATTAACCGGTGATGTGAACTTTTCCCCACAAAATACTATTGAAGTTGCTTTTTAGTCTGTGAACGGAAGGGTCAAACTCTACCTCTTTAAGAAAAACCCGATTTGTCATTTCATTTGACCTGCCCCTAGAAAGATTATCATTCGATTTTTCTCTTCGCAAAATGCCCTAAGTGCGAACAACAGCAAATGAATAAACATAACTTGTTTCTTTAAAAACAAAATCACCTCATTGTTATTTGGAAAATTGGATGGATTTTCTTCGGGTCGTCGGATTATTATTATTAATTTTTTGTTTACAAATTGTGACCTGACAACAATGATCAAACTAACGAATAAACAGTAGACCTTGGCCGTCTTCACGGGTTATTAAACACAACTTTCTAATTATGGTCGCCGGATAAGTTTATATCTGTTTTTTGATGGATTTGGTGTAGACTTTTTTAATTTTTGTATCCAATAACAAAGTTAACGCCAACATCATTAAAGTGCAGTACATGTATAATGCTTTATTTTTGTGCCAATGATTGAGAAAATCATTAAGGATTATACACTGAATCAGGTTGACATGTACGAGTATAATTTGCTCAACGATAAATACGAACAATGTAAATAAAATATACATGAGTTAAATTACATGAACTTGCAACTACTTGCAGACTGCTAGTAAACGAGTTGTTTGAGGATGAATTCCATTCATATCACGGAGTAAGTTAAACGTTTTTAAAACAAAACATATAAAAACGCCAACTCTTTAAAACCACATCCCAAATTTGTACTGTTCTCAGCCTCTCGCTTGAACATTTTGGCCTGCTGAAAATAATACAGCATACATAATTATGTACTATTTACACGTGATCACAGAATCAGCTAGTGTTCTACAATCAACAAAGATTTCAGTTAAATATAAGTTCAATTACATGTATTATAAATGACCTGAATCATTAATAACATTGCAAATCGTGATATAAGAATACAATTTGAATCAAATGCGCATTTTCTACTGTTCAATTTGTTCCAGCTGTTTTGAACCATGCAGGGGATTATTCTGAAGCAAGTTGTTTTGTTTCACGAAAATTTTCGATAGTTACGCAAACAAAATCTCCAAAACTAAATAAATATGAATGAGTTGTTTGATTTCATAATGATTACACTACCATTTTCAATTCCACATCCACTTTATATCATTAAAATTCTATAAACCACAGATTCAGTCATTCTAACACGAAATGGCTGTTAGATAAATTAATTCATGAGTCCTGTGTCCTGTGGTTGTTCTACTTCACCTGATGTATGTACATAATGTTAGTTTAAAAGAAAACTTTGAACTTCAAAACAATTTCAGCGCATGGACATTGCATTGTGTAAAGCACCAATCGACAAGTTACTGTTATATTATCAGCTTTCTGAGTACTAAATCAGTTAAACACAACAAATTGTCGACTTGAAATTTCGTTGAACTGCCTCTCAGCTCTTTCAGTCTTCTTCCCGTTAAATAAAAATCCTAATTGGTACCTATTTAACCATCACCCCCAGCTCTCTCCAGACCACGAGCTCCAACTCCAGTTTCTTTCTTAGAGCTTCACGTCAACGTACGTGTGACTGTCTCCCTTCTCGATCTCGTCGAAGTACAGAGCATCTTGACCGCCTGCAGCCACGCTTGTGGTGTCCAACACACTTGGTAGCTCTCCCTTGGTGTAAGGTGGAGGCATGCTGTACGCACCAGGCTCCATGCCGTCCGTTGGCACAACTGCGCCCTCATTGACGGCAGCAGGTTCCACGGTCACGTTCAAGTTACCGCGTATGCCGTGGGTGCGTCTGTCGATGACCGTGCTGGCCCCGTCGCGGTAGACCACGCGTATCTCGTCGTCTCGTCGCTTGGTGCTGAGTTTCACCGTCTTGTAGAGGAAGACGAAGATGAGGATGAGGATTGCGATGATGATGACTGGGAGGATGGCGAGAACTGCGATGACTGGGGTGCTCATGGTGCTGTGGTGGTTGTACAAGCCTTGATTGTCTTTAGATGGCGTGGTTTCTTTGGTGGGCGTCTTGGTAGTAGTTTTGTCGGGTTTGGTGACAGGTTCCACTCCAGGTTGAGTTGTTGGAGCTGAAGTGGAGGGATTGGTGGGCGGAGCTTGAGTTGATTCCTCGGGGGTTGTGTGCACGATAGGCTCAGGTGGGATGGGCACTTCGGGTTGGGTTGGTACGGGCTCGGTGGTGTTAGGGAGGACGGGTACCAGTGTGGATAAAATAGACACCCCGTGATCGTTAGTCACAACACAGGTGATGTTCAGAAAACCTGTGTCGGATAAGACGCTGGGGATTTGTAAGACTTGTCTCCCTGATCGGTAAGAAACTGTCTGGGCGGGTTCCGTGTGCCAACTGAAGAAGACTTGGGAGGGGTTGCTGACGGATAAGCAGGAGACGGTCAGAGACTCACCCTGGTGCACCTCACTCCGGTCTGAGACGAAGAACAGCTTGGGTTCGTGGAGGATGTTTAGGGCGACCATCTCGCAGGTTTCATTGTAGTCCAATTCGGTGGAGGTGAGGGTGCACTGGAATGAGGCACCGTTGTCTTGGTAGTCTGCCGTGACGCGGTAGGCCTGCTCTTGGACTTGATCTTCGTCGATGTGGATCCACGCTCCGTCACCTGCGGTGATGACCTGGCCCTTCCAGGTCATCGTGAGGGTGAAGGAGGGATGGCTGAGGTATCCTGTACAGGCCAGCTCGATCAGATCGCCCTCGTAGTTGATGTCCGGGCGGGTCCGGTTGGCTGGGACGTCCAGGTCGGTCTTGCGGCACTCCGGGGGAGACGGCCGCACGACGACCTGCACCATAGCCGTCGTCACGGCGTGCATGATCCACAAATCGGCCCCAGCATCCGTGCCGATGTTCTCAAACACGGCGCAGGAGAAGACACCCGAGTCGGCTAAATCTGCCTGCGAGATGAGGAGGTAGTACTGGGCCGAGTGGGGGTCGCCGGTCAGCCAGTAATGCGAGTGTTCCGGGTCGGTGAAGTTCAGTTTCTTCTCGTTTTTGGACCAGGTGACTTTGTACTCGCCGTGTTCCACGATCCTTCTGATATCCAACTGGCATTTCAGGACCACTGAGTCACCTTCTAGTAAAGCAGCGTCTAGCGGAGTCTGGGTGAACCAGCCAATCTCCTGTCCGGCGATTTGCATCGCCGTCATCTTTAGAATCAGGGCGTAAAATAGGAGAGAAAAACAACCCATCTTGAACACAGATGCAGTGTTAATTGCAGCAGTTATGGACTAATTAACGACCAAATATTTCAGTTAAATTTTCCTATAATGCAGCAAATCCAGACGGTTCAAAAGCAGAAACAGACGGTCGAGTGCTCTTGTGTGTCCACTCAATTTCCTCTGTACTCTCACAACCTCCGCGTAAACAGCAAGTCCACAACTTCAAATTTATTTATCTCATGCAAATGTTGCTTTGGTTTTTTAACAGGTGTTTGTTGATCGCCAGCTCAGTAATCTTAATGCCTCACTGATAACGAGACGGTGGTTTATATAGAGCCGGGGCACAATGGGTTGCCTCAGCCCTTGTTGCTTGTTGGCGCAAAGGAAAGACAGCCCTGATCATGCATGCATGGTCAAGTCCACCAAGGTTTCTCCTCGGGTACCTCTTTTGTTTCCAGGACAGGAAATTTGCCCCCGGTGGGGTGACAATCAAACTCGCTAATTCTCGGGTCACACTTCGGCCAGACCACTTTTTCCCTGTTTTCTTTCGCCACTAAAAATGACCATTCTTTTCATGCCCGGTCAATAGTCTCCCCAGCCTGCGTACGGAGTTCACATTGTTTAGTGACCTTCCAGTTCAAACACAATCCAAATCTTATTGTTTGCCTGTAAAAAGGCGTACGGAAAATAGCCTCTAATAGTTTGTGCGCGCATGTAACGGCTGAAAATGATTGGTCCAAAATGGCCCTTGAATGAGCATAATGTTGTTAATGACGCAACAAAGGAAACTTCTCCCAACCAATAGGCGTTGTGGCTTTATGAATAAGAAAAAGAATCAGTGAAGGTTTGCCGCCTTGTCCTGCCTCTTCAAGTGTCCTCCTCTGTTGTTTATTCGAGTCAAGGAAGTGGTCAGTTTATCTTGTCAACAAGTCTTCAGGGTCGACTGAACAAAATCAAGATTTTCGTTGTTCCTCAGTTGTCACGGTCAGGGAGGCCAGAAATCAATCGACCATGACTTCAAGACGACATCACAATATCCCTTACCTTGGCCTACAAGACTCATCTTCTATCGATCGAATTGTTTTTTTTCTTCAAAACGACAATGGAAATAAGACAGAAACGTATCACCATTGAACTGAGGTTCAGATGTCAATTTGTTAGTGAAACTTTGGTTTCATTTGTAATTATGATTGTATATACATGTACAATGTTATTTTCTTCGGATATTAAAACTTGAAACATTTATTTCTTTACCACAGTTTTTTTTGTACACTGACAATTTTAAAAGTTGACAAGACATTTATTTTGTAGACTCCCCATTCTGTCAAATATTTTGAATACATAAATCAAAGGAAGTAAATTATTACGACTTGCGTATTCAATACTTCGACGCTCACCCTGAAACTATAACATCATGCAAGGAAAAGGTTTTGATTTTTTTTTCGATCGCCAACGGTAAAGAAATTTTTTACTGCCACTTAATCAAAAGCTATTTTTTTCTTCTAGCAATACTATGACTAAATCACTCATAAACGCGTTTAAAACTTTTAGGAGGCATATATAATGTGAAGTAATCTTTACAGTTCCACAAATAAATGACCAACAAAAAGTCAGATTAATTTGATCATAATTACAATCCTAATTTCTTAAATAAATTTAGAACTTTCTTTGTTTATTGGGCAAGATATGTTAAAATATAAAACGCCAGAAACCTGTTGAAGATCAAGTATTTCTACAATGAAAATTGCAAAATTCTTGGCGACAATTGCGAAATGTTCAAGCCTCCTCCGGTCATTGTCCAAGACTGGACATTTGTGGACAATGGTCGACATTTCGTGGTCTTATTTCACGCGGACAAGTTCATTCATCGTTCTCAATTTCAAATCCCTCGGGTCAAATTCAAAACCAACCGCCGGATTGACCCAGCCTGATCGGGTCATTGGCTCCATTGGAATCAAACAAAATGTTTCTGTAGAGAATGAAAATGAAAGAATAGAATTGTGGAAACAGTTTTTATTGTCATATGGACATTGTTCATATGGATATTGTGTTGTTCGTCGAGGTTAATACGGTCAACATGTCAACAACTTTGACCTGCGACTGATGCCTCCGAGACGCCTTGATGTTAAGTTCTATAGAGTTTGCTTCTTTCTTTTGAATGAATTTATACCTTGACCAATGACATGTCTTGATTGTATTAATTGGCAGTTGTTACTAAAAATAGACCTGGTCGAGCATGCACACGGCCTAAATTTTCACGAATGGCTGTGCTGCAAGTTTTGCCACTAATTATCGAAGTTTATTTGCTCCTTAAGAACTCATTTAAATTTCTCATCAAGTCAAAGAGATAAGAATAAGAATTTGCCCATGCCTGTTTGATATCTTCAATGCACAAGACCCAAGTGAAAAATAATATTTTTGTACCAATGAATAAATGGAAATGTATTAAATTTCAGTAATAACCAAAATCTCTCTTAATTTTTAACCAACTTTGGTGATCGCAAAGACGCAAAAGTGTCTTTCTGTCCGGTTCTCCCACCCAATTTAACAAATAAAAGGGGGGGGGGGGGGAGTTCAGGGATGTAGGTGGGCTGGCTTTTTAAATGAAATTCGAGGTTTACAAATACGTACATGCATGGCACGAACTTTGTTATGTAGCATTTAAAAAGTAGCATATGCCTGCTGAACACCCCCCTCCCGATAGCTACCCCACCACCCCACTTTTTTTTTAACCAAAGCGTGTCCCCCCCCCCAAATGGCTTGAATTCTTCAATACAGGAGAAATTATATCCCTAGTTCCTAATCCTTTCTTTTAAACGAATTATTGAGGTGCATGTGGCAACCTCTGAGTCCCTTCATGGAGGAAGGAACGGTTTGTGTTCCTTCCTCCATGATCCTTCAACCATTGCCTCGGGCCAGCCTGAAACCTCGGAAGGCCAGCACATTGATCCGTGTATTTAGGCACTGAATGCAGTCTTCAAGTGGCAGTGTCCATCACAACGACCCCAGGGTCACATCCACCTGACCCGGTGATGTCACAGACACCTTGGGTGCATTTTGGGGGATCATCGGTTTCTCTTTGTCCAAGTATTGACAGAATAAATGATGGTATGTGGCTCAAGTCAACAGTGAGGACAGGACATCAATGCAGGGAAAGACGCTCTTCATTCAGAACTGTCTAATAAAAGAAACTGTCATTCTCTGTTAGGCAGCTTACTGTATACCAAAGGTGAACTCATAAATGGGACCAGTTCAATAGCAGGCAAAGAAAGAATCCATTCAAAAACTTTTTAAAAAAAATTGAATGAAACAAGAAATTTGAAAGCCGTCATGCATCAGTCTTTTTGTATTGTTCACTTTGCTGTATTTGTGTGTGTGAAATACATGTAGCTTTCACTTTGGCAGCGGCATACATTGTACTTGAAACATAATAAATTGAATAACTGTCAAAGAAACTATCATTGTTTGAAAACTGCCTTGATTTTTTGGGGTTTTTTTTGCCCACTGTGAATCCAAATGATTTGATACATGTACATGATAATCATAGTGGGGCAGATAAGGGAAATATTTGGGGGAATTGTGCCTTTGATGATACAAGCATAAAATTTGGCACACATTCAGAGCATGGTCAGAGTAGGTCCTTAGAAAGAAATTTGGCTATAGGGCCATTGCAGATTTGTCCTTTGAAAGAAAATAGGTAGAATAATAAGCAATTTCAAAATTTCCAAAATGGCTGTCATTGCTTGTTATTCTACATATATTTTTTCAAAGGACAAATCTGCGATCGCCCTATAGCCAAATATCTATCTCATGACATACTCTGACTGCGTGCCAAATGCCATGCTTGTATCATCAAAGGCACAATCCCATCACCTATCTGCACGTCCATTTTGAATATGGTATAACCATGGAGCTATAAACACAAGGAGTTACAAACGGCCAGCAGATCAAAAGAACTCCAAGAAACTATAGTTCCATGGTATGACCCTTTCAATCCTCCACAATCTACCAAGACATTTCGAAGGAAGATTCAAGAAGTTTAATACTTAAACTTCTTGGTAAAAGAAAAATATCGAGGGGTAGGGTTAAGGGCAATCCAACAATCACAGAGTCAAAAAAAAATAGGACAGGATGATGCTTCATCATCACGTTATGACAGCGTTTCCTTCCCCCTCCCCCCTCCGGTGTCACCCCTCCCGCATTGACCCAGAAAGGCATCACTCCATGTTTCCGTTCAGTTTGTTCTTAAAACAGAAACTACTATAGAGATTCATAACATATTACTCTCCTCCTCACAATATAAATTTTCTAGTTTCTAAAGTAATACCAATATTTGCTTTCCATTTTTTCCTGTTTTTAAATATGTGAATGTTTTAATGTTTAAATATGGGGAACATACAAACTTAAGAATACAATATTTCATCAATTATTTTTGGATCATGAATCGATATGATGACTTTAATAAATAATTGAATTGTTTAAGCACATATTTCTGGTAGAAATCATAAAAACGTATTTCCCCCAGACTCATAAATTATCAAAATAAGGTTTTGGTAGTACTTGTTATTCAAATTGTACTTGTTTGGGAATCACATTCTAAGTACTACACTAGTGGCTTACAATCCAACTTAATGTTTTACAAAACCACACAAGTTTTAAGTTTTTTAATGTGGTTTGTTAAGTACTTTTTGGTAAAGATGATTTTAAAGGTGTTCATTATTTACAGCCAAACTGTACATATCAAGGCATTTTTTTTTTTTTTAGAAAAAGTAAGATTTTTTTCTCTAAATAAGAATATAGAATGAGATGTTTAGAATTTCAGACTTTCTGAAAGGCTTTTATGAAAACTTTAGTGTGTGAATGTGAACACTTTTGATCTTTTGCCGGTCTGCAATCAGCATTTAAAATACAAAAAAAATATTGCCAGTAAACATTCTAAAAGACTATAGTTAAGTTTGTTGAATTGACATCTGCCATCAGAATATAAAATATTAATACTACATTAACTACATATATCACAATGTGTAAGTCTGTACTTTTTAAGATAAACACTATGCAAAACTGTATCGAATACAGGCAAGTTATTGTTCAGTTTTGAAAAAAAATGAATGAAAAAAAATATTACCTTTAAAATACTAAGCCTTTGGCGTGTTACTTAAGCCTAAAAATACATGAGCTGATACATACACCTTGCAAACACACCTTGAAAGTAAACTTCAAGCCAATATACACTATTTCAATAAAAAAAAAAAAAACCAAAGAAAAATTTGCGTATCATTAATCATGACTGCCAAGTCCTTTCAGAAGTCAAAAGAGGGCGCACTATACATAAGTAGGCAATACCAAGGCAAGGCAACACATTATCCAATTACAATTGAGCTTCAAGGTGGTTATGCTTTTGTGACTCGGATTTTAGTCTGGCCTTGAGATCAAGTCAGTCACAAGAGGGCGCCAGACAGGTACACTGAACAACATCAGGTACATGTAGTCACAAAAGACCCAAATTATTGTAATGAGGCTTGCCCAGCGGAAATGAGTGGGCAAATGTACATGGTTTGAGTTGACATAATTGAATTAGTCTTGGAAGACAAGTACAGAATAATACACTTGATTATCCTCAATGATTAC